ATTAATAATATACAAAAGTGTGATGTGCGTTGAAATTGTTATAAGATGACTTCTGTATTGCTCACTTTGATTTATACGGAATGAGTTTTATACGTTTTGATAGACTATCATAATTCATTTAATACTTTTTCATCTTGGGTTATACATTGTAGTTATTTGTGTGTACTATAATCGACATTTATCTACACTAGAATATTAATGAAAAATGATAATCATATATTGAACAGAGTATCAATGGTCATTTATATATAAAAATATACCAACGAACACATTGAACCTGCAATTTTTGATAGACAAAATCGTTACTTAATATCATGAGTCATCCTTGTATTTAAAAGGTAATATACTCTATGAATATCTTTAATCTTGCCATTATAACGATCACTAACACGGTGAAGCCAATGAAATACATCTAAAACGTTCCATCATTGTCATTAAAGCGTAAATGATAACATATTGAAATACAAACTAACCCAAACAACATCTATGAAAATATATTTAAAACAAGTCATAGTCAAAACAAGTAAAATATTAAATCATGTTGAATTTAATGAAATTTTCTTACGCGTTCAATGTTTTTTATACCCTTTGATCACCCGCGAATTTTTCAACTCTTCGTACAATTTTCGTTTAATTTTTCAATATAATCTCGAAAAATTCAAAATTAAAATAACTTCTCATAAACGTCAACAACGATACTATTCAATAAACCACAGATTATATACGGTATCATACAATCATGGGGAAAGTTGCACAATTCGCTTTACATCCATTGGAGTTCAGAGCGGCTTTACAATTGTATGTATACTTCCTTTTGGATCGAGGGACTTTGAGTATTATATTATTATGAGAATGTTGAAGGTATTATTGATTTGATCATGTTGAAATTGTGCTCTTTATCAAGAGAATGATTGAGGTTTTGTCACGATATTATGCTTTTGTAATATGGCGGATGGAGATATTATATATTCGTACATATACCAAAAACTCCTTGATCCTTTATTGTTGACATTGTATACTAACTAATTGATATAGAAAATTCTTTAGAAAAAATTTACATCCAAGAGATCAATTAAATGAAGGTCCATCTTTGAAAAGATGTTGGGAATTATTAAAAATAACTTCAAGATCATTCGCTGCAGTTATTGAAGAATTACATCCAGAATTAAGAAATGTTATAATGTTATTTTATTTAGTCCTTAGAGCTTTAGATACTGTGGAAGATGATATGACAATTGATCAAGCAATTAAAGTTCCATTATTACGTTCGTTCCATGAAAAATTACTAACTAAAGACTTCACATTCAATGGTAATGCACCAACTGAAAAAGATCGTTGTGTCTTGGTTGAATTTGATCAAATTTTAATTGAATATCATAAATTAAAAGAAGAATACCAAGATGTTATTAAAGATATTACTTTACAAATGGGGAATGGTATGGCTGATTATATTGAAAATGAAGAATTTAATGCTAAAGGTCTTTTGACTAAGAAAGATTATGATCTTTATTGTTATTATGTTGCAGGTTTAGTTGGTGATGGTCTTACAAGATTAATTGTTTTAGCTAAATTTGGTGATTCAAAATTGTATAAAGATAGACAACATTTAATTGGTATGGGTCTTTTCTTACAAAAAACAAATATTATTAGAGATTATGAAGAAGATCAAAGAGATGGTCGTTCATTTTGGCCAAAGGAAATATGGGGTAATTATACTAATGATTTAAGTTCATTCTTGGATCCTAAAAATGAACAACAAGGTCTTTATTGTATTAGTGAACTAGTTGTTAATGCATTAGAACATGTTATTGATGTCTTACAATACTTATCATTAATTGAAGATCAATCAAGTTTTAATTTTTGTTCAATACCTCAAGTTATGGCAATTGCAACTTTAGAATTAGTTTATCAAAATCCTGAAGTTTTTAAAAGAAACATTAAAATTAGAAAAGGTACAACATGTTGGTTAATTTTAAATTCACGTAAATTTGATGATGTTGTAAGGATTTTCAGATCTTATATTAGAAAAATTCATCATAAATCAACACCAAATGATCCAAATTATTTAAAAATTGGTCAATTATGTGGTAAAATTGAACAATTTATTGAAAGTATCTATCCACATGATATTCCAGAAGGTGTTACATTAAAAGGTAATGAAGTTTATGATCAAGTTTTGAAAAGAAGTAAATTTGATGCTAAAATTGAACCAGTTATTTCAAAAGAAAATTTTGAAGTTAATTTAGTATTGGGAGTTGTTGGTTTAAGTGTTGTGTTTTTATTATCAAAATTAGTATTATAATCTATATAAATATACCATTTAAGTATAGTCGATTAAGTTTATGAATGAATAACATATATATTAAGAATTTTCATTGTAATTAACAGACCACAACACTATAACTCATTATATGGTATATACGGAACCCCGGATTCTCGGAAACTCACGAGTTGCAACTTGCACTATATAAAGATAGATCATATAGATCAACGGATTCGGATATCACTTATTCTATTCAAAAGTCCAGCTGTCTCGTACATGTTAATATGACGTTACAATTATTAATTAAATTAAATTTATTATTAATCTTAATAATAGAATCTGTGTATTTTCCTGATTTGTATATTGCAGTAACCGAAACTTCACCGCCGTTGACCGAAGTGACCTTCTGGTGATTAAATGTTTGTGAAAAATTATGGTACTACTCCCAGGCCACTCAAAGGTAATTTCTTATAGATAATGAAACTATTGATGTCTATTTCCGTCCCCTTTATCAAAAACAAGTTGGAAATACAGCTTGTTTGTTGTATTTTTAGCACTTTCTGAAACAGCTATCAATCAAATCAAGATCATGCTATTGTATTAAGAAAATCATTTGAGCTTGAAGATTCCATCACGAATACATTTCCAGATCAGGATTGAACAACTTCATTACCTTGCTCAATGGAAATAACCATATCATCTTAAAATTTATCAACGCTCTTTACTTATTGCGTCATGATATGATTGTATCCAAACTTTGAAATAGTGTCATGAGTTTGCGTTTTGATATATGGTATATTAACATCTTCATATAGTTTAGCTGTTTCATATGTAAGCTATAGAATTCAAACTATATACATGGATCAAGTGAATACAGTATGCTTTCATAAATACATGGAGTCACTCGGTCAGCTCAAGTTTTAACTTCTAGGTTGAGCTAATTTCAAGACGTATATCGATAGTATTGGCACATTCTTACGTTGAGCAATTATACAGCTGATAAGCAGCATATTGGTCTTAGCAAGGCTGAACTTTGGAGCAGTCTGGACAAGTTTAGTAGATGGTGGAGGTATAATTGTATCTCCAATTTTAATTATTAGTTTTGTATAGTAACGTAGTTACTTTCATAGTTATAAACCCGAGAATATTATATCATCATAATTTATAAGCATATTACAAATTCTATCGAGATGCTATTGTTAATATAATCCGGCATGATTGAAGTTAATCCTGATTAGTTGGGTAGACTTATAGCTGGATGACAGGATCGTAATTAAAAAGATAGGGTACAGTTAACTGAGCCTTGAACGGTGAACTTCCCAGACGCTTACGTACGAGATGAACCTACCAGCAGCTACCTAAAGGCTAATTTAATACCTAGTTGGAGGCTAGTACAGCCATACCGTAGTTACTAGTATTACAAGCTGCCTAACGGAGTCTCGGAATCTAACTAGTTTTGCGAGCAGTCGGAACATGGAAGCTTAAGTAGTAACTACGTTTTTGTTTTTAACTTTTGAGTTTTGAGGTGATAGGTGGTAGGTGGTACCTGGTGTTAATTACCTTTTACGATTGATGGGTTCAAGAAAAAGTAAACATATAAACATTAATAATTAATCTGGATTGAGCTGGAAGTTGAAGGTTGAGATAGCAGGGCCGTTAATCCTTGAATTCAAAGCCCAGACAGAAATCCAAATCAGTCGAAGAAGACGTAGCTTAAGAGCTGGTTTTATACTTATACAAGTTTCTTATATATGGAATCCAGACCACATGATAAGCTATGTGTTAATAATTCAAGTGTTTAATGGATAGCCACCTGCTAGATTAACGCTGTTGGACGATTACTATATGGTGCAACGGATGTCTTAGTTTACAGACACAAAGTAGATATAGCTAGTCGATGAGTGCTATAATCATCACTGGGTATAAAACTGACCCTAACTCTATGGCTCTTTTGCGATCAAGCTACCACCTAATTAGTAGACTACCAGCTGATATAGATAATGATGATCTTCGACGAGCTGTTCCACAGCAAGAGTCCCAAATCCCAATTAGCTATAGTCAATCCATCAAAAACGTTTGTATACTTTTGAAGTTTCCCAGTTTCCAAAGTAATTTAGAAATTCGTGAAGAAATTGAAAAGCGTTGAAATAAAAAAAAAAAAAAAAAACTTAAATTTGATCAGCGGCGATCTTAATTACCCAAAAGGGGAATCAACACCATGCAAGAAGTTATCATAGAATCCCTGACAACGGTTGACTTGATATGCCATATAACAGTGAACTAGAGAAATAAAGATAGCTAAACGCTGCTGATAATGCTCTTATAATACTCCAAAGTTACCGGATTATAATCTGTGGTGTCTGATGGTCATTCTGCAGCTTTCAGCTAGTTTATAGCATCAATTTTGGTTGACTTATATGGAATTGAAGGTTTTGGTGTGAATCAAGGTATTGAGCACAATTCTGCAAATAAAGAAACCATTTCTAGAATGTGAACACAAATTAGTAATATGGCTTGGGTAAAAGAAACATGAGTGATTGATATTCATCCGCTCAACAACTTTCTATTTAAATAAAGGCTCAATCCCAATGTTTTGTCGATTTTCATTAATTTTAATTTGTGTCGTTTGAAAATATAAGTAATTATCATCAGTCATGTCCTCAAATCAATTGGAACAAATTCAACGTTCCCAATCTGTGGATACTGAAAATATTGCTGCTTATAATCCTCAATCTCAAGGACAAGTTGGTGACACTCCTGAAGATTATGAAGAAATTGCAAGAATTGTTACAAATTCACAAAATGATCCAGATGGTGGTGTTTTAACAAAATTAGAAACACTTTCAAAAAGAATATCAAATAAAAATTTAAAACATCAAGATCCATTAAACATTGACCCTGAAGATTTTGATTTTCAAAGAATTTTATCAAGTTTTTTAAGATCTTCTAGTGAACAAGGTATTCATTTGAGATCTACTGGTGTTGTTTTCAAAAATGTCACCACTACAGGTATTGATGCTGCAAATTCATATGCTCCAACTGTTGGAAACTTGTTACTTGCTCCACTCGCAGTTTATGAACATGTGAAATCCATTAGGGATTCCAAAGCTCATAGAAATATTATTCAAGATGTTACAGGTGTTGTTAAACCTGGTGAAATGTGTTTGGTTTTAGGTAGACCAGGTGCTGGTTGCTCAACTTTCTTGAAAACTGTTGCTGGTGAACATGATCAATTTATTAATGTTTCTGGTGATATCCATTATGATCAAATTCCACAATCTGAAATGATGCAAAAATATAAATCTGATGTTATCTATAACGGTGAATTAGATACTCATTTCCCTCATTTAACTGTTGATCAAACTTTAAGATTTGCAATTGGTTGTAAAACTCCACACACAAGAATCAACAATGCCACAAGAGAACATTATATTACTGCTAATAGAGATCTTTTAGCTACAATTTTTGGATTAAGACATACTTATAACACTAAAGTTGGTAATGATTTCGTTAGAGGTGTTTCAGGTGGTGAAAGAAAGAGAGTTTCCATTGCTGAAGCTTTAGCTACTAAAGCTACTGTCTATTGTTGGGATAATGCCACTAGAGGTTTAGATGCCTCAACTGCTTTAGAATATGCTCAAGCTATTAGAACTTCAACTTCCTTATCAAAAAATGTTGCATTCATTACTTTATACCAAGCTGGTGAAAATATCTATCAAACTTTTGATAAAGTCACAATTTTATATGATGGCCGTCAAATTTATTTCGGTCCAGTTGAAGAAGCTAAAGCATACTTTGTCAATATGGGTTTCGAAGCTCCTTCTAGACAAACAACAGCTGAATTCCTTACTGCAGTTACAGATCCAGCTGGTCGTTTCCCACAACCTGGTTTTGAATCAAGAGTTCCAAGAACAGCTGATGAATTTGAACAATATTGGTTAAACTCACCTGAATATAAAGCTCTTGTTGATGAAATTAAAGAATATGAATCAGATAAAGATGCTTCTCAAACAAGACAAATTTATGATCAATCATTGAAGCAAGAAAAGACAAAATCTCATACTCGTTATACATTGACTTACCCTCAACAATTGAAATTGGTTGTTAGAAGAGGTTTTGATAGAATTTATGGTGATAAAGCATATACAATTGTTACTTGTGTTGCTGCTACTATTCAAGCACTTGTTTGTGGTTCTTTATTTTATAATACACCGGATAGTACTATCGGTTCTTTCTCAAGATCAGGTGTTCTTTTCTTCATGATCTTGTACTATTCCTTAATGGGTCTTGCTGAAGTTTCTGGTCAATTTGCTGAACGTCCAATCTTATTGAAACAGAAATCTTATTCAATGTTCCATCCTTCATGTGAAACTTTTGCTTCTGCTCTAACAAAGTTCCCTTTCAAGCTGCTATCATTAACTGTCTTTTACATTCTAATTTACTTTTTAGCAAATATGAGACGTGATGCTGGTAAATTTTTCCTCAGTTTCTTGTTTTTGATGTTATCATCTGAGACAATTTCTGCTTTATTCCAAGCTGTTGCTGCTTTATCACAAAATGTCGCTGGTGCTAATGCTATCTCAGGTGTCTTAGTCTTGGCTATTTCCTTATATACTTCTTATATGATTCAATTGAAGGAAATGCACCCTTGGTTCAAATGGATTTCCTATATCAACCCAATCAGATATGGTTTTGAAAACATGATTACTACTGAATTTCATGGAAGAAAGATGGACTGTGGTGGTAGTTTAGTTCCAAGTGGTCCTGGTTATGAATCTATCACAACTGCAAATCAAGTCTGTGCCTTTGTTGGTTCCAAAACAGGTGTGCCATATGTTAGTGGTGATGATTATATGAGAGTTCAATATGGTTTCAGTTATAGTCATCTCTGGAGAAACTTTGGTATTATCATTGCATTTTTAATCTTATTTTTAGCTGTGAATGCCATTGCTACTGAATTTAAAAGACCAGTTTCTGGTGGTGGTGATCATTTATATTTCAAACGTGGTGAAAAGAAATTAGATGACGTTATTATTTCTGAAAATGAAAAGCCTAGAGACATTGAAGCTGGTGGTGTTCCAAATACTCATGATCAAGACTTAAAAGATCAATCATCATCTGAAAATGAAGTTTTTGAAGGTTTAGGTTCAACTTCTGTTTTTTCATGGCAAAATGTGGATTATGTTATCCCATATAAAGGCGGTGAAAGAAAGTTATTAGATAACGTTCAAGGTTATGTTAAACCTGGTACTTTAACTGCTTTAATGGGTGAATCCGGTGCTGGTAAAACAACATTATTGAATACATTGGCTCAACGTATTGACATGGGTACTATAACAGGTGATATGCTTGTTAACGGTCGTCCATTGGACAATAGTTTCCAAAGATCCACTGGTTATGTTCAACAACAAGATTTACATATTGCTGAATTGACTGTCAGAGAATCATTACAATTTGCTGCTAGATTAAGAAGACCACAATCTGTTCCTGATGAAGAAAAATTAGATTATGTTGAAAAAATCATCAAGATCTTACAAATGGATGCTTATTCAGAAGCTCTTGTTGGTTCTTTAGGATCTGGTTTAAATGTTGAGCAAAGAAAGAAATTATCAATTGGTACTGAATTGGTCGCTAAACCATCATTATTGTTGTTCTTGGATGAACCTACATCAGGTTTAGATTCTCAATCATCATGGGCTATTGTTAACTTGTTAAGAAAATTAGCCGAAGCTGGTCAATCCATCTTGTGTACAATTCATCAACCTTCAGCTACATTATTTGAAGCTTTTGATCGTTTATTATTATTAAGAAAAGGTGGTCAAACTGTTTATTTTGGTGATATTGGTAAGAATTCTGAAACATTGTTGAGTTACTTTGAAAGAAATGGTGCTAGACATTGTGAAAAACATGAAAATCCAGCTGAATATATTCTTGAAGCTATTGGTGCAGGTGCTACTGCTTCTGTCCATGAAAATTGGTATGTTAAATGGTGTAACTCTGCAGAATATGAAGCTACAACTCGTGAAATTCAAAAGTTAGTAGCTGAAGGTGCTTCTAAACCAGTTGAACATAACAAAGAATTGGAAGGTACTTATGCATCACCTTATTGGGATCAATTTACTGCTGTTACCAAGAGAACTGCTACTCAATTCTGGAGAGATCCTCAATATATTATGGCTAAAGTGATTTTACTTGTCGTTGCTGGTTTATTCATTGGTTTTACATTTTGGGATTTGGATGATTCTGTTGTTGGTATGCAAAATGGTATGTTTGTTGTGTTTTTATCAATTATTCTTTCTGCTCCTGCTATCAATCAAATTCAAGAACGTGCTATTGCATCAAGAGAATTATTTGAAGTTAGAGAATCCAAATCTAATACTTATCATTGGTCCACTTTGTTATTGGCACAATTTTTGAATGAGTTACCATATCATTTTGTTATTAATGCAGTATTTTTCTGTTGTGTTTATTTCCCATTGAAGATTGATACCTCTGCAACAAGAGCTGGTGTTTGGTATTTGAATTATTCAATTATTTTCCAATTATATTATGTTTCACTTGGTTTATTAATTGTTTATGCTGCACCTGATTTAGCTTCATCATCAGTTTTGACTGGGTTAGTGTTTTCGTTGTTAATTTCATTCTGTGGTGTTGTTCAACCACTTAAATTGATGCCTGGTTTCTGGACTTTTATGTATAAAGTTTCACCATTAACATATGTTGTTCAAACTCTTATGGGTTTAGTTTTACATGAAAAGAAAGTTGTTTGCAAAACAGAAGAATACAGTTATTTTGAACCACCTTCAGGAATGACATGTCAAGAATTTGCTGGTCCATTTGTTGAAAATACTACTGGTTATTTGAAAAATCCAAATGATACTTCTGATTGTGGTTACTGTCAATATTCAGTTGCTGATGAATACATGTCATCAGTTGGTATGAAGTATAGTTATAGATGGAGAAATTTTGGTTTCATGTGGGTTTACATTATTTTCAATTTATTTGCAATGTGTTTCTTATATTATACCTTAAGAGTTCTTAAAACTGATCCAGTTAGTTTGATCAAGAGTAAGATTGAAGCTTACAAGTTGAAAAAACAAGCTGCTAAAAAAGGATCTAACTAAAAAGATGAATGATCATTGATCGTGTACATTATATTATATGCAATTAATATACCCATTTATATATATCATCAAGGATAGAGAATTTTAATTTTTATATTGCAATAGTTATTTATAATATTAATTAATATATAACCATATAGTTGAATATTAGTTGGCTATTGTAGCTGCTTTAATTCTCACCCAGTATTTAGCTGGGCTGTAAGTTGGCTTTAGAATATTCTAATTATATGAATTATATTATACTAACAAAATTTATGCAGGGTTCAAGCCATGATTAAATATGGGGTTACTCGGTCTTTGACTCAGTTTTCAGGTGAATTATTAAACTTTAATATGTAATATGAGTACTTATCATTCTTGGGGGTTTGGAGATCGATATTGTTGGTAAGCGGTGGGTTTAACGGCTTTGAACTTTGAGAATCAAGAAAACATGTGGTGTTTTGTTAAGTGAATATAATTGATGTACAGTATGAAGTTAATGAATCCCAAGGCCCAGCCAGACCCATCATTAATCATCAGTTGCTTTATAATTGTTTCTTCTTTTTTAGATTCTGGATTGAATTGCCGGATAAATGAAGTTATACTATTGCTCAGATGCTTACGTCAGCCACATACGTTGAAATACGAAAAGTTTTCAGAAGAGTTTGAACGTTTGAATCCGTTGGAATGTGTCTTCATAGTTGCAATCATTGTGCGGTAATATTGGTATCGTTGGATAGCTAATGAAGAGAGCTATCGATCCCGCTCATAAAATCTGGCATTGTTCATACTAAAGTGTTGAGATATTTGTGTCCAAGGCCCATTGAAACCGTTACCGTGCGAATGATTAATCAGAATTCAGTTATGTCAACATTTCTTCGAATTTAATTTCGCTTTTGGGAAATTAAACCAGAGAAAAACAAAAAAAGATTATTATTAAAACATTGTCATTTTAAGTGGCCAATGAATTGTTATTTTCACTTACAAGTTGTATTTAAACTGAAAGATATCCAATTTGTCTTGACTTTCACTGAGATTGTTTTGGGTAGTTAGGGCTTCAACTTACAACTGTGTTTTGGGTGGACACTATTAAATACTATAATGTCACAACAGCCACAACAACAAGCAGAGGAAATAAAACCTTTGGAACCAACACCTTCTCAAATCGCTGGTTTGGGATCCAATGGTACCACAACACCATTCCAAGACGCTGAGTCTGAATATGAAGACATTGCAAGAATCGTCTCAAGATCTCATACAGACCCAGATGGTGGTGTTTTAGCTAAATTAGAAACTTTATCCAAAAAATTATCAAAAAGAAGTAATAGACAAGGTCCTTATGATATAGATCCTGAAGATTTTGATTTCCAAAGAGTTTTATCCACTTTTTTAAGATCCGCTGATGAACAAGGTATTCATTTAAGATCTACTGGTGTGGTTTTCAAAGATGTTACAACTTTAGGTGTTGATTCTGCTAGTTCTTATGCTCCAACTGTTCAAGATATGTTATTAATGCCAGTAACCATTTATAAAGGTATTAAAGCTGCTAAATCAAGCAAAAAACGTAAAATTATTAGTAACATTACAGGGGTTGTTAAACCTGGTGAAATGTGTTTGGTTTTAGGTAGACCAGGTGCTGGTTGTTCAACTTTTTTGAAAACAGTTGCTGGTGAACATGATCAATTTGTTGATGTCTCTGGTGATATCCATTATGATCAAATTCCACAAGATGAAATGATGAAGAAATATAAATCTGATGTTATTTATAATGGTGAATTGGATACTCATTTCCCTCATTTAACTGTTGATCAAACTTTGAGATTTGCAATTGCTTGTAAAACTCCACACACAAGAGTTAACAATGCTACAAGAGAACAATATATCACTGCTAATAGAGATCTTTTAGCCACAATTTTCGGGTTAAGACATACTTATAACACCAAAGTTGGTAATGATTTCGTTAGAGGTGTTTCAGGTGGTGAAAGAAAGAGAGTTTCCATTGCTGAAGCTTTAGCTACTAAAGCTACTGTCTATTGTTGGGATAATGCTACTAGAGGTTTAGATGCCTCAACTGCTTTAGAATATGCTCAAGCTATTAGAACTTCAACATCTTTATCAAAGAATGTTGCATTCATTACTTTATACCAAGCTGGTGAAAATATTTATGAAACTTTTGATAAAGTTACCGTCTTATATGATGGTCGTCAAGTTTATTTTGGTACAACAGAAAATGCCAAAGCTTTTTTCGAAAACATGGGTTTCGAAGCACCTGCTAGACAAACAACAGCTGAATTCCTTACTGCAGTTACAGATCCTGCGGGTCGTTTCCCAAAACCAGGCTTTGAATCAAGAGTTCCAAAAACTGTTGATGATTTTGAACGTTATTGGCTAAACTCACCTGAATATAAAGCACTTGTTGATGAGATCAAAGAATATGAATCTGTTACAAATGCTGATAATACAAGAGACGTTTATGATAAGTCATTCAAACAAGAAAAACCAAGAGTTCATTATCGTTATACATTAACTTATCCTCAACAATTGAAATTAGTTGTTAAAAGAGGTTTTGATAGAATTTATGGTGATAAAGCATATACCATTGTTACTTGTGTCGCTGCTACTATTCAAGCTTTAGTTGTCGGTTCATTGTATTATAATACCCCAGACTCGACTAATGGTGCATTTTCAAGAGCTGGTACATTATTCTTTATGATTTTGTATTATTCTCTTATGGCATTGGCTGAAGTTGCTGGACAATTTGCTGAACGTCCAATCTTGTTAAAACAAAAATCTTACTCAATGTTTCATCCATCAACTGAGACTTTTGCTTCTGCTTTAACAAAGTTCCCATTTAAGTTGTTATCATTGACTGTTTTCTATCTTTTGATTTACTTTTTATCAAACATGAATCGTCAAGCTGGTAAATTTTTCTTGAATTATTTGTTCTTAATCCTTTCTGCTGAAGCTATTGCCGCTTTATTCCAAGCTGTTGCTGCTCTTTCTCAAAATGTTGCAGGTGCTAACGCCGTTTCTGGTGTTTTAATGTTAGCCATCTCCATTTACACATGTTATATGATTCAATTGAAATCAATGCATCCTTGGTTTAAATGGATTTCCTATATCAACCCAATCAGATATGGGTTTGAAAATTTACTTGTTGATGAATTTCAAGGTAGAAAGATGAGTTGTGCTAATACTTTAGTTCCAAGTGGTCCAGGTTATGAATCTGTCTCTACTGAAAATCAAGTTTGTGCCTTTGTTGGTTCTAAACCAGGTGTTCCATATGTTAGTGGTGATGATTATATGAGAGTTCAATATGGTTTCAGTTATAATCATATCTGGAGAAACTTTGGTATTTTAATTGCTTTCTTGATTGCTTTCTTAGCTGTTAATGCTGTTTGTACTGAATTCAAAAGACCAGTCAAAGGTGGTGGTGATCATTTATATTTCAAGCGTGGTAAAAAGGTTCCATCAGATGAAGTCCTTTTATCATCTGATGCTGCTGCTGCTGCTGTTGGTGAAGGACCAGTTGCTGCAGATGATTTAGAAGCTGGTGGTCCTCAAGTGGGTTCAAATAGAGATCAAGATTTGAAAGATCAATCATCATCTGAAAATGAAGTGTTTGAAGGTTTAGGTTCAACTTCTGTTTTCTCATGGCAAAATGTTGATTATGTCATCCCATATAAAGGTGGTGAAAGAAAGTTATTAGATAATGTTCAAGGTTATGTTAAACCTGGTACTTTAACTGCTTTAATGGGTGAATCTGGTGCTGGTAAAACAACTTTGTTGAATACATTAGCTCAACGTATTGATATGGGTACAGTTACAGGTGATATGCTTGTTAATGGTCGTCCTTTAGACAATAGTTTCCAAAGATCTACTGGTTATGTTCAACAACAAGATCTACATATTGCTGAATTGACTGTTAGAGAATCATTGCAATTTGCTGCTAGATTAAGAAGACCAAAATCTGTTCCTGATGAAGAAAAATTAGACTATGTTGAAAAAATCATTAAGATTTTACAAATGGATGCTTATGCAGAAGCTCTTGTTGGTACTTTAGGATCTGGTTTGAATGTTGAACAAAGAAAAAAATTATCCATTGGTACTGAATTAGTCGCTAAACCATCATTGTTGTTGTTCTTGGATGAACCTACATCAGGTTTAGATTCTCAATCATCATGGGCTATTGTTAATTTACTTAGAAAGTTAGCTGAAGCTGGACAATCCATTTTGTGTACAATTCATCAACCTTCAGCTACATTATTTGAAGCTTTTGATCGTTTATTATTATTGAAGAAAGGTGGTCAAACTGTTTACTTTGGTGATATTGGTAAGAATTCAAGAGTTTTACTAGACTATTTTGAAAGAAATGGTGCTAGACATTGTGAAAGACATGAAAATCCTGCTGAATATATCTTGGAATCTATTGGTGCAGGTGCTACTGCTTCTGTCCATGAAGATTGGTATGAAAAATGGTGCAATTCCGCAGAATATGAATCTACAACTCGTGAAATTCAACAATTGGTTGCCGATGGTGCTTCAAAACCAGTGGAGCATAACAAAGAATTGGAAGGTACCTATGCTTTACCATACTGGGACCAATTAATGTATGTTACAAGACGTACAGGTACTCAATTCTGGAGAGATCCACAGTATATTAGTGCAAAATTCTTTTTAATCATCATTGGTGGTTTATTCATTGGGTTTACTTTTTGGGCTATGAATGATTCTATTATCGGTATGCAAAATGGTATGTTTGTTGTTTTCTTATCCATTATTGTTTCTGCTCCTGCTATGAATCAAATCCAAGAACGTGCTATTGCATCCAGAGAATTATTTGAAGTTAGAGAATCTAAATCAAACACATATCATTGGTCAACATTGTTATTGGCACAATATATGAACGAAATTCCATATCATTTAGTTATCAATGCTTTATACTTCTGCTGTTTATACTTCCCATTAAGAATCAATAATGCCACTGATAGAGCTGGTGTTTGGTATTTGAACTATTCAGTTGTGTTCCAATTTTATTATGTGTCTTTGGCTCTATTAATTGTTTATATGGCCCCTGATTTGGCCTCTGCATCTGTTTTGACTGGTTTAGTCTTTTCATTCATGGTTTCATTTTGTGGTGTTGTTCAACCTGCTTCCTTGATGCCTGGATTCTGGACTTTCATGTACAAGGTTTCGCCATTGACATACATTATCCAAACACTAATGAGTTTAATCCTTCATGAGAAAAAAGTTGTTTGCAGCAAAGATGAATATAATTATTTTGACCCACCTTCTGGAATGACATGTCAAGAGTTCGCAGGTCCATTTGTTGAGCATAGAACAGGTTATCTACAAAATCCAAGTGCTACTTCAAACTGTGGTTATTGTCAATATTCAGTTGCTGATGAATACATGTCAACTGTTGGTGTTAAATATAGCTATAGATGGAGAAATTTTGGTTTTATGTGGGTTTACATCATTTTCAATTTAGCTGCCATGTGTACAATGTACTATTTGTTGAGAGTTTCAAAAGTTTCACCTTTCGGATTCATTAAAAACAGATTAGAAGCTCAAAAGTCTAAGAAAGAAGCTAAAAAAAATGCTTCTACTGTTCAATCTGAATCATCATTAGAAAAATCAGCCTAATACCTAATACCTTATTAATTTAGAAAAACATTTTACATACAGCTCATGCATTTGTATGTCTTATAATACAATCCAATCCTGTCCTATAAATAGTGTTCTGTTTAATTTTTTAATCTATTTCCAATAATATATATTTATGATAATATCAATTTAATTCAAGATTTTTTACGTAATTACTATATCCTGACCTTTCTGGATGTAATTATTGGCATGTGTATGTATAAGTTATAAGTATATGATCATGTCGACTGTAGTATATTTATGCCGAATTATACAAATGAGCGTACATGGCACGATCCATTAATTATTTCACATCTAGCGCTGTTGTTTATATTTGAACTATTATATTTCTAATCTTATAAGATAGGTTTCCTCTATACCAACTATGCTACACCTCATAATCATGAACACTCGCGCGACCAAAACTCGGAAATGTAAACAAATGATCGCTCAATTTAGGTGAATAGTATCCAATATTTTGATACCTTAATTACAGAGCATCTTCGGGCACTATAAAACAGTTTATATTCGTTTGAGATAAATTAAGCTTAGCATCAATTAGAGTTCTCTTTCAGTACAAGTCACAACTAGAATCACTATGTCTGAAGCAACTGATTACATTGTACCGGATCATGAAAGTGATGTACCAGATATCGGCCAACAAGGTACAGCATATATTCCACCTGATCAACTACAAACAATCCAATTGATTGTCCTTTCTATTATATTTGGAAAGCTCTCTTCAATATTCATAGTTGATACAAATATTCCCGAGGAAATTAGACTAATACCACTTTTGATTTTGGTTTCTTTAACAATAATTATTATCGGTAAACGATCTAAACTGGTTACCTCTGTGTTGGTTTTTTTGGTTTTATGGTTGTTCCTCAAATTGATTGGTATTGAAATGGCAAGCTGTTTCTACAAGACAACATTCGTCAAAGCAAAGGAATGGCTGTTATGGAAGCTAATTAAGCTTTACTACCTATGATCCCACCAATGGCCTTTAGGTATTACATATTTAAAAAATAGTCGGGTAGTTAATTATATTAATTGATCGATATCAATACTCAAGATCATGAATGTTATTGATGTAAATTTATATTGAGCCCTTTGAATGGGTCCTAAATTTATATTATGTTTATAAATATATTAATTAATGTCGTGAAAATTATCATGTATGAATACAATAACAAGGGTTGAACTAGTGTTAAAGTACAAAGTACGCGTAGTAGACTTTCTCCAGTGTCGCATGAATTATTTATTCGCTGAGAAAGTGGGGTTAAATTCAGAAATCAACTGAACACAATTGATCGCTAGTATGCTTGAAGAGATGAGTATTATTGAATCTTGATACTGTGACAAGACACACAAGTTAAACTAAGTACTAGGTAATGAGCAGTGAATATCAATAAGCTAAGGAAGGGAACACAAGTCTCCAAATTGTATATTTTATAAACTTAAAATTCGATATGGGCTAACAATCTTCATACTATAATTTTGTAGCTTGGTACACGTTAGTACACGCTACACGTATATTGCAATTCTAAATTTCCATCAGCTCTTGCAATTCTCCGAAGATGCTCATTTGTCCAGTTATCCAATTATTCTTGAAAATAGTTTTTCCGGCTCCTGTTTTTCCGGAACACGAAGTTTTTCCAGACCAGTTAAAAGTTTTTCCAGACCCTTAGTCTCGGAGTGGGCATACATAGCCAGTGGTTTGTCCAGAAGCAATTACAACATTGGACATATCTTTGAAGAAATGATCTGGTTCGGAAAAACATTACACATATACGCGAAGTCGATTTTGAAATTCGATATTAGTTCAATTTTCTAGTTTCAGCTGATAATTTAAGCGCTGAATAAAGTTGTAGTAGCAGTTTAGACTCTAGAGTGTTAGAGTGTAGTGTTTTAAACTAATACGCTATGTATAAATTATGACCGGAAACTTCTCGCAGCTTTATCCCTTTCCTAATACCTTTAATCTCTTGTTCGAAGTCTTTTTCTTTGTTGCCCATGCAAGCTGTGAGGAGTGCTCAAAGTAGAAAAGATAGTTTTTCCGGTGGCAGACAAAAGTATAGAAAATATGGAGTTATCAGCCAATGGGCATTGGCAATGGGAACCTATTCTCTCCTGAGTTTTGCAGTAATAGTCCTGGAGAAATCACTGGAGAATTGGGGTGTCCCGTGGAGTGGTGCATACATATTACAAATATGATAGCTGGTACGGTGTACGGTGTATCTGGATACTGGTGCGCTGGTACACTTGTACAAAATTCTTTGTAGCTGTGTGGTAAATCGTAATTAATTATATAGCTGGTATTAGTTTGAGCAATTAGTCTATTAACATCAAGCTGATCATTCATGTTTATACATTATGTGGTATTATCAAACCTAATTAGTTTCTAGAAAATGTTTACGTCCCATGAGCTGAGAAATTAAATGTAGTTAAATTTAACATAATATATATGTTATAAGCCGGCGCTAGCTACGTATATATATATATTATATATAATGAGATGATCAAAGAATTCCATAATTATTTATATTAATATATACACATGGCTATTTTTGAGAGTGCGATCGATATTATACCACCGCCAATAGCTTACAGGTTTTTTGACGTCTAATTAGATCTAAAAATATCCCAGCTTAATATTAATATTATATATATAAGCAGCTAGCACAATATAATAATATTGCATTTGTGATTTGTAACTTTTCGACGCGCGCTTATATTACAGCTGCTAATTACTACTAGCTGTACATCTAAAACTTTATATATATATTATATATATAAAGCCATGATAATATCATCTATACTATTATATATTTTTATAAAGCCGCAGCTACGTATCAATTATAATATATACAAATATATTTATATAAAATTATACGATCATATATATTATTGGGTCTTGAAACATTCACATGGTATTATATTATATAAATATACGTCTTTATATTGTATAGCTGCATACTCGATTTTAAATTTAATTGTAATTGAAGATACATCGTTGATTGATTCAATGAGCTCAGCTTATAGTAACACACTATATATAGAGTAAACACACTCGATACTGCCACATAAAATAGAGCTGGTCGCTTGATACTATACATATATCTAACTATAGACGTACAGTAATATAACTAGCAGAGCTAGATACCAATTAATTGCGCTCTAGCGAGCTGATCGGGAATCAACGCCATGCTATTGTGAATAATTTATTATATCGTGCTTCATTACTGATTAAATACCCTACGAAGGCACCAGTATTCATGGAAAATACAATACTTTGCACTTTGATATGTACATTAACAACTTGTGATCATTAAATACTTTTCATATTTACATATACGTATTACACATGTATATACATCTATATATAGCTAGCTGGGTTTCGCTATATTATATAAGCTGGCACTATATATATATATAAGCTGCTTAATACGATATATTGAATACCACCTCTATATTACAAACGTTGTTATTGCTTTTTGGTCTAAGCATTTAAAATAGATCTAAATAGTGAGCTACGCATGTAAATAATTATCAAGATATGATTTCCTCAGACAATTATAACGCTACACTGATCCAAATCTTGAAAAGCTGGAAATAAGACATCAATTTGAAAGAACCATGCAAACATCTGCAGTGACCGGGCATACAGAACTCAGTCGCGAGTAGTTAAGGTTTCGAGGTGCGTTTCTTTTTAAGTTTGGACCGTTAAAATTCTTAAAAACCTTAATTAATTTGATGTCATATTTTTCTAGCAAGATCAAGTTTGCTATTACATACGTACAAATATCAAACTGATCACATACCATAAGTCAAAGTCGTATCTATATTAGGGCCGTTTTTGCCACCATTTGAGCCGTTATAACTTATATGTGTGACATGGTTTTAGTTTCAACTTATATGTGTGACATGGTTTTAGTTTCAACTTATCTTGATCCGACGTCATTTTAGCGCGAGTTAATAGTAGCACGTCGGTGTTGCTCATAAGCTAGTTCAGACTTTAAGTATAGCTATAGCCTGTGAGGAATCGTGATAACTGTGAGATACTGACAAGTTACAACGTCTAGAAGTTAAAAGGGGATCGGGTCAAGACTCAGAAGTAAGCATTATAAGTTTGAATTTGCTATCTGTTGGAACTTGGTAGATATTGAATCATGTTCATTGAGCTCAGAGTGCATCAAATTTGATCCTAAAAAGGCTTGAATATCTGGGTGTGTGAGCTGATTAACTTGCCTATATTCCAGGCTCTTACTAAACCAGATTTGTATGATGAAATCAACTGATTTTAACACTTATTTAGTCTCTTTCTTTTTATAAGTTTTGCATTTCGGAATTAGTCTAGAGTCTTTGATATGTTTTGACGTTGCGGGCAGTCTCAGGTAATATGCATATTCAAGTTGCCTACTTAGAGACTACGTATTATTCGTCAAAAGTTTAACATAATTTGGAACTGGATACCATACCACTTTGAACATAGATCTGATACGGGAGTATATAAAAAGTTTTGAAATTCCTCAATATTTATTGTTTATATATGATGTTTCTAAAAGTTTAGTGCTTTGTAACAATAAGTTATATAATAATCAGTTCAAAGGATTAACACTCATCGACTACATCTTTATTTACACTTCACATATACAAAGACTTACATATACCTATACAAAGATCATGGGTCTTTTCAGAAGAAAACATTCAATAAGTCATGAAGAATATGACATGGATTCAAATAAACCAACAAATCAACAGAATGAAAATATGGGACAATATACTTCAGATAACTCATCAGCTATAAATCAAATCGGTAAATCACCAGAAGAAGGCAATTCCTTCAACGAAGAAAAAGGTGGTTTAGGTGATCAATCATTATGGCAATTAAGAGCTGTTATTATTTTATTAGTTGCAAACACATTCACAGGATTTTTATTCGGTTGGGATACAGGTACCATTGGTGGTATAACTAATATGGATGGTTTCAAAAAAAATTTCGCTCCATATAATGCAAGCACAGATACATATGAATTCAGTACTATAACACAAGGTTTGATCATTTCCTTGTTCAATGTTGGTTGTGCTGTTGGTTCTTATATTTTATCTAAAATGGGTGACTGGAAAGGTAGAAGATTTGCAATTTTCGTTAGTATGATTATTTATATTATTGGTTGTGTTGTTCAAATGGCTTCAGCTCCTTCTAAGAAATGGTATCAATATATGATTGGTAGAATTATTACAGGTTTAGCTGTTGGTGCTACATCAGTTTTGACACCAATGTTTATTTCAGAATCATCCCCATTAAAGATTAGAGGTGCTATGGTTTGTGTCTATCAATTAATGAATACTTTGGGTATTCTGTTTGGTAATGTTGCAGATTTTGGTTGTAAAACTTATCATCCAGGTACAAATGCTGAATGGCTAATCCCAATTGGTTTAGGTTATGTTTGGGCAGCTTTAGCTATCTTGGGTACTGCAATGATGCCAGAATCACCATTTTATTTAGCGTTCAAAAATGATAAACAAGGTGCTATAAACTCAGTTGCCAAATTAAATAGATTACCAAATGATGATCCAGCAGTTTTACATGAAGTTAATGATTTCATGGCTAAATCTGATGCAATGAAAGAAGAAACTGAAAATGTTTCATGGCATGAATTCCTTACAGGTCATCCAATGTTGGGTTGGAGATTATGTATTGGTATGTTTATTATGGCTATGCAACAATTATCAGGTGCTAATTATTTCTTCTATTATGGTACTTCATTATTCACATCAGTTGGTTTACAAGATACTTATATTACATCAATTATTTTAGCTACAGTCAATTGTGCACCAACATTTTTCAGTGCATATTTAGTTGAAAGATTTGGTAGAAAACAATGTTTAATGGCTGGTTCCATTGGTATGATGACATGTATGTATATCTACGCCTCAGTTGGTGGTTTTGGTCTTTATGATTCAAATGGGGAAGCAAGTTATTCAGCTGGTTGTGCAATGATTGTCTTTTCATGTTTCTCAATTGTTGGTTTTGCAACAACTTGGGGTCCAGTTGCTTATGTTATGGTATCAGAATTATATCCAATTCGTGTTAGAGGTACATCAATGGCTTTAGCTACCGCTTGTAATTGGATTTGGAATTTTTTGATTTCTTTGTTCACGCCATTAATCACCAAAGCTATTGGTTTCAAATTTGGTTATGTCTTCGCTGGTTGTTTAACTGCTGCAATCTTCATAGTTTATATGTTTGTTCCAGAAACTAAAGGTTTAACAAGTAAACAAATTGATGATATTTATGCCGAAGGTCACATTTTCCAATATAAGAAACATGCCAAACCAATTGAAAGTGATGAAGAAGTCGAAGCATAAATTATTGGCTAATTACCTTCGTTATACATTAACATATATGATATTATGATATATACATTGCATGATTGGTTTATGAATTAAAATATAAAAAAGTAAGAATAAAAAAACGCATACTATATACAACATATTAGAGAATTTAAGAAGCCTTCATTACAGCTTCTATCTGTATTTTACAATTTATATATATAAAAATGTTAAAAGTTTGTTTATATGATTGTTATGTAAACTTGTTCATTATTTAGTAGTTACGCAACAAATTATGTCTTCATCTTAATTGACAGCTCAGAGATCTTGAACATAATTATTTAAGTGGTTCCCAAGTTTCAGGTACAATCAAAGTACAGATGTAGCTTCTTTATATATGATAGTTAATCAACACTACACCATGATGATTGAAGATTTAGTTATGCAGCCGGCCGATTACAATCTTATATAAGTACATAGACTATGTATCTAATTTTGATCCTGAATCCTTAAGAGTTGACATGAAATGATGTGCAGATGACATCTATCAAAGTACAAATTCGCGGGGTCCTTTTTCCTTTTGATGCAAAACCGTTAAAATATGACAAAAAAATGACGATTTTGTTCGGTAAGTTGGTCATTTGCTAACTTATAAGGGTTGGTGAGGAAGCTTATTTGGTCCCATGCTTCGAAGTCAATATAATATACTATATTGCTATCATAAAAAGAAATCTAGTGTGGACTAGAGACTAGAAGGTCAGTAATGTCAATAACGTATATTGAGCTGGAATTTAACCAGGGAATCATTTCTATTAATACATAGATGTAGATGTGTACGAAAGAGCTATTATTATACAAGATTTATCGGATTCCTAGCTGTCAATCTATGGTTTAACTCCTTGTACGCACCAATTACACTACAGCTTGCTTGACCAACATACCATATAAGTTCGCATAATCTGGGGAAGCGACCTGAATATTAGAGTTGTACTAGCTAGATTAAGGATTATTTTCTCAGAGTGTAAGTTGTAACCATAAAAACCTCTCACTACGTACCACATAAAATTTCCCTTCAAACACTAACGTACAACTAACTTTTCTACGCTGAAACAACTCAATTTGACCAAATCCCAATCAGCATCTGATCCACTGAACGCGTACCTGCTAATTCCCGATAACAACCAGTGGCCAAATTCGCGGTTCAACTGCTTATAATTTCAACGTGTCAATTTATAATCTTTTATACTCAAAACTCAAACAACTTCAAGATCAACCAAGGTAACAATGAAGTTCTCATCAATCGCTATTATCGCTGCTGTTGTTTCTGTTGCATCTGCTGCTTCACGTGTCATTGAAGCAACTGACAAAACATTTGATGATATCGTCTACAAATCTGGAAAAGATTCATTAGTGGATTTTTATGCTTCTTGGTGTGGACATTGTAAGAAATTAGCTCCAATTTATGATGAATTAGCTGATGTTTATAAAAACACTAAAGATGTTCAAATCGTCAAGATTGAATGTGATCAAAACAGTGCAACTTGTAAACAATTTGGTATAAAGGGGTTCCCAACTTTGAAATTTTTCAAAAATGGTCAAGATGAACCAATTGATTATAATGATGGAAGAGATGTTGAATCTTTTACAAAGTTCATTGGTAAAAATTCTGATGCCTATGTTTATATTCCAAAAGTCAAATCAAACATCGTTCAAGTTTCTGATTTAGATTTTGACAAGACTTTAATTGAAAGTGGTAAGAATGTTTTCGTTGTTTTCACTGCTGATTGGTGTGGTCATTGTAAAAGTTTACATCCAACCTGGGAACAATTAGCTGAATTATACAAAGATGAAGATAATGTCATCATTGCTGAAGTTTCTACATCTGATGCACCAAGTGACGAAATTACTAAAAGATATGGTATTACAGGTTTCCCAACAATTTTAACATTTGAAGCAAATTCTAAGAATCACATCCCATTTGCTTCTTCAAGAAGTTTGGAAGGTTTAGTCAGCTGGGTCAATCAATATTCTGGCTTACATAGATCAACTGATGGTGGTCTTTTACCATCAGCTGGTAGAAAATCAGATGTTGATTCCAAAATTTCAGAATTATTTAAAGCTGCTCCTCAACAAGCAAATGAATTAGCTACTAACATTTTGAGTGGATTAAGTCACTCAACTGATAGATCAGCTGAATATTATAAAAAATTATTAAATAAGGTCATCAATGGTGAAGAAGCTTTCTTCAATAAAGAATATAAAAGAATTTCCAAAATTTTGGAATCTACAAAATCTTTACCAAAAGAAAAATCAGATTATTTACAAGAAAGATTAAATATCTTGAAAGTTTTCAATAAATAACCCAGTTGATTTTACGGCAAATGAAGAAAAAATAAAGTTGTTATGATTTGTTTATTCCAAAAAAAAAATACATCAAATATGGAAAGAATTATTCAATTATGTAGCCATATGAGTTTTAAATCACTCAGAAATCGAATTTGTTTTCAGTCTTATTACTTCCTTAACATCGCCCTTTGAAACATTTTCATTTGTTAGCTCATATTCTTCACCGACTTCCTCTTCTTCCTCGTCATCACTATATACCACATCATCCTCAACATTTTCCACTTCACCTCTTTTCCGTCTATCTCTTTTATCTAACCAGGTAATAGCCAAAAACGATAATGCCATTGCTATGTTGAAACCTAGGGAAGCAGGATAACCAATTTTCCATCTTGGTGCAGCTCTTTCCCCATATTTTTCTCCTGTTGGGAAAAGTCCCAAGGGAGCCCACGTATAAACAAAATATCCAATACCCATCATTGACCCCATGACAATTGATTTCTGTTCTGGATCATTTTTTAAAATTCTGTTAACACTTGCATACAATATTGGTGATCCACATGAAGTTAATCCACTTGCATAAAATGCAAAAAATACAAGTCCCGTGGGGACATTATAAATAGTCATTATTAAACTTTGAACAATACCACCCGTGATGGAAATCATGAATATTTTCCAAGGTGAATAAACTGCTGCTAATGATGCACCAACAAAACTTGTCACTATAGATATAGCACTAACAGCAGTTGGATAATTATTAATTTGAACAACTGAATATCTTTTCTGAGCTTTCAGCCATAATGACATATAACCTGCTGTGTGATGGCCTAATAACATACAAATATACCCAAAAACACAAACATACCATTTCCATTGTGTGAATGTTCTTTTTAATACATCTCGGTCCAATTTGCCAGCTTTGGAAACTTTATATCTTTCAGTTCGCTTCAATACTAACTTATACTCATCATCCGTTAAATACCAAGGTTTACCACTCTCTGGTAATCCGGGCCAAAATGCATACCCTATTAATGCAATAGGTAATGTGATGATACCATCAATAATAAATAGCCATTGCCATCCTTTTAATCCATTAACCCCAGATAAATTTGTATAAGCTGCAGATTGTAAATAACCCGAAAACATATTAGCTGCATGAGATGATAAAAACCAAGTTCCACTTCTAACATATATTTCTGTGCTATTCCCTTTATAAGACTTTGTTCCATAAAAGAAGCCCAATGTTTGATGAACTCCTGTAAACGAAGGAGCTTCAAGGAGTCCTAGAAGAAACCTAACAGCATATAATTGGTTAACTGTGACTATACGTGATTGTGCAAATGTACAAATACCATATAAGACTTCCAAAGTTGGTAAAACATATTTTGAAAATTTTGGTCTTGACATCAATACTAAAAATGGAACCTGTCCAATCACATAACCTAGTAAATATGTGATCTGTAACCAATTTAGCTCATTACCATATAGAGATAAATCTTCTTTCATTCCCGAAACATAGGCATTTGTGATGTTTGAACTATCTAAGGATTTAACGAAAAATGAAAGACATCCATAAACCAGTAAACTTAAATCTAATTTAAACAACAATCTTTTCTCAGCTTTGGAGTATCCATTAGGATACCATACAAACATAGACTTCAATGATTTGATGAACTTGTTTTGCTTAAGACTATCATGGTTTCTTCTTTCTCTTGGCTCTGTCATAACAGTTTAATGATCTTCTGACTTTTCAACATTTCAATCCTAATTAGATTTAATAGGACAGATTCAAAGCTTTATAGTTCTTGGTATTTTTTAGCCATTGACATGATCTTTAGTACACTCTTGATGCCACATTATCTTGTTTGACTGCTTTACGGGTTCCTATTCTGCTGAAAATTGCAATACTAGAATTGTGGCTTGTGATTTTGAATTCGTTATTATAAGCAAAGAGCTTCCATTGAACATATTTTCTAACTAGTATCACACTAAAGCTCCATAACGGTTCGGTGTTTCCTGTGTTTGTAATTTTAATGAAAACCATTGACTATCTTTGTTAGAGGCTAAAATACCCAACGAAGAATTAATTCGTGCGAGCTAATAATTCTGATTTTTTTCCGGAATTAATGTTTTTCATACGATGACTTTGTCATCTACAATTTCCAGTAAAATTATAAATAACAATCTTTTTTATAAGCAATTAATTATTAAATAAATATGAATAAGTTATTTGACATTATGGATCCTCACCATTCAATTCCTTTTGTTTTTTGAACAACTCTAACAAATTTACTCCAAACTTTACCACCTCCCAAAACAGTTTCATCAATTATAGGAATTGCATTTGCAGGATTACATTTAGCTAGCCATATGATTTCACCAGTTTTCATATAAACTTGAACATTAGCAACAAATTTATGACCACCCACATGATTCACGTAGCAAACTTTAACACCATTTGGTCTATCATCACCAATATCTCTGTATAATTCTAATTCTCTAAGACGATGGTCCATCTCTTTTTTCATTAATGGTGCGGTTATACCACATCTTTTATCTCTTGTTCTATGTGAGCATAAAAAGACATAAGCCTGTTCCACTGCAATCTCTATTTTAAACCTTTGAATCTCTGTTGGTGGTGAAATCTTATCATCTCTAGATTTTATTAAAATTGGAATTAGCTCATTTAATAATGGGAAAACATTGTCTAAATCTACTTTTTTGATCCATACAAAATACGGCAATATAAGGACATCATTAACTTCACCTTTATAGCACCTTGGATCCATAGAATCAAATGGTAAAGAAGAGGCTGAAACTTTTACACTACCTTCTTTAACGAAATCTGCACCATGCTTTCCTATCCATTGAGAAATTTTATTTTCTATGGTATTTGAAGTACCAGTAGCATCATGAGCCCAGTCAGCCTTGGATGTCGGTACTATGAAATGTAGCCCTGTTGGTTGTGCACTTTTGTATATATCACCATCATCAACTTTTACACTTGGAGGGAACTTTGTGGTACAACTTCCACATTCTGAATCACAAGACGAAATTGGTACTGTCTGTGAAATTTCTTGATCTCTTTCTGAAAGGTCTGGCTTCCCTTTCCAAATATTCTTGAGTGCAAACATTATGAATTGGCTTTCTTTTATCCGTTGTTCAACCGCTATTTTTTAAATTAATTTTAGTGGGATCGAAAAGATACGACAAATCTGATAACTTTATAGTACTACTAAAAAAAAATCAAAATAATGAAATTTTTGGCTGCGCGATGGAGACAGTTTCCTAAATTGGATACACGGCCGAACTTATAGCGGTTAAATAAATAATAGCCATTGTTTGTGTTTATTTACCCGTAAAGACGTTGGAATTATTTGGAAGATATCGGTTTTACACGAATTTAACAGGCGATAATATGATTTGAAAGGTTATCTCAATGATTCAGTATATGCAATATCAAAATCAATTATAGGGGTGTTGGTCAAGTTGGCATTATCATATACTAGATACGTTGGACAACTCAGTCACTGGTCAAAATAGCCATACTCGTATCAATAGTCAATTAATTATTCCCTTAGGTGTTAGGTGTTAAGTGATATTAGTTCAGTTATTTATTATATTATATTGACCTGCGTCAAAGTCTTAATTCAATTGCCAGAATTAGTTATACAGTAACGGTCATAATGTTTCACTCATTTGAATAACGCAATAATGTGAGTGGTTTTTGTTTGAGAATGAGAAGCTTTAAAGATTAATTGAATTAACTCTGAGTGGTTTACAAAGAAAACTATATAAGTTCATGAACCTCTCTTAATTGTAATATGAGATATTATTAGCTGTCCTTTTACACCAACGTACATTTAAATTTAATAATTATATTTAAGAGATCAATTGAAAATGAGATTACTTAAGATTTTTACAGCAATTTTACCAGCTATAGCAGCATTAACTTCTGGTGTTGATCTTAAAAATGATATCCATTCATTATTAAATTCAATTCTTCAAGATCATAAATCACTTCAACACACTCACTCTATAAACTACGGATTCAATTTAAAAAATGATATTAAAAATTACATTAATGATCATGACGCTTTGAAAATTAACTCATTAACATCTGAAGATTTATCAAATGCTTTGGACGTTTATATTAGAACTCGTGGCTCAAAAATTGATAAATTATCAGTGAATAGTTTCAATGAAAGCTTAAAAAAATGTTTCACTAGACTTGGTATTGAAGCTAAAGTAAAAAATGATATTAAAAATGATATAAAAAATTACATCAATGATCATGACGCTTTGAAAATTAACTCATTAACATCTGAAGATTTATCAAATGCTTTGGACGTTTATATTAGAACTCGTGGCTCAAAAATTGATAAATTATCAGTGAATAGTTTCAATGAAAGCTTAAAAAAATATTTCACTAGACTTGGTATTAAAGTTAAAGACGAGATTAAAAAGAATTCCAATGTGGAAAGTAGAGATGATACATCTACCAGAGTTCATGTAACCACCACTTTGGCACCATCACCAACTCAAGGTAATTAGATGATAGCATATTAACTTTGATAGTTTTAGTTAATTAAATATTGTGAGTCATGGACCAGCTTTAAAGTCACTTCTCGTAGTTTTTGCGCAATTTCTTTGTTTCTTAAAGCTCACTTATTCTCTTTAACCAGTTGATAACTTGACTGTTCGGAATATCTGAGTTCTTTAAAGAGATGATTTAAAACCAGTAAAAAACTCAAACAGAAAACAGAAAGCATATATATATATATATAATAAAGCTTTTCCAAAACTATTTCTTATGTTTACTTCTATTTAACTCTTCACCAACTTCACTATACGCTTACAATCAAACACAATTATAATAACAATCATATGATGAATCTCTTCAAACCTTTATTATACGTCACGCTACTTTTGAGTAGTGTATCATCAGCTCAAGTTATTGACGATTCTTTAGCTAAATGTGTTAATGACAAAACATGTCACGTCTCTTATTATTATACCAAAGATATCATCAATATTGGTAAAAATGCAGGATCTGGGGAAAAACCTACGTTAGATCAACAATATTACATAAACGGACTTCATCAGTTAATTGAGAGGACAGACAGCATTCAAGAAATTCAAGAAGAGCTTCTAGAAGAGCTTCAGAAAGAGTTTCAAGAAACTGAAGAAGGTGTTGTGCAGAAAAAGAATAACGGTTGGGCTAAGACTATCAACACAATACATGAAGTAATGAAATTCATTGAATGGGCGAACGGTCTATTAAATGAATTTGGATATGGATTTTAAATATACTCAAAGAGGATTTCAGAATCAGAGTTAATGCCATTTTATAAATATTCAAACCATGATTATGCAGTTCATTAAACAGAATCATGGATTTATCAGTATTCAAGATAAGATTGATAAGTTTTAAAAATTAACAAGATACAAATCATTTTACTCCTCACCTGTCCCACTATAATTCTCCAATATAATTAAATGATCTTTATATTAGACCGAAATCTAACAATAAAAAAAAAATTTAATTCGACGTCTAGTATTAAGCTGGAAATTTTTAATATTAATATCTGGTAAAAAAGTTTGATTATGGATACCGTCTGTGAATTACCAAGTGCGTGTAAAATAGTTTTTAGAATGTTTGTATTATGTTTTGTTTCCTATTAACTGATTAATTTGGTTTGATTAAAACCTTACCTCTGGCTTTATGGGTGGCTAATTTCTTGAAAGCAACTGTATAGTCTTCTAATTCGAATTCTGAATCAATGTATGTTTTCAATTTACCTTCATCAAATAATTTTGTAGCTAATGGATAGAAATCTGAACAAGTTGTAACAAATCCATAATTATATGTTCTAAAATATGGAATTAATTTAGAAATAAGCGACCAAGAAAAAAATTTGAACATAGATTGATTATAATCAGCAATTTTATCACCAACAATAGTAACAAAACCAGATTCAGTGGTTTTTGGTTTCAGAACATCATTGACAACTGGGAAAATATCACTACTACCGACACAATCGATGATTAAATCGAATTTTTCACCTTGGTATTCATTATCAACAATTGATTTAACAGCTTGACCAACATTACCTTTAGCATAATCAACAACAAGATCAGCACCAATTTCTTTGACTAAAGGTTCAGATGATGATGAGTTGATACTGACAATACTCTTGACTTGATAATAATTTTTTAATAATTGAATGGTATAGTAACCAACAGCTGTGGCACCACCAATGACTAGAACTCTTGAACTCTCAGTTGGTTTATGGAATGATCTAACAGTGCTATAAGCAGTTGCAAAGACTAATGGGAATGATGCAGCTTCAGCTAAAGTCAAACTCTTTGGGATTTTTCCAGATGGAGATTCTGATGGTTTAACAATTAAATATTGTGAAACTGTACCTTGTTCGGTATAAATTGGTTCAAAAAGACCTGAGACTTGATCACCAACAACAAACTCTGTGATTTTAGAGCCAACTTGTTCCACGACACCTGAATAATCACGACCAATACCTTTAACATTTGTTTTCCAGAAAAAAGCCCATGAAGAATGGTGTAAGATTAAATCAACTGGATTTAAAGCAGCATGGCTAATTTTAACTAAAATTTCATCATCTTTCAAATTTGCGGTGTCTAATTTGACATCCTTGATTTCCAATGGCTTACCATTAAAATAATTGACTCTTTTGAAGTTGACCACAGACATTTTGATCTTGTAGTTATGGTTATTATATAGATCTATTTGTTTATGTCTTCACTTTTAAGTAGGGAGTTAATTATTACAGCTGAAATTTGACACCATGAAAAAAAAAATTCGATCGCCGGAAATTTTTACGAGAATTAATAGATCTTGATTTTTGAGTAAACTGACATGTAATTAAATTATAAGCGAGTGAAGTTTAGATTATTTGATAGATCAGGCTCTGATATATACTCAATAGAGAATTACAACTATATTGTGGTGATCAAATGATCAAATACTATAGCTAGCTGGTCGACCAAGTCTTGAGAATTACATGATTGAATCAATTATTGAAATCAAAAATCAAATATTAAAATTAAAACTACTATATATATATATACGTCTGTGGATAAATTTAACAAACAAATTAAAGTCTTTAAGTGTGAAATCATTATTTCCCCTAGCTTGACTTCACTAAAATCTTACCTTTAGCTTTATGAGTTGAAAGTTTTTCAAAAGCTTCTTTATAATCATCCAATTCATAAACAGAATCAATATAGGTTTTCAATTGACCCTTTTCAAATAATTCCCTAGCTAAAGGATAATAATCCTGTGAAGTTGATACAAATCCATAGTTATAGTTTCTTAAAAATGGAATCATCTTTTTAATCAACCCCCATCTGAAAAAACTAAATAATGATTGATTATAATCTGCAATTTGATCACCAACAATCGTAACAAACCCAGATTCTGTACTTTTTGGTTTCAATACATCGTCAATAATAGGGAATAAATCACCACTACCAACACAATCAATAATTAAATCAAACTTTTCACCTTGGAAATCATTTTCAACAATTGATTTAACTGATTTTGCAACATCTTCTGTACGATAATCAACAATAATATCAGCACCAAGATTTTTAACATGTTTGGCAGTTGAGCCAGAATTTATACTAACAATACTTTTAGCTTTTGAGTAGTTTTTTAGCAATTGAATTACATAATTACCAACTGATGTAGCACCTCCAATAACTAAAACTCTTGATCGCTCTTTTGGTTTATGGAAAGATCTTATTGTATTGTAAGCAGTTGATAATACCAAAGGAAATGAAGCAGATTCAGCTAATGACAAATTTTTTGGTATTTTACCAATTGAAGATTCTGATGGTTTCATAATTAAATATTGTGTAACAGTACCTTGACTTGTATAAATTGGTTCGAAAAGACCGGAAATTTCATCACCTTTAACATAATCAGTGATTTTGGAACCAACTTCTTCAACAGTACCTGAAAAATCACGGCCAATACCTTTATAGCCACGCTTATAGAAGAAATATGATGATGAATGATAAAGTAATAAATCGATTGGATTCAAAGCAGCATGACTGACTCTAACTAAAATCTCATCTGATTTCAAATTTTTGATGTTGAATGTTTTGTTTTTTAGTTCTAATGGATTACCACTGGTATATGTGACTTGTTTGTAGTTGATTGACATTTTGATATGCTTATTGAAACAAAAGATATCAACTTCTATCAATATTAGCAACTTTCCATGCGTTTATATACTTTTTATTGATTAATAAACACAAAGCAAATAAGTGGAAAAGTTTATTATCTATTCGGTGTTATTCGGTGTTATTCGGTTTCTTATTCACTTACATAATCGGCGCGCTTGAAATTATGTAAGTCACGAAAAGTACGCGTAAAAAAAAAATAAACGCCATCAAAAAAAACAAAAATGCGGTTACTCAAACAATCAAAAAAGATAAAAATCACCAATTTAATCGAAAGAAGAAAACACTTCAAAGACACAGCGGCTGCTCAAAAGCGATAGAGATACACTTTAGGATTTTCAAGGGAACCATACTTGCTGTGATCTGATTTGAAGAGTGTACATAAGCGTCAAAAATGAGTACGTTAGATTCATTACCACTGTCTGATGGTACTAGTGCTGCTAAAAGGTTCAAACCAAATATTCCAGATGAAGCTGTTATAGACTTGACTAATGAAGAAGACGATTTCGAAGAGATTCTGAGTGATACCCAGGACAGTAGTGATGAAGACGATGTGATGATTACTGGTTTTAGGGATTTGTCTAGACCTGGTACAAGCTCGAGTGATGGAAATATAAATGGTGCTGCTGTCGCTGCTACTAGCACTCCTGGTGGACCTTCACGTTTGGTTGGATTATCAGGGAATCGTTCAAATAGTCCACAGATGTCACTGGTAAAGCCTAAAGATAAAGCTACTGCAGGTCCTATACAGAATAATAATCCATATCGTCCAACTCCACAATCTACTACAAATGCTCCGAATGATTTCTCTTCAATACTAGCAGATTTCCATACCTTAACACATGAACAAAGAATGCAGAAGTTGAGCGCTCCATATATTGCTGAGTCAACTAGGCAATTTTTAATTGAAAAGTTCAATTTAAGAAGCAACACACAGTCACTGACAGCTCAACAAAGAGTTCAACAACAACTGGATCAACAGAGGCAACAAATACTCGCGAGACAACAACAGAACCAACAGCAGCAGCAACTACTACAACAACAGCAACAGTTGACCATGCGAAGACCTACTCCAGTTCAACAAAAAATTGTTAAATGGAATAATATTCCTTTCAAAAGTGTTGAAGATGTTACAAAGAAGGAATATGAATTTAAATTAAAGTTGAATGACAGTAAATCACAAGAAAATTCACATGAAAAGGAAAAACACAGTCATACTGAACTGATGAAACGTGTTATTGAATCACTTGAAAGATTAGAAAAATCTGGTGTATCCAAAACAATTCCACAGTATGTTGATCTAGTAAAATCAAGAAAAGAGTTATCAGAGATTATTTCAAAAGATGTTCAAAAATCAAAACTACTTGAGAAGAAAGTTAAAGATGATACAAGAAACTTATTAAACTTTACAAATACCGTTAAACCACAATTAGTTACACATTTGAATAAAATCAAAAAAGATATGGAACAACAGCAACAACAACAACGTATCCAACAGCAAAATCAATTTGGCGGTAATGCAGCTTTAGCTAATCTCCCAGGTGGTGTCTTTGGTGATATGCTGCAAAATTTGCACCAAAATCAAAATCAACGCCATTTCTTACAAATAGATAGTGAAGATGAAGATGGTGAAGATGATGAATTACCTTATCATATGTTTGCTAATAGAAATAATCGTTTCAATCCTCATGGAACCTTTGGCGATGATAGTGAAGATGATGGTGGTATCTATAATAATAATCGTCCAAATTTATATACTGAAAATGCTGATGATTTAAGATCATTCTTGGAATCTTTTAAAACTATTGAAGAAGATATCGATGGTGAATCAAATACCCCAGAGTCGTTGACTGTTAACTTAATGAAACATCAAAGAATGGGTCTTCATTGGTTAGAAATGAACGAGGATGATCCAAAGAAAAAGGGTGGTATTTTAGCTGATGCTATGGGTCTTGGTAAGACTGTTCAAGCTATTTCTATAATGTTAAGTCGTCGTTCTGAAGATGAAATGAGTAAAACGAATTTGATTGTTTGTCCAGTTGCTATGATGCGTCAATGGGAATCAGAAATTAATACTAAAATTAAAGAATCTGCAGATTTTTCAGTTATGGTTTATCATCCAAGTTCGAATGGTAAAAGATTCACAAATTTTCAACAATTAGGTAAATATGATGCAGTTTTAATTTCATATCAAACTTTAGCTTCTGAAATGAAAAAGCACATAAAAGGTTATGAAATTAAAGAAATGGGTTTACCAAGAATTAATACTAAAAAAGAAAATGAAAAAGGAACTTACTGGAGTCCATTTTTCTGTCAAGATTCAGTTTTCCATCGTGTTATCTTAGATGAAGCACATTGGATTAAAAACAAATTAGCTAAAAATTCAATTGCCTGTTGGTTATTAAAATCTAAGAATAGATGGTGTTTAACAGGTACACCAATGCAAAATAATTTTGAAGAAATTTTCCCATTAATTAGATTTTTAAATATTAGACCATATTGTTTTGAAGATAAATTTAGATCTGATATTTCAATTCCATTGAAAAGTAAAAATGGGAATTATGATGAAATGGATAGAGAAAGATCTATGAAAAAATTAAGAATCATGATTAAAGCTATTTTATTACGTCGTACTAAAGATTCTAAAGTTGATGGTGAACCAATTTTGAAACTACCACCAAAAGAAGTTATTTATGATGAAGTTATTATTGAATCTGATCATGATGAATCTGAATTCTATCGTCATTTGGAAGGTAAATCCCAAGTTGAAGTTGAAAGATTAATGAATTCAAGTAAAGGTTTTGCTAAAGGTAATTACAGTTCAATCTTAACATTATTACTTAGATTACGTCAAGCTTGTTTACATTCTGAATTAGTTCGTATTGGTGAAAGGAAACAAGGTATTGTGTATGACCAAGATGGTAATCTGAAGGCAAGTGCTACATGGGAAATGATGTTTGATTTCTGTAAATCATTAAAACCAGAAGTTATTAGAAGAATTAATAATCAAGAACAAGGTGGTACTAATAGTGATGATGAAGAAAATGGTGGTCGTTTCACATGTTCAATTTGTCTAGATACACCACCAGATGAAGAATGGACCATGTTTCATCCTTGTGGTCATGGGTTATGTAAAGAATGTGTTGGTGATTTTTTTGAAAAATTTCAAACTGGTGAAAAACAAGGTGTCAAATTGGCAAGTTGTACTCAGTGTAGAATGGAAATTAAAGAAAATGGTATTTTCACTTTCAAGATGTTTAATGATGTTGTCAATAAGAAACTGAGTAAATCAGTTATATCCATTATGCAAGAGAAAGCTAAAAAGGATTTAGCAAAAGTTAATGATGAAATTCAAGATGAAATTAAGAAATTAGGAATATCACCAAAATTCAAAAGAGCTTTAGAATTAATTGAAAAAATATTGAAGGAAAAACCAGATGAAAAAATTATTTTGTTTTCACAATTTACTACATTATTTGATGTTTTTGAGAAATTTTTACAAGATAGACAAATTAACTCATTACGTTATGATGGTTCAATGAAAGCTGATGAAAGAAATGATGTTATTAAAGATTTTTATAAGATGGCAGATAAAAGATTATTATTGATTTCTTTAAAAGCTGGTAATGTGGGTTTAACATTAACTTGTGCAAATCATGTTATTATAATGGATCCATTTTGGAATCCATATGTTGAAGAACAAGCACAAGATAGAGCTCATAGAATTGGGCAAGAGAAGAATGTTAAAGTTTATAGATTATTAACAAAAGGTACAGTAGAAGATCGTATTATGGAATTACAAAAACAAAAGAAAGAATTAGTTGAAGGTGCATTAGATGAACAAGGTATGAAGAGTGCTGGTGGTTTAAGTCGTAATGAAATCATGTATCTTTTTGCCCTTAATGACCGTCCACGTTAAGTTTTATTTGATATTATTTGAATTGTTTTTTAATGGTTTTGTATTATTTATGTATAAGTTTTTGTTTAGTTTTATATATTTGGAATTTTAGTATTTAAATTATATTTTGTTGTACAACATTATTACCTAATCGGGTAATCTAGAATGTAGAAATTTATCCACAATTTCCGCGAATTTTTTCAATGGTCGTCTTTTTTTCGTGAACAGCAAAAAAATCAAAGTGATAAATTTCAAAATTAAATCAAAGGGATTTAACATTTTAAGCTTATTCAATTATTAATCAAATTAACTTAATATTAAAATGAGTGGTGAATCTATTTTATTTATTCTTTCAGTCATCTTGAATGCTGTTGGATTGTTTTTCCAAGTTTTCTTCACAATCATGTATTCAGATTTAGAATGTGATTACATTAATCCTGTTGAATTATGTAACAAATTAAATGTCTACATTATTCCAGAAGCTGGTTTACATGCATTTTTAACTGCTTTATTCTTGGTCAATGGTTACTGGTTTGTGTTTTTACTTAATGCTCCATTATTAGCATTCAATGCTAATAAAGTTTTAAACAAGACTTATTTATTAGATGCTACTGAAATTTTCAGAACTTTAAGTAAACATAAAAAGGAATCATTTGTTAAATTAGGTTTCTATTTGTTCTTATTCTTCTTCTATCTGTATAGAATGATTATGGCTTTAATTGCTGAAGATTAGATTTTTCAATTTTGGTAATTTTAAATTTTCAAGAAAAAGATTGAAATCAATGATCTTTAAAGATAAGAACATTTGGTGAATGTGGTGGTGGTGGTGGTGATAAATGATGAAAGAAGGTTAAAATATTTGGATCAAATTTTAATACAAATTGTGTTGATAAGTAAATTCAAGGGATCAACATATATATGAAGTATTCGCATTGTATAATATAATGATGTATCAAATCAAGAGGTTTTTTAGTATGTTTTATTGTTGTTTGTAGTTAAGGAATGGTGCATAATTACGAGTATAATACGTAGATATCAATTAATCATTATTCATTAAACTTATGTTATATATATTTATATATATATTAAGATTCTTCAACTTCATAAAATTTTGAATTCAATTGTTTTAATTTTTCCAAAAGTCCATAATTTGGATCAATTATGTTATTTAAGTTGTTCAATTTTATTAAAATTGAATCATTAGTATTTAAAGAATCTTTATTTGGTAAATTATTTAAAGAATCATTAATTTTTTTCTTTGTTTTAATTTTTTGTTTTGTTTGATTATATTTTAATCTAATTTTTTCTAAATTTCTTAAATTTTCATTAATTTCTTGTCTTGTATCAAATAAATCTTTTCTTAATTGTTGTTTTTCAAATTTAATATCTTTTAATTTATTAATATGATTATTATTTGTTAAATTTAAATCTAAAGTTTTATTAAAATATGATTTATTCAAATTTTGAAAATTTTTAAAATGAGATTCAGTTTCATTTTCTAATGATTCATTTAAACTTTGTAATACAAGATCTAATGATGTTAGTCTTGCCGTTGAAGTTGGTAATCTTGATATTTTGATTTCTTTGGAACCAAGTGAATAAGTATCATCTAGATCTTCATCTTGAGATTCATCATTTGGTAAATTTGCTTGGAAACGATTTTCATAATTTTCATAAAAATCTTCATCTTCATCTTCATCTTCAATTTCTTCATTATAATTTGAAGCCCGATCAAAAACTTTTGTCTTGGATTTTTGAGGTTTGAGTATTGGTTCTTTTTTGATTGGTTTTGTTTTGGTCTTTGGTTTTGGTTTGGGTTTTAATTTAGAATCTTGCTTATCTACAACTTTCTTCAACTTTGGTTTTGGTTTTGATTGTGATTTTGTCTTTACATTCAAATTCTTCGATACATTCTGGCTTATTCTTGGTTCATATTCTTCAATAATATTTTGCTTCGGTGTAACAGGTTTCCTTTGTTTGATTTTTTTGGTTTTTTGAATAGATTCCCTTGGAGTTATAGGACTATTAGCTAAAGATAATTCTTCAGTAATCAAAGCACCAGAATCCTGAGATACGGGTACCCACTTGGGAGTAACAGCAGCTCTTGATGCCTTATGCGATTTCTGTGTTGAATGGGAACTTGATCTTCTTGTCTTGGGAGTCTTGATGACAATATCATTTCCTGTTGTTAACTGACGTGAACTGACCCATAATGTTAGTATAAAGGCTTGAAAAAAACTAGATCCACTAAAACTCACGCAGCTCCTCTTTTCCGTATTTCTCTTCTCTCTTCACGATCCATCACACTTCTTTAATATACACAAATGTCATAAATGAATTTAACAATATTGGAGATTGGAGAGTTTAATGTAAACAATCAAATAAATTTAATACCGACGCGTTTTAGGAAAGTTAAACCACGAATTTTTCAATTATTTCCCTTATCTAAGCACTTTTCAGTAAATAAATTAAAAGATCAATTTCTTCTTCTCTTTTGAAAGATTCGATATCCCATAATTCACAAAGGTAACGATGGTCAAATTCAACAGAAAGTATTCTTTTATCGGGTTAGCAGCAGTTGCAGTGGTTGGTGGTGCTTATTTGGTGCTCAAGACATTTCCACATTTAACAGAACAAGAAACTGAAGAAAAACCAGTTTTTGAAGATTTAAATGATGAAGAATTGAAAGAATGGTTATTAAAAGTGAGTTTATGATACTGGTAATTCATTGTATATTGTACTTTACTAACAATACTCTTTAGAATAAAATAACAGTTCCTGAAGATGCTACAAGAGAAAATTTGATTTCATTAGCAAAATCAATATAATATAATACAATATAATATAATATAATATAATATACACTTAATGACAATTCAATCTATCTAAATATATTCTAATACTTATCTTTTATACATCTGTAGGCAATCTATCATTATATTTCTTCAATGCATTTTGAAAAATTTGTTTTGTTAAACCACGATCTTCATCAAATATATGAGCAAATTGAACTCCAATAGTTTCAACATCTTTATTTCTTAATTCATCATCAAATAGCACAACATGTTTCAATTCTATTTCATCTGGTAAATTTTTCATTGCAGATCTAATATGACCTTTTTTAGAACCTGTACCAAATTGTAAATCATCAAAATAATTTATTGCTGGTTGACCATTTAAATGTAATGATTTCAACATCTTTCTAGCCAATGCTATATATGTGTGTTAATAGGCCAATCTCTGAAAATTATTGAAAGTAATACTTACCTGGAGCTGAAGTCCTACTAGCAGCAACAATATAAACATTGTTTTGTTTTAATTCTTCGATTATATCTGCAACATCTTTATAAAAAGATAAAGTGAATCCATATCTTTCTTAAAGTTAGTCATACTCAGTATGATTGAACAATACAACACTACTCACTTATCCACTATAGTATCATTATTTCTTGACTTGATTGGAGGTGAAATATGAGTATCACACCAGCACTTTCCACTTTTGTTAGTATTATAATTTTCCATTCAACCTATATAATTAATACCCACAGCTATGTTATATTTGTTAGTGAATCCTCCCAAAACTTCTAGAAAAAAAGGTCTGGTACTCACGCCAGAGTGTATAGTCCAAGTCAAACACAACAACTTTAGGATACGACATGTTGATAACTCTAAACAATAAATACGTTGCTTTTACATTGAATTCAATATTCATCATTTTAAAAGATCCAGATTATCTCACTAGCCACATTGAGCTTGAATATTACCTAATCCAGTAATCCAGTGGCTAGTGTTTCACGTGAAATGAGCCACCGTTTCCCAAAGAAGTAATTTCTGTGGCGAATGTGCTCAAATTGTTCACGTTGGAACTTCGTCGACAAAAACAAATTCAACAAAATTTCCTTCTTTTCTACCTTTAAAACACACATTGATTTGGAAGTCACCAATACTCAATTCATACTCAATTGCAAAATGGTCTACACTGCCAGACAAATCGGTGCTAAAAACACCTTAGACTACAAAGTCTACGTTGAACAAGATGGTAAACCAATCTCTCCATTCCATGATATCCCATTATATGCTGATGAATCAAAAAAAATCTTAAATTTTGTTGTTGAAATTCCAAGATGGTCAAATGCTAAATTAGAAATTTCAAAAGAACAAAAATTAAACCCAATTATTCAAGATACTAAAAAGGGTAAATTAAGATTTGTTAGAAATGTTTTCCCTCATCATGGTTATATTCATAATTATGGTGCTTTCCCTCAAACTTGGGAAGATCCAAACCAATCTCATCCAGAAACTAAAGCTAAAGGTGATAACGATCCTTTAGATGTTTGTGAAATTGGTGAAGCTGTCGGTTACACTGGTCAAGTCAAACAAGTTAAAGTTTTAGGTGTCATGGCTTTATTAGATGAAGGTGAAACTGATTGGAAAGTTATTGTTATTGATATTAATGATCCATTAGCTCCAAAATTAAACGATATTGAAGATGTTGAACGTCATTTACCAGGTTTATTAAGAGCTACTAATGAATGGTTCAGAGTTTATAAAATTCCTGATGGAAAACCAGAAAATCAATTTGCTTTCTCTGGTGAAGCTAAAAATAAAAAATATGCTGAAGAAGTTATTAGAGAAACAAATGAAGCTTGGGAAAACTTAATCCAAGGTAAAACTCAACCAGATGAAATCTCATTAACTTCAACTGCTTTACCAAACGTTGCTTCATATGAAGAAGCTGCTGCTAAAGAAGTCCCAGCTGGTGGTGAAGATTTAAGAGATGCTCCAATTGATAAATCAATTGATAAATGGTTCTTCATTTCTGGTGCTTCTGCTTAACTACAAAGTCATCTATGATATTAAATAGTTGAATAAACAAAGTTATCTTATTTTATCTTATAAACTTCTTGTATTTTGTATAAATTTTATAATTTTGGAATGATCTTTTACACCATCAGTTTCAACACCACCTGAAACATCAACACCAATAACACCATTTAATTTTATAGCTTCACTGACATTTTCAGGTGTTAATCCACCTGCAAGAATATATTTTGCATTATTTTCATTAGCCCATTTACTTAAATTTTCCCAATTTAATTTAATACCTTCACCACCAGCTTCACTATCAAATAATGATAAAATTTGTTTATTTGGTTTTAAACTATCTAATACATTATCTTCATCAGGTATAAATCTTGCAATTGTAGGAACTTTTAAATTTGGAATATAATCATCATGATTTTCTTTACCATGTAATTGAACAAAATCTAAATCTAATTCATCAATTAATTTATTAATTTCTTCAATACTTTGATCTTTGAAAACTCCAACACTGAAAGGACCTTTTTCTTTTAATTCTTTAGAAACCTCCTCGAACCATTTAGGTGAATCACCACGACCACCAAATGATCTATAAAATTCATTTGAAGTTATTGGAAATCTTTTAGATTTAACTAATTGTGTAATTTCTTTAGCAATACCATGATCAATAGTACGTTTTTTACCAGGAACAAGAATCATCCCTATCAAATTAGCACCGGCATCCAATGCAACTTGTGCACTTTCCACGTCTTTAATACCACAAATCTTGACTAAAACCATGATTTAAAGCTTTTGTTCTTGTTGGTTTCTACTTGAGCAATTGAAATCAGTTGATGAGTATTAAATAATTTATACGTATACTACAAAAAATTCGCGAATGTACTGTCAATTTACGTCTGTTCAATAAACTCTCATAGATTTTTTAAAAAAGTAAATATTAAATAAAGTAGATACACAACTTCTGGAAGATTTATAGTTTTTAGAATAGAAATAGTTGTTTAGATTGGTCTTAGAATGTCATTGGAACAGGAGAGAAGTGCATTGGAAGAATTACATTTTTTGGAACAAGAGATTTCATCAAGAATTCAAAGAAATCCGGAGTTATATCCAAAGTTTAATGAAGATTTAAATTCAAATTTAAATAATAAGAAGAAGAGATCATTTAGAGAAGTTTTATTACAACAACATGAAATTAATAGATTTATTGATCAATATAAAAAACAAAAATCAAATTTACAACAAAGCTTAAATGATGCTGAATCAAGAAATCAAGAAATTCAATCATTAAAAGATCCAACATTAGAATTAATTAAATTTGATGAAATTTATCAAAATTTGAAAAACCAGAATGATTCAAATATTGTTAAACCTTTGAATTCGATATATGGTTTGAAAACTTCTAAAATAAATATCCTAAGTGAATTTTCATCCGATTTAGAATTAGGTTTAATGTTTTCAGGTGAAGAATATTTTGGTAAATATTTAGATTTATTTGAATTTTATGAAAAATGGTTAAATTTGATTGGAGATCCTACAATAAGTTATGTTAAATTTTTAGGAGAGTTTACAAAATTTGAGAAAATCACTAAAAAAAATGATGATTATTTAAAATATCTACAAAATTTATCAAATTATTTAATAAATTTTATTAAAAAATCATTACCATTATATAAAATTGATGAATTAATAACAAATATTGATAATGAATGGAATGATAAAAATCAATCAAATGAATTATATTGTGAGTATTGTGAAAGGGAATTTGCTAAAAAAACTGTTTATGATGGTCATTTAAATGGTAAAAAACATTTAAAAAATGTTGAAAAAAAGAAATCATCGTTAACAGAAGATCAAAATCAATCAAATCCAAGTTCTTCAAAGAAAAATTATGAATATTATGAATTTCAAATACAAAAACTTGTTGAGCCTTTACAAACCAAGATTCAAGATACAAAATTAAATACAGAAAGAAGAAAAGCATTAACAGAACGTGAAAGAATAATAGAATTATCACAATTAGAAAAAGATGAAGAATTATCTTCATCTGATGATGATGAAGAAAATGGGGATTCAAATGATGAGGAAAATCAAGATTTTAATAATGGAGTTTATAATCCATTAAATTTACCAATTGGATTTGATGGACAACCTATACCATATTGGTTATGGAAATTACATGGATTAGGTAAAAAATATAATTGTGAAATTTGTGGTGATTATACATATCAAGGTCGTAAGGCATTTGAAAAACATTTTTTAGAACCAAGACATATTCATGGATTAAAATGTTTAGGTATTGAACCTTCAAATATTTTTAAAGATATTATAAGTATTGAAGAAGCAAGAAATTTGTGGAATGGATTGAAAAAAGATAAAAGAAAAGAAGAAGGTGAAAAGGAAAATGCTGTTGAAGTTGAAGATGAAGATGGGAATGTTATGAGTGAAAAAGTTTATAATGATTTGAAGAAACAAGGATTGATATAGTGAAAATAATACATAGAATCAACTATATAATCAATGCTATTTAATTTATATTTATTTTCATTCAATTGTAAATCTCATGATATTTCAAATCTGATGGAATATTTATTGGTCAATAGATGAACTAATATAAGAATGTCATGTACGAGAAGAATATCGAAATATCAAGACTTCAAATTAGTCTAAATTCTCTACATTAATATTGTAATACTAAATCATTGGAAAAATCAATTAAACATTTAAATCCAAAACTGATCATCTTATGAATTAAATTTCCATGTGAAAATGAATGCAGTGATGAATAAACGTCTATCATTTATTAAACTCATGTTTATTGAGTATTATGTGGGTCCAATGATATCTAAAATCACAACATCACAATATGAAATACCAACACATGATTTTTTATACTATCTGACAAAAAATACTTCAAGTACTAGGTCAAAGTACTAGGTGATAAGGGTTACGTTGGAACAACCCAAAAAAATGAGTCTCTCTCATATGCCGAGATTAATTACAAGCTGGACAGCAAGGTATTTCAAACTCACGGGGAGTTTGACATCAGTGATTAATGATTAATATTTACAAAACTTCGAAGTACAAATTTCAAATTGTCAATTTATATAAAAAAATCGCGAATTTATATATCTTACATGAAATATAAACAACAAATTAAATAATACTCATCAAAAGAGATACCAAAAAAGAGCCAAATATCTCTACAATTATATAGAACAATCCATTCAATGTCACTATTCCTCTTCACATTCAATTGTGCTAAAGTACCACAATCAAAATTCCAAGATTTAAACCCAATTTTACCTTCAACTCCACCAAATTTATTAATATTTGGATTCCAAGAATTAGTACCAATATTAGAATCAACAATTCCACATAAAGTTAATGAAGAATTATTACGTATAAATGATCATATTCATAATGTTCTTGTACAAAAATATGGTGATAATTTAATACATACTGTTGAAATACATCATATGGGTGGTATTGGAATGATTTTAATGAGTTTAAACCCAACAAGAATTTTAAATTTAAAGAAAGGTTTTACCTCATGTGGGATTTTATATTCAAGTTTAAAAGGTGGGATTGGTTTAAGATTTAATTATTTGGATCAAGAATACACATTTGTTGTTGCACATTTAAGTGCAAATGAAGGACAAGTTGAAAGAAGAAATCAAGATTCTTGGAAAATTTTAAAAAATATTGAATTTAATGATGATTGGAGTGTTTTAAAACCTGGGGTTCATACTTATTTTATGGGTGATTTAAATTATAGGAAAGCTATATATGGTGATGAATTATCAAAACAAATTAATGATGGTGAAGCATTTCCAGGGTTTATTGAAGAAGATTTAAATTTTGAACCAACTTATAAGTTTCATATTGGTAGTGATGATTATAATACTAAAAGAATAAGTTCATGGTGTGATCGGATCCTGTACTTGAAACATGAAGATGAAGAACAGGCTGATAAACCAATATATGATTCAATACCTTCGTTCAAGACTTCAGATCATAAACCTGTTTATTTAAATATATCATTACCAAAAATTTTACCAAAAGATATTATTGATTCAAGAGGTTATTTAATAAATTCAGATATTTATTTAAAATCAACTTCATTAAGTAAATTGAATAATTTTTTAATGATTTTAGGAGATTTAATTATTGGTTCAACTTTAACACTTGTTGGTACACCGTGGGGGTATTTTGTATTGATATGTTTAATTTTGGCATTTATTTTTTGGTTGTTTTAAATATTCCATTAAACCTTTATGACGTTATAATATCTTTTATGATTTGTATATTTAGTTTACTCTTTTCCATTCAGCCTTATGAAACGGTTGTTGATCAATAGAAATTTATAAATATTTGTACTTTTAGTTTCTTACTTTTGTAGTTATGTTAATCGGTGTTTAGTTATTCGGACTCCATTTAACCCACAATTTAAACATGATTAAATGATCAAAAATAAGAGTTTTAGTTTGATAATATTCTATTATAATCTACAATTCTCTTTAAATAAATTCTAAATACATGACTATTGAATATCTAATAAAATAAAATTTTAAACACAATTCGTATTATAACACATTAATAAATGACTGACATTAATAAAGAAAAAAAAAACTATTGATCTGGATATTAATTAATTAACAAATCAAAACATTTTGTTCTTCCTTTTTTTTTTCTATGATTGGATATATTGTTTCTTATAAGTTTACTTTTCAACGAATTAATCTATAATTCTTTAAAAGCATCTCTACCAAAGAATGAAATTTTTAACCAATCAGCAATAACTTTAAATCTTGATCTAACAGATAAAATCATTGAAACGTACAAGACTCTCCAAACAAAGAAGGTGAAGATACCACCACCTGAATAGAATGATCTTGAACCATAAGTAATATTAGCAATAGCTTTTTCAGCACCTAAATAAGCTAAAGCACCTAAATGAATATATTTGAATGGTTTAATACCATGTTCTTGGAATAATAAATCAACTTTTTCTGATGTAGTTGATAATTTTTCATGGAAACCTGGAGTTTTAGCAATTTTGGAGAAAACTTTACATAAATATTCAGCTTCTTGATGAGCAACTTGAGCAGTTGGTGGTAATTTAGCAAAAGCATTATCACCAATAGCGAAAATAGAATTTGTACCTTCAACTAATAAATTTTCATTAACAATTAACCCACGGTTTGCATGATTTTGTTCTGGGATTTTTTTAAATAAGTTGGTGATTAAAGGTCTTGGTTTATTACCAGTAGCCCAAACTAAAACACCATATGGGATTTTAGTTTCTTCAACTGAACCATCTTCATTCTTGGTTTTAGCAATTAAATATTCATCTTCAACTTTTGAAACAGCAGTTCTTGTTTTCAAATCAATTGAAGTTTCTTTCAAGACTTTTTCAGCATATGAAGTTAATTTTTTTTCAAACATATTTAAAACAACTGGTAAAGCTTCAATCAAGACAATTTGAACTTCATCAACAATATTTGGCATAAAAGTTTTCAAATCTTGATCAATATAATCTTGTAATTCACCAGCAGTTTCAACACCAGTTGGACCACCACCAACAACAACTAAAGTTAATAATCTTTTTCTTTCAGGATCATCTTTTGGTAATAAATTAGCTCTTTCTACAGCTTCAATGAATTTATGTCTAATTTTTCTTGAATCAGAAATTTCTTTCAAGAAACAACCATGAGTTTCAACACCTGGAATACCAAAAGTATTTGGTTCAGCACCAACAGCAGTAACTAAATAATCATATTTAATTTGAGCAATTTCATTAGCTTCTAAACCAATGTTTAAACCAACACCTTCATTTGTAGTAATTGTTGAATTCATATTTGAAAAAGATTTAATTGTAACAGTTTTATCATTTGGATTAATATCTGTAGCTTCAGCTTCATAATAAGTAACATCTCCCTTTTTCTTATTAGCAAATGAAACAACTGGTTCCATAATTGATTTTTCATCAACAGTACCAACTGGACATGAAGGTAATAAAGGAGTGAAAAGGAAATAATTTCTTGGAGAAATAATAATAACGTTATATCTTGTTGAATCGATATGTTTTAAAAATGAAATAGCACCCCAACCAGAACCCAAGATAACAATTGAAGGTCTATCGGTATGGTTTGAAATGATTTTTGGAGCTTTATGGAAAGAAGCAGAACCTGAATTAACTTTTGAATTTGATTGATTTAAAGCAGCAGCATTTAAATTTGTCGTGTGAGTTATTGATCTATTGATTGGTAAATTTAAAGATCTTGATGCAGCGAGAGAAGAGGATCTAATGGAGTTGAATGTGTTGACATTGGCTCTGGCTTTAAGGCCTCTAACAACACTTCTGTTTAACATTGTGGAATATTGAATTGATGATATGTCCAAATAGTAACTCTTACAATGGTTTGTATTTTGTTGAAGAAATTCCGATATTTATAAATGTTTTGATTTTTTTCTTTTTCTTTTTTCGCAGTTTTTTAATTTTTGTTTTATTGGTGGATTTTTTAAATTCTTTTTTTTTTTTTTGGCGGTAAATTTTTAGTGATTTTAAAATCGGTTTTAACAACGCAAAAAATGTGGGATTGAAAGGCTGAAAAGGTGATTTTAAATGGTGGTTTTAATAGGAATTAATTGGTTATTTTATGATTGTATATTGTTTATATTATCTCTATATCATTCCATTGTTATTACCCTTTTTCTCCTGTTTCCCACCGTGGTTTTCATATAATTCTACGCTTAATATTCGGATTCCTGTTGAAATTAAATATGTTGGTGTCCGGTAAAGTGGATCCTGTTTAAAGAATAATTAAGAATTGAAGTTGAAAGTAATCATGGACCATGGTAATCACGGATCAAAGAGTACCGTATGTTTCCTTTAAATGATTACTATTCTGTTATCTTTGTTTAATGACTCCTGACTCAATACGTCCCTTTCTGGAGTATCATGGGGTTAAGTACACCTTACATAATGTCATAATCCATACTATCTATACTATCTATATATTAATTAGTGTTGTTATCTCGTCATCAGTCTAACACTTCTATACAATATACTAACAACACCTCCAACAATCAACACCCCATACAACACATAATCAACAACTTGTGTTATATCAACAATAACATCATTACTATATAACTCTTGATGATTAATTAATACATGTTGCAACATCATATTAATTGATATTATACCTATAGTTAATCCACAAGTTTGGAAAAAACCAATAAATTGATAATTAATCAATTTAAACAAAATATTTGTTTGAACATTTGTTTGGAAAATTTTAACACCAATATAACATCTTCTTATAAAATTTATTAATCCAAAATATGTTATCAATTTACCCATGGTAATCATTATAAAACTTAAAACACTCATTGTGAAATATAAATCTGTATCTTCAATATTTATCAAACTTAATAAAGTATATTGACATATAACAAACAAGGTAAATAACCCAATAAATATATTTAATATTTTATTTTCAATATTCATATGATGTTGATTTTCTAATATCTTGTTTGGTGATATATTGTTTAAATTGGTCTTGGTTATTAATTTTAATTTATATTGATTTAATTCTTCATTTTTCAATTCTAAAGCTGATTCCATTTCAAATTCAGAATTTCTTCTAAATAATTGTTCTTCATCTTGTTTGGACATGGTGTATTATAATTTTGTGATACTAATGTAGTTGTAGTACTACTAGGTATATCATCTTTTGATTAGAGAGATATCCTTCAACTCTTATATACAAAACATCTTTTAAAATCTTGTCATATAAAACGTGCTTATTCTTTTAAATTAATGGAAAACATCAACAACTTAAGGGTCTACTAGTCTACTAGTTATTGGGACTGATCAAAAGAAAAAAGACTAGAATTCATAATTTATATGGGTAACTCGGAAATCGGTATCAAGTTCCTGGGACTACCGAGTGATTTTTATGACCCCTGGGACTAATAGACCCTGTATAATCGCTTATAATCAGAGACTAATTTAACCATGTGTTTAATATTTTAAATTAAATTAACGAATAATAAAACAATTAAGCGAATAAACAAATGAAAACTATTTTTAATAAAGTAATACTCGCGAGTCGCCTCTTAATAAAGTAATTTATATCTTAACGGTTTAATGGTTGATCAGAAGACTGTTTGAAACATGTGCATGATAATCAACTATTAGATATATAACTAATATAATCTATTATAAATATAATAACTACATATAATTGTTCTCATATAATCAATTAAATTATATTAAATACATTAATCTACTATAGTAAATATGATTTTAACTAAAGTAAAATATAAGCTAATTTTTAGCTCTTAATATATAGTTAATAGTTAAATATTTCATTGACCCGTATCTATGACAGATGCAAGGGTGAGAAAAATAATAGATAAATCTGATAAAGACATACACATTAAACAACCACAAAACCATTGAAGACTTATTAAAGTCTTTACATGCAATGGAAGATTTATTAAAACATTTAATACGGTTTGAACATTATAAAAACAATAAATATCCAATTCATAGATTTGCAAATATTAAAAATCGTACTTGTCCCACAAAATATTTAAATTATGTGGAGACTGAATTAAATCCACAAAATGATGATTTTCCAACTTATTATGCTATAGATTGTGAAATGGTTTCAATGATGGATTTTTCTCAACAAGTTGGTCGTGTTTCAATGATTGATGAAGATTTTAACGTTGTTTTTGATATTTATGTTAAACCAAATGGTAAAATAAGAGATTATAAATATAGATTTAGTGGATTAAAACCAATACATCTTAATAATACCCCATATGATTTAAAAAATTGTCAAGATCTAATACTTTCTAAATTAAAAGCAAATGATATATTAATTGGTCATTCAATTGAAAATGATTTAAAAGTTTTAAATTTAAAACATCCTTTAATTATAGATACTCAACAAATTTATAAATTTATTTCTAAAAATGGTACTTTAAAAGAAACTTCATTGAAAAAATTAACTGAAAAATATCTTGGTAGAACAATTCAAAAAGGTCCTCATAGTTCAGTTGAAGATGCAATTGCAACAATGGAATTAGCAAAATTGAAAATTGATAGGAAAACTACTTCAAAAGAATCAATTTTAAAAATTTTATCAAAAGAACCATATCTACAAAATACAAATAGTACAACTAGTATTAATACTAGTCCAATTAAACATATAAATGGTAATGCAAACCCACAATTCAATACAACATCACAATCACAACCACAACCACAACCAAAACCACAAACCCAATCACAACCAAAATCACAACAGCAAACCCATGCACAATCAAAATCACAATCACAACCAAAACCACAACCCCATAAACAACCAAATTCAATACCTCCAACACAATATGGATATCAACCCAATTATTATCAATATGGTTATCCATATAATCAATACTATCAATATTCTACTCAGCAATTAGCTAATCATACACCACAACAAGGGTTTTATTATCCACCACCAACATCTCATCATCTGAATAATACTAATTATAATACTAATTATAATTATATATATAATTCTAAAAATAATGGATTAATTTATGATCCAAATACAAATCAATATTATTCAAATGGGAATAATATACAATGGTGATAATGAGTTTTAAATTTATTCCAATATGTTGTATGTATTAGATTTAATTAATACTTTGTTCACGATTATAGCACAATTATTTCAATACACATTTATAGAGCTAATTCACATGGATCAATTTGTTAAAAATGTACGTTATATGTTAATAGTTTAGTTATGAGGTACTATATAATTCACCTAGATTACAATATTGTTTGGTGTCAACTTGGTATGAAAATTGATTGATGATATTGTAATTGGATCCAATTCTATTAATTATATCAATATATAATATATTATGTATATATTTTTATAATTATTTATTATAATATATTGATCCTATATATTCCGGCTCATGAATTTTATAAGCTTTATATACCAAAATTTATAATATATTATAATAATATTTTATAATATATATAATATTAAAAATTAAATTAAATATATATATTTACTAGATATATATATAAAATTATATATATTTAATTAATATTTTTGATTATATAAATAATATTTTATTAAATTATATAATTAATATATAATTAAATATATAATATTTAAATAATATTATATAATTTTAAAAATTAATATTATATATATATATATATAGTTAAAATTCATGATCAGCTGTACGTCGCTGCAATATAATATATGGCTAATAATTACATATAAACTCAATAAATACTTCAAATAATGCTGGCCAGATAATATTTTAAATTATGAATATTATAAAAGATAATTGTATATTTAATTTAAATATATATGAAAACGTACGTCGCCGACTCGTCCGAAACCTATAACTTAATTCCGATATATCATTATATATAACTGCACTCGATCTTAACTCGAATTAAAATTTATATATAATTCAATTCATATATATAATTAAATTGAATCAGAATTATATTAGGTATATATTCACCGATATATACTAATGATTTGTATATTTAAATATAGATTCCATCAAAAATTTACTTTAAGAATATAATTAATTTACTATCAACTCTACTGCAACACTAGGGTTATGTACATTAAAAGTAAAGCCTAGTATTTAATCATGTAGATCCTTGCCTCAAACCTGAAGCAATATACCAAATTAAAGATATAATTAACAAAAGATTTGATCATCATAAGCAAACCTTGATCAATAATGGGATATTTACAATCAACAGAAGTTTTGATGTCACTACACCAGAAAGAACAAAGTGCTTTAAAAAGAACACAGTGCTTTGATTTCATCAACATTAAGAATCTTTTTGTCTTCAATATAATCTAGTACAATCTTCAACACTATTACCGACACAAGATGTATTTTATTTGCATCAAAACAAAGGTGAGATTGTATTCTACCATGGAAAAGCCACCAGTTGAGTTATAAGATTCAGGAATTGGATCTTGACTAACAATTGAATCTTCAGTAGCATCTGGCAGTTGCAATTATACCAAACAATAATAAACCTTGAGCTATAACTGTTGATATATAATTTCATTTTTATCTGAAAAATTGTTGATTTTTTTGGATTTAAAGGATTCGTAGTGATATCGATTTGAAACACTATAGACTGCTCAAAAAAGGAGGAACACATATACCTTTTTATACAGACCTTTTATGTATCTGCAAATTTGAAGCATAAACTCAATTATTTGAAAGTGATTCATTAAAATCATCTAATCTTTTTATTTGGTGATCAGATTAGCTAGTGGTCTTGCACACTTTGCTAATCCATACTGCTTCATATATATATAACTCTTTTTATACTGATACCAAAAATAAAAAAACCCACATTCCAAATCATATGCCAAATGAGAAGCACTATGGTTTATATTAATGGTGTTTTTTAATAAAAGATACCTGATCCATCGAGATTATTATTCCAGATAAAACTGTGAGTCAATAAAAATTCCAATAATTAACTATTCAATTGAGTTTCCAGCTCATTTCGTATGTATTGGTATCTGAATGATTAAAATATGACCTAAAGCTCTGGTATCACCAACCTGCACTTTATAGTATATTGTAATAACTATCGCAATACACTATTTATCAACATTCAGTACTTTTAAAGACCGTACTAACTCTTCACTCAAAACCTTTTCAATACCATGCTTAACCAAGTAGGCATATCAAGTTCCAGCTTTTATCACTTGGATCAATTAATGTCAAGATAATAGCTTGGTGAGACAAAAACCGTTATCCAAACCTGTCTTGCACCTGTCATAGTAAAATTTTCGATTTCAATGATCATCAAAAAAGCCATAAATTATGTTTTTCAAGGAAAAATTAATAAATGTATAAATATTAATTGATTGCTATAGAGCTTGGTATAAAATGCTTAATTGTTTGTATCAATTTGTGGCTAATGAATGAAATTTGAATATACTTCAGCGATATTTTTCTTTTTCTATAATTCTGACTTCAAAAATATTAATTAAGTACTTGATTCGTAATTTGTACGTTTCTTATCATAATTACGGGTGATGATAGTGTTTAATAATTGGATGCAAGATTTATCACTGATCCTCTATTCTGATTCCTCATCTATGATCTGAAACTTGAAGTGGAGTAATGCATGTGCATTGTTAATAATAATTTGAGTCGTATTAACGAATGAATGAATTTGTGGCGATTTACAGGGTTTTCTGAGTATCTTAATAACTGATATGAATAATTGATTATTCTGATAAAGAAAAAACAAAATTCGTAAGTCATCAATGGAATGACAGATTTAAATATTTTTGAAATTTTTTTAATGAACCAACAGTACATACGTTTTTACTTTACTAGCCAACTGACCAATGACCAAGTGTAAAGCCTTACTTGATTCTTCTTAAAATTTCAGCCACTGCTCCCCTGATTTTAAAAGTACATAGTTACATCGTCACGACTCACCAGCACAAATTGCAAACCAACAAACAATAGGCCATGAAGCATAAAGCAAGATGAAGCAGCTAATCGATATGTCAATCGCAACAAGTTCCAATCAACGCCATTCAGCTTAAACCAATTCAACTGTTTCTTTACTGACCAGTGACCATACAGTGATCCTTCAGTAGAATACTAGATACTAGCCATATTTGACTGCTTATTAGCCTCTTTATGTGGCTGATCACCACTATTCCAACCTATTCACAAGCCATAGTCAAGAAGTCAAGCCATAGTAAATTCCGAATTGAGATAAAAACCGTTGACATCACCCGCGAATTTACTAATACCATTCACGTGACTTTCCACAATCCTCATACATTTTGCGAATTTGACCATACATAAAACTTTTCAATAGCCACAGTAGATTTGTAAGATTGTGAATCAAAATTGTGGATTCTTTGAAAATGCTGCAACTCTTGAGCCATAATGTGGCGAATGGAGTTGATCTTCTTTATTTTATTCTTTCCCTTCTATTTTATTCATTATAAAAGTATCACATATCCCATAGATTTACAAATACGTTATAAGATTTAAGATTTAATACTATCACACTTTTATACTTTGTTTAAGATTTATCAGATTTTTCAAACCCAAATCTCGGAAAAAGGATAAAATCTTAATTATGGGTGCTGATATTGAAAATTCTTCTATTAATCCTCATCAAGAAGATTATAACTCAAATTCTTCAAATGAGTTATATGAATTTCAAAATTACAATTCCATCCCAGTTTTAGAAAATCATCAAGAGAATACAAATGTGGTAGATTGGGCTAAACATCATTTCCACTCACCTGGCTCAAAATCAGTACAATATCTTAGATCTTTATTTCCAATACATAGATGGATCTATCATTATAATCCTGCTTGGGCTTATGCTGATATAGTGGCTGGTGTTACTGTTGGTGTTGTTATGGTCCCTCAAAGTATGTCTTATGCTCAAATTGCTGGTCTTGAACCTCAATATGGTTTATACTCTGCATTTGTTGGTGTTTTCATTTATTGTTTTTTCGCTACCTCAAAGGATGTTTCAATTGGTCCTGTTGCTGTTATGTCATTAGAAGTTGCAAAGGTTATTACTAGAGTCCAAGAAAGAGATCCTTCTTTACCTGCGCCTGTTATCGCAACTGTATTATCATTGATTTGTGGTTGTATTGCTTTAGGTTTGGGTTTATTAAGATTAGGGTTCATTTTAGAATTTATCTCTATGCCTTCCGTGTTAGGTTTCATGACTGGTTCAGCTTTAAATATCATTTCTGGTCAAGTTCCTGCTTTAATGGGTTACAACAAAAAAGTTAACACAAGAGCTGCTACTTATAAAGTTATTATTGAAACTTTAAAGCATTTACCAGATACTAAATTAGATGCTGTATTTGGGTTAATTCCATTGTTTTTACTTTATTCTTGGAAATACATTTGTAATGTTGGCCCAAAAAGATGGCCAAAGGCAAGATTATGGTTTTTTTACACCCAAGCTTTAAGAAACGGTGTTATCATTGTTGTTTTCACTTTGATTTCTTGGGGTTTAATTAGACATGATAAAAAATCTAAGAAAATATCAGTCTTAGGTTCTGTTCCTTCTGGTCTTAGAGATGTTGGTCTTATGGAATTTCCAACAGGTGTTATGTCTTCATTGGCACCTGAATTACCAGCTGCTACTATTGTTTTATTATTAGAACATATTTCAATCTCAAAATCTTTTGGTCGTATCAATGATTATAAAATTGTCCCAGATCAAGAATTAGTTGCTATTGGTGTTACAAATTTAATTGGTACTTTTTTCAATGCTTATCCTGCTACAGGTTCTTTTTCAAGATCTGCATTGAAAGCTAAATGTAATGTGAAAACTCCATTGGCTGGTATTTTCACTGGTGCTTGTGTTCTTTTAGCTCTTTATTGTTTAACTGATGCATTTTATTACATTCCAAAGGCAACTTTATCTGCTGTTATCATCCACGCTGTTAGTGATTTAATTGCAAACTATCAAACAACTTTGAATTTCTGGAAAATTGCTCCAATTGATGCAGGTATTTTTATCATTGCAGTTATTATCACTGTTTTTGCCACTATTGAAATTGGTATCTATTTTGCTATTGCAGCTTCATGTGCTGTTTTATTATTCAATGTTGCATTCCCAACAGGTGAATTTTTAGGAAGAGTCAAAGTTGCACAAGCTTTGAATCCTGAAGTTAAATCATTAGATGAATATTCAAATGATTCAAATGTTGAATCTGATCAATATGAAAACTTGAGCTCAGAAAACAAAAAGGAATATATTAAAAGCAAAACTATCAGTTCCAATTCTAAAAATGATCAAGATGGTGGTCAACGTGGTAGATTCAATTATGTTACAAGATGGATTCCATTATCCAAAAGAAATTTAAATCAAGATATCAATGTTTTACCTCCACCACCTGGTGTTTTAGTTTTCAGACCTACTGAATCTTGGACATATTTAAATTGTTCACATTTGTTTGATAAAATTTTCGATGAAATTAAAACTAGAACAAGAAGAGGCAAAATCAATTTATCATTAAAAGATATTGATAGACCATGGAATGACCCAGGTCCATGGAGACCATTTTGGAAAAAGGCTGACCCATCAATTTTATCAAACTTACCTCAAGATGAAAGACCAGTCTTGAAAGTTTTCGTTTTTGATTTTTCAACAGTTTCACAAATTGATGCATCTGGTGTTCAAGCTCTTATCGATTTAAGAAAAGCTGTTAATAAGTATGCTGACCGTGAAGTTGAGTTCCATTTCACTGGTATTTTAAGTCCTTGGATTAGAAGAGCTTTAATTGGGGGTGGATTTGGCGTTGAACAAAACGATGCTAGATCAAATAACAATCATGTCGATATTGTTCAAGATGAGGAAGCTGTGTTTGGATATAATGCTGCTGTTAGTACCAGTACACCATTTTTCCATTTAGATATACCTTCATTGGATCATTATCAGGATAATGATATATAGTTGCATATTCATTGATATTTTATGACTTAGGAGCTTGCATATTATTTGGGTTAGAATTAAATGTTTTATATTAATAATGCTTTATTTAATTACACTTTTTTTTGTTTTTCATTTCGGTTTTTTTTCTTTGGTATCATTCTTTTTTCATTTTTCAATTCGGCTTTTATTTATATATATAGTGTTAATTTAAATTATTTATAGATTTTGAAGTTCTTAAGACGTACAATTAGTAGACACCAACAAATCGAATTTGTTAAGTAGTGAGCTATGGAATTACTACATCTTTAATAAGTTTGATAAATTGTAACTACAGGGCCACTGTATCTAATTATTAAAAGAATTACACGAATATCATCATAGTAAAGCCCATAGTTGATACGATACATGCAAATAAATTCAAAATTGTAATACATAACTCTCTATTTATAATAATATCGTGACACGTTATAAAAACTTTAAACTATATAGCAATCATAAATAACCTTAAAATTATTCACTGTGTTATCTAAATAATCATTGTAGCAAATGTTCTTGAATTTAAAAGAATATGACTAGGTTTATTACATTTTCATCCATATATTCTCATTATTTGTATCTATGGGTTAAAAATCATCAATTTATGCATCTAATTCATCTTCAGGAGCTAAAGCACAATGTAAATCATACCAAGTTTCACCACCATGTTTACAATCACTCAAACCTTTTGTAATGAAGCCGATTCTATTATAAAATGGTAACAAATTTTCTTTTGCAATAATAGCAATTTTTTCACCAACTTGTTGATTGGATAATTTTTGAATATAATCATGTAATAACAAAGTGGCTAAATTTTTCTTTTGATATTCTGGATGAACAACAACTGAATGTATACCAATAGTATTTGATGATTCAATATGACCCTTTCTAGTTTCTTCTTCATTTACTGGAGTACCATTCTCGTTCAGTTCAGGGACTTCCATTGATCCATTAGTCACAAAATCACCATAGATTTTTGTACCTATAATTTGACCAATTAATCTTTCATGAACAATTGTAGTTCTTGGTTCAGGTAAGTAATCATCATCAATACTTGATTTATTTTTATCATCATCATCATGATCATCATCTTTTTGATCTTTTGTATTGTACTTAGATTTGAATTCTCTAATAAATAGCCCAGATGATAATTCAGGGCATGCTGATAATCTATAATTGGCACTTTTCAAACTGCATCTTTCAGATGGCGGAAATCCAATAGCTTCTAGTTCTAATACTTTATCAACGTCTTCTAAAGTCAATGGTCTGATAGCTAGATGTAAAGGAAGATCTGAACTCATTGTGTATAACTTATATCGGTGGATCAAGGGGAGTGTTCCTCAGTTGAAGAAATGGAATAGTCCAAAAGTCGTTGATTTTCCAAAGGTTCTTATTGTCTTTTTGTCTTTGGTCAACTGAGCTCAACGTTATCAACAAAAAAAGCCAATACCCAACATCCGAACACCTTTTGCGCAACATTTCTCCTGAGAATGGCTAAAGTGTCTAGTATCATAATTACTAGATTCAGTAATATATTGTCTAAATATTGTGCAAAAACCGCGAATATTTTGCGGTTCTTCATTTAAAATATGAAGTACACAAAAGCTAAGTTTCGATAGTTTATATACACTTCAAAAGAATCAACATAGAGTTCTTCAACTGCGTATTATAAAGTTTTTACATACGATGTCTGCTGAAGCTATAGAATCTACACCGTTGAATCAAGTACTTCCTTTGGAATTGGTTGACAAGTGCATCGGATCAAGAATATGGGTTTTATTGAGTGGTGAGAAAGAGTTTACTGGTACATTAATAGGGTTTGATGATTTTGTTAATATGGTTTTAGAAGATGTTACAGAATAGTGAGTATCGAAAATTCTGTATCTTTGATCACCTTTGCGTGCTTTCGGTACTAACATAGTAATTTTTCAGTGATGTTGATGGTACTACCACTAAAAGAAGCAAAATACTACTAAGTGGTAATCATATTGTGATGCTAATTCCAGGTGGAGAAGGTCCAAAGAGATAGATTTACGAATAAATTTTAATAATTAAGTCAAAATGTTGTACATTATATGTTTTTTTTTTTCATGAAATAGTTTTTCTAGTTTATTGTCAAAGTAGTTTTAAGATAAAATATCAATGTTTGTTGAACTAGCTCTCCAACAGATCAACATAAAAGCTGAACGAAAAGGAGCAAAATTTTGAGCTATGTGCTGTACATATAAATCATGAATTACTTTCCAGTCCCTTTTCTTACCATCATCGAACTTTGATTTTTTCCTTTGAATTGTGGTGTCGACATTTTTTTTAGCATCGTGTAATAGTTCAGGCCTTGTTTCCAAATATCTAGATATTCCCCTTGCAACACCAAGATCATCATGTGCAAATACATCGAGCTTGTGCAGCCCAAATACCAAAAACATCTTTGCACTCCATTCTCCAATACCTTTGATACTAATCAATCTTTCTAAAATTTCTTCATCTGAAGCAGTTTGAAAAAAATCATTTGATATTTCTTTATTAATGAATTTTTTGCAAATTTCATTGATATATTCAGTTTTCCTCGTTGATAACCCAGCAGATCTAAGTAACTGGTCATCTTTATCAAATAACTCTTTTGGAGTCGGAAAGATTCCCTCGTCATTAAAAACAGCGACAACTTTGTTTTCTATTGATTTTGCAGCAGCACCACTAACTTGTTGACCAATGACACTATGACATAGTTTTATAAAATGCTCTTGATCGGACGAGCCTGGTATTTCATCAATATGAAACTGCTTGAATGGTTCGCTTATAATCAATGGATATAGCGAAGGATCTTTGGTAATGATGTATTTTAGTGCATCGTTAAAACCAGGTTTGTGTAGGGAGGTGAATGATTCTGGTAACGAAAGATCTGAAGGGATTGGGAACTTTTCGAGTAAATGTGCTTCTCTTTGCCTAAAAGATACTTTATCAGGGCTCTTTGGAGATTTGTTTACATTGTGATCTCTTTTGACCTTCTTTTTTGGAGTAGACGGTGGTTCTAAGCTTGGTATATCTTCATCTTGTATTGGACCAATTTTGTTTCCATCTTTAGGGAAATTCTTGATAATGGTCGAACTAGATCTCAATAATCTCTTTCCAGATGAAATAGTAGTCTTTGACATTTTTAGTAGCTGAATTTGGTATACTGTCATTCAATAACCTCCTTTTGTCATCATTTTGACTTGTGTTATCTATTTTCAATTTGCAGCGATTTGTAATTGTTTTGACGTTCAATAATTTCTTGAGCGCATTTGTAATTTTTGGAGGCAAATATAAATACAGCTTTCAAACCAGAATTCCTGATACATTACTCGCAACAATAAAACCGTATCCAAGTAGAAAGACAAAGAATGGTGAACATTACAGCAACAGTCGAGGATACTGATCAGCTAATTCCAATTGATATTAGTGGCGATCTTTCACTTTTAGACTTCAAAGCTTATATTAGTGCTGAAAGTGACATCGAACCAAATGATCAAATCTTAATTTTAAATGGTAAAGAATTACAAGGTGATAGTAAAACTCTATCTCAGTTGAACTTTACAGATAATGAAATGTTGATTGTCAGAAATAAGAACTCAATCAAAAATACACCATCAAATTCAGCCGCAATTTCTAATCAATCTCAAGATGCTATGGATCAACAGACTGAACAATTAAGACTACAACTTTTAAATAACCCACTAGCAAGAAGACAAATTACAACTCTAAACCCAGGTATTGAGAATGTTTTGGATGATCCAGTTCAATTTAGAGAAGCTGTGAAATCAACTTTAGTACAACATGATCAATCGAATTATCCTGGTGGAGTTTCTCAAGATGAATGGTTACAACTGCAAAGTGATCCAGATAATCCAGAAAACCAAAGAAGAATTTTAGAGTTGATTGAGCAGGATCAAATTGAAGAGAATATGAGAAATGCTTGGGAATTAACACCTGAAAGTTTTGCCAGTGTTTCAATGCTTTATATTAATGTTGAAGTTAACGGTCATCCAATTAAAGCATTTGTTGATTCGGGTGCACAATCTACGATTATAAGTACCAAGTTAGCTGAAGAATGTAATATTTCAAGGTTAATCGATAGAAGATTTAGAGGTGAAGCTCGTGGTGTTGGTAGAACAGAAATTTTAGGTAGAATCCATAGTGCTCCATTAAAAATTGAGGATCAATTTGTCCCATGTAGTTTCACAGTTTTGGATACTGGGGTTGATATGCTTTTAGGTTTGGATATGCTAAAAAGACACCAAGCAAATATTGATTTGAAAAGAAATGTATTAGTGATTGCAGATGTTGAAACCCCGTTTTTAGGAGATGCTGAAATTCCAAGTATGTTTAATCCTTCAGGAACAATTGGCCAACAATTGGGCGGTGGACCTTTACCCTCTTCTAATAATCAAACAGCAACAGCAACAGAACCACCATCATCATTGAATAGACCATCAGCAGCAAATGCAGCAGCAAATGCAGCAGTAACAAGAAACAACCAAACTAGCTCTTCCTTTTCTGCAGGGAATCATCAAGCATCAAGACCAAATTTCGATGATGCAGTGATAACCAACTTGATGGGATTGGGATTTTCAAGAGATCAAGTAATAAGAGCATTGGATCAAACTGGTGGAAATGCTGAACTGGCTGCTTCCATACTTTTTTCATAAAGATCTAACTAATATCTGAATACTTTTTATCATTTGTATTGACAAATTTCAATGTAGGATGACTTCCGATTATATCTTTTGACAGCCCAGTCCAAATCCAATTAACTTTATGTTCTGGAACATTGATTTCTGCTATAAAATTCTCAATAAAGGTCCGATCATGCAAGTTGATTGAGTTTGTATAAACCAGAAACTCATTAAAGATTGTAACTGAAGACCAGAATGAAAGTTTTCTCAAGCAAGCGATAGCCAATGATGAAACCTGCCCTCCATTTAAGCAGTGGACATAAAGTGGCGAGTAATCAACATTAATCATCAATTCCAAAGCTTTAACAACTGCTGAATAGCCTATTGGAACACCACGCTTCTTTCTTTTACCGCCTTCTTTACCACATTCTATATGGACCAATTGAATATTGTTCTCTTGTGCAAATTCATAAAATTCTTTATCATTTTCAGGGGTTATTGGGTCAGGAGTTAATGAGACTATGTATTTCAATCCTAATCTTTTGAGAAAACGGTAGTTTATCTGTCGAGGATACGACCCTCTATAAAGACGTGGCTGGAGAGCAGCAAAACGTAAAGGTGGAACTAAAGGACCCAATTTATCTTGAGTCATTTTGGACGAGTAGAATATTGGCAGAATTCTGAAGTTGACGTTGCTTTATTTTCACTGTTGTTTTTGATGGTGGTTTTAGTTATGTGTTTTTTTTGTCAGAAGTTTAAATTTCGTGATTTTTGAGTTTTTGGAGAAAAAATAGCCTTTCTTGTACAAACAATAAGTATTTTGACACGATTGAAGCATAAAAAAAAACCCTTAACATCTTCCATCATCATCTTAATCTTGTGGAAAAAGCCTTTTTTTAATTTTCATTAAATCTTTATTTGACAATGGATCTTGTTTACGAACAATATGCTGGCTCTAAATCCAATAATGAGTCTCAAGAAACATTAAAAGCAACCTCTGATGATCGATCAAATACAATTAATCAAAAAACTGAGAAATCCTTTGAAGAGCTTGAAGATGGAATTGCAAACACTTATAATGTCATCGAGTCGAAAGCTTCAACATGGGGAGCGTCTTTCGGATCTCTAGTTAGTAATCTCAAAATCAATGATTATTTAAATGAAACTAAAAAACATGTTGAAAATTTACACCTAAATGATAAATTGAATTTAACAAAGTCCACAGTTACCAAAAAATTCAGTGAAGTACAAAAAAGAGTGGTGAATGAGGAAAGCTTTGAAAAATCACAGAACATGTGGTCTTTATTATCAACAAAAACAAACACATATCTTGATGAATTGGATAAGGAATTAGAACAAGTCGAAACATTCGCCGGGTCTTACGTTAACAAATTTGGACAATTTATTAAAGATTCGATTGTTGTTGCTCCACCTGAGGACAGAGATGAATTGATTGATGATGACGAAGGAAATTTGCTGTTCAATGTCACTGGTAGCGGAAAATCCAAACCTCAGAAGGTCACCTCCACAAGAACAGAAGCTCAGCTTTATGCCTTACATACTTCTCCAGAATTATTTTTAACAACTGCAAATGACCAATCCTTTGAGCTATTTAAAAAAGAATTTAATCTAAATTCTAAGACTGAAGATATATCAAAATTGTTAAAACAAAACAATGATCTAAAGAAATTATCCACTACAATTGTTCCTGAAAAGTCTACTTATGAAGAATTTTGGACGAGATATTACTACTTATTTGATAAAATATTGAAGGATGAAACAAATCGCAAAAAATTGCTCAACAAAGAAGTTCAGCCAAATGATTCAAAAACTAAAAATTTACAATGGAGCGATGATGAAGACGATGAAGACAATGAAAATAATACTGCTAGTTCTTCCAAAAATGATAAATCAACAACATCAAGTGAAGGTACTTATGAACTGAAATCTGTTAACTCTTCCACTCTTGATGTATCCAAAGAACATAAGGTTTCAAGTCAAAAAGAAAACGAAAAAGAATCGAATTCTAAAATCAATGATGATAACATTGCGGATGAAGAAGAGGAAGATGATGATTGGGAGTGACTTTACAAACTTACGAGAAAGGTTATTAACCAAAATAGTAATTATATGCCTTTTTATATACATTTGAAATAAATAATCTATTACGAATTGAAATCCAGCATGGCATTTATTAGTTCACCCTGGTGTAGAACAAAACATATGCATTCGAGTTGATGACATTGGTTTTAGTAAAATTCTGTACTATCCTTGTATCATCAAAGTAACACCATTTCTTATTTGTACCTTTCCAAACATACGAAGTATAATGCCCACCAACTAATGTACCCGAATGATTTGATACACCGTATAAATTGTATTTGAAAGGAGGAGTTTGTCCCCTCAATGGAAATGTGAGTAGCTTCTTTGATTCTTCTTTACTTACCACTTTGGGCCAATAGTCTGTCAAGTCCATTTCAAATGGATATTCTATAAATGTTGTGATTTTTTGTAGATTCACTCCAGTCTTGAATCTTTTGAGATGAATAACTAAATTCGAAGGAAGTCTAGTTATAGTGATCTTTTTTGTAGACTTTCTCAGTTGTTTACACTTTGAGCAGTTCCATCTGTCATCACCATCCAAAACTTCCAGTTTAGTGAATTCTTCTAAGCATCTCTTCAATGATATTTTTTCCAAAGGACTTTGAACTAATTCTTGAGGAATAGGAAGACTCAACACCGAAAAGGCTTGATAAGTTGTAGATGTCGTGCCACATTCTAGACATTTCAATTGACTCAAATATTGCCCCTGAAATAGTGCAACAACAGCACTATAATTAGTCTTGAGATATCTTTCCCATTCTATGACTGATGCCAATCTGATAGGCATTCTCTCTCTCAACTCTTCTTCCTCTGTGGTCAAATCACCAAGCCTTGGTCTATTACCTTCTTCATTTAGATCTTCATGTAAACCATCTAGAACGAAATTCAAAAATTCAGAGCAGTCCTGCTGATCGTTATTCTTGAATGAAGTATTCAATGAGCCTATAGCAATTTTAAAGTTTTTTGGCTCATACACACGTCCATTCTGTTTAAAAACAGCCTGAGCTAACTCAGCAAAAAATTTTGCCATGATACCTTTGGTTCCAAGCTTACTATTTATGTTGACATGCTCTTTATAAGAGCCATTTAGAAAGAATTGCAAAAATGGCGGTGTCCCCAATAAGCATTGAATTATAGAATTCATATAGCATGTGTTTCCAATATTGTATAAGCCCGTAGTGCAATGTAAATCATTTGTATTCAAAATCTTTGATACGCTTGGTAAGGTAGGTTCAATCTTCTGATTTGCATTTTGTTTAGAATCTGTAATTCCATTTAGGCTCTTAGGAGAGACCGTATTGCCAGATTTTGGTGATTTATTATTGAATATATTCCCTGGGGATGATACTGGTCTCAAGCTAGGAAGTTTGAAGCTGCTCGATCTTTTTATATTAGGAGATGTCGGTCTTTGAACGTAAAACTGAGGTGTAGAAGAATGGAAATCATTCTTAATTGGATTTGAAAGATAATCATGAAAATTTCTTGCAATTGGTTGATTTGAGAATGAGCTTGACCGACTAGAAGTTCTTGGTCTGTGTTTCCCCGGGTGTGTCAAAAATCCATGATTATGCCCAAAGCTTGAAAGTCCAAATACATTCATCCATCCTTGAATACCACCTTTAAGAAACATTGGCTTCCTTTTCAATGGTTTTTCAAAAGATTTTTGGCACAAAATTTTCATCAGGTTTTCGGATGATTTTGAGTCATGAGGAAATTGGGAAGTTTCATCATAAATAATCACTAAATCAAAGTTATCTCTATGTTTAAAGAGAGCCTTTTCATGATCTGGAGAATTCAAAAGTGATAAGTTTTCAATATCGTGATCGAAATATTGAGATCTTATGGATATAGGCTCTAGACAAATTATATTCTCTGTTAATATGTGGTTTTTTTTAAAGTCTTCCCTTGGTCTCACGTCAACCAATAAAATGCTGGATCTATGCTTCTCTAAAAAGACTTTCAAAGTCTGAGGTTCTATTATCTCTCCATTTACTTCGTCAATTTCACTATGTTCAACACATACATCATTTTCAGTATTTAAAGCACAACTGCTGTTTAAATGATTCTTTATGTTCTTTATATGTTTATCATGTAATAACTTCGATACCAAATCAGTATAAAGAGTGTAATAATCCGCTTCTTTGCAATTCTTAGCCTCTGAAAATTTAGTATAATCCGGCAATTTGGGTATTATCTTTGCTGCAATGCTAACCGCAATCTCATAGTATATAAATGCTTCCTCATAATTTGGGCCTTCTGAGTTGTTGACTTCCTTTATATACTTTAATATTCAACTGTTAGTTTAATGTGAGTTTTGAGATGGAAACAATTATGTGAACTTACATTTTCAAAGCTTTCAAAAGCATCATTCAGGAGCTTTTCAAATGAATTATTCTCTAGTCCTTCTATAAAAGTTTTAACAAGACTCGTTAGCTCAAAAATACTTTTGAACTTCTGCGTTTTATTATCACTTAAAGGGCCTGTCATCTATTCAATTTGACTATTTCAAATGGCAAAATTGGCCAAACTTTTTGTGAATCAATTTGAATTTGAGAAGCAATTGAAGATCAAGTTCTAGTACCAGCAAGATAATATCAAAGTTTATATAGTACTTCAAAAGTTTCAAGCGATGTCTAAACTTGATTCCTTCTTTATGATCAATGAAATTTTTAACCTCTAATAGTACACGATACCTCCAGGCTCCAAGATTTTGTAATTTTCTTGAATTGATTATTGCAGACACGCGCGAATGTGCGCTATCAATCATGCTCCACAAAAAGACTGGAAAACTACTGGATTCTCGAATCTCATAATGTGGAAGTAAAATTTACCTACACGACTTACAAATTACAAGTAGTTTGAAGCATTTAACATAAATCATAAATCTTATAAATATTAACTGTTTACATATCTTGTATATGGACCGGCGCTACATATAATCCTCAGCACGAGCCTGCTCTTCGGCTGTTCTTTTACCTTTATCTTTTAGATTCTTAAAACCCTCCGAGTACTTCTTAGTGTACTCAGTGGTCTCCTTCTTAGAGGACTGTTCAAATGAATCCGAGTGCTTTTTCATTTCGTCTAATTTTTCTTGTGAAACCTCTTCATTGAATGGTTTCTTGTCTGTGTTAACATCAGCTGAAGTTTTCACTTTTTCATTTGTTGAATGTGACCAAACGGTTTGAAAGCGACGTGGTTGTGTAACTGGAATAGATCTTGATCTTGCTAAAGATTTCAAAATATTTTTTCTGTACATTGATAACATTTCTTATGAGGTATAATAATTGTTTAAAATGTGTTTCTACATATATTGTAAGATATATTAAAAAATTCAAGGAACTTAAAGGCTTTTTATATGTATAGATTATAAATAATAAACACACTTTTAACCAATTAGCAAGTTTGCTTAATAAAGCCGATAACGAAAATCAACACTATATCATGTGGGTGGATGGGCCTTAGGTCTTAGGTACCAATTCTTAGAGATGTATTTAATAGTGAAGTTCGACTTTGATTGCTATTCAACCCGCCAAAATAAGTAGACTGGGCGTTACGTTAATTACAATTCAAAGCAATGTTTACATAATCTTTTTCATAAGATTAATTAATTTCTGCGATCGAAATATCGTACAAATGTGAATTAATTTATGTGAATTTGGTAGTAGGTAGTAGGTAAATATTATCACTCTATTGTCATATTTAATTCATTATACAGGATGATTGATGCTTAGGGATACAACTGTTTCTTTTCAAATCTGATATCATATTATCATGTTAAGGAGGCTAATACTGTAAAGATTTTATCAACATTGAATGAATTGCCACAAAGACATATCTGTGTCAACTATTGACGTTTTCGTTAGATGTTGACGTTTTCGTTAGATGTTGAAAAAGAACTTGCAAAGAAGCCACGAGTTAAGATGAATTATTATTTGGTTACCAATATCTTGCTCCATATACCTCTTTATTTGCTTATGATGTACCCATACATCAACATGATTAAAGTCAATGTTTTTTCAATGGTTTTTCAATGGATGGTTGATAGCTATATGTACCCATATGGCTTGATGGCTGACAATTTTTAGGATTCTATTTCAACTTCTTATTATGATTACTTGCTAGGGTATCTCATCGCACATTGATTGCATTTGAATGTTATGGGTTTACATTTCAATTTCACTTTCGTGTTCACTCTCATCTGAATTTCCACTATTATGTTGAAAAGTTCAAAAGGGCACATGGAATCAAATGATTTGTGGAAAATTAGTAATTTTCCTTCCCAAGGCAAAATTTAACTAACTGATGGTACGGTACATGGGAGCTGTGCATGTTTTTTAGATCCCAAATGTTTTCATCTTTTCTGTTGACCAAAGGAAACCCAATAATAAATGTTTAAAAGAAATTTTGATGGTATAAGTTATTACTCAGTTATTTTACCGGAACAAACTATGATAGATTAATCATACCGGCAAGGTAATTTAGCGCTCAGAGGGATATCAATCTTGCAAAGATCATAACAAAATCCCCAAAGCATTTGTTGGATGATATCGCAAATCCTAAATCAGAATTGAAAACATACGTGAATATTTTGTAATAAGTTCAATTGAAAGTTTTTGGATGATGATTTACAGGAAATCAACAGTGACAAATTTACTAAGTGCTTTATTAGATGACTTTGGTCATTGATTTATCATGTATAATGATCATTTTTTATAAATACAATTTTATCAAGTTCAAACTACAAATCAGGATAGAATCTCAATCAGAACAAGTGAAAAGAGCCAGATATGAAAAAACCTGGAAATTTGTTATTGAAAAAAACGAATTAACACCTGGCTTGATGGAAAACCTACATATGTTCAATCTGGGACATATAAAACATTATTACTTCTCAAATAAAGCAAAAAGAAACTGCTATGGTTGTGATGCTCAACAAGAAACCTTATTACATCCATTTAAAAGATGCTCTTTCTCCAATGAATTATCAAATGGAATAGGGTTTGGGAGAATTTTATGTTCACCTTTTAGTCTAAAAGGTCTTACCACTCCAGCTGAACATACAACAAATGTCAAGATTATGAGACGTATGTCAATTTACACTGAAGTTTTAATTAAGAGTAGAGGTCTAAGAAGAAATGGATTGTCATCTAGAGAGGCAATTACAGCTACAAAATTCCAAATGAAGATTGCAGAAAGAAAATATGGGTTTGGAAGTTATGTTTAATTAAAGCCTTCACTAAATTAAAGACACCAAGTAAGTTTGAAGTGAAACAAGAAGTATAGAATGAATATCAAGGAAGATGTAATCAACATCCTACGATGTTACAAAGAAAGTTTTAAATGTTCAACGGCCTGGCCTATATTACCCTTTACATTTTAGATTAATTGTCAAACTTAAACCCAAAGGAAAAGAGAGATTCGCTGGATTAAAAGAAAAATAAAGTAAAAAATGTTTTTGACATCATTTTAGATGATGGTGAAAACTGCAGGAAACATTAATTAATAATAAATTGAACTTTTGATGAGGTGATACATGTTAAATAATTTTATATAAATTTATAATAATTATACAAGTTGGTTTTATTTAAAAAAATAAAATTAACTTCAAAAATTATCGATTCTAGCAATACGCTGAAATGATATATCATCCCGAGGCTGAATGAACCTCATTTAAACTTACAATTCAAATAGTTGACTTACCTAAAATAATACTTCCAACTCAAGTATTAATTCCAAAACTAACATACTTACAGTTATACTCTATTGTGAATCAGCTCAAAGGTTACGCTCTGGTATACCATCAAGTTAATTCCGGGATGAAAAGAAGAAAGTTACACATATTAATAAAGAGAATCCTATACATTGAAATATCCCATTAAATCATTTATGTCTATTTCTTGTCAATATGTAAGTAAGTAAGCATGGGAACTTTTTTCAAAGAAAAGTAAATTGTAAAACTAAAAGTATATACCTAATATGAACAATTTATAAGGTTGAGGAGTAAATATAAGTTGAATAAAGTGATTCTGAAGGGTTTTAACTTTCTGGAAGGAGATACTTATTGATATAACTGATCAGAGTTACTTCCTAGTGAAAAAAAATTTTCTTCAAAACTAGATTTACAGCTAGAAAGAAAATATCACAGGATGATATAATTGTAGTATAATCATCTTACTTGATATTCAATTCAAACAAAGTAAATTTTTGATGTAAATTCGTTAAAATATTTTAATACAAAATTCTGCACTGATGAACATCTCTCAACAGCTAATTGGACCAGCCGTTGGTAGCTAATAAAAATATGAGTCTATACTTCAAAATACGAAGTCGTTAATACAAACCTATTCGAGGTTCTAATTATACGTCAATAAAAGGAACTCCTGTCGTAAGTTATCGATATACTCTTTTTTGAACTTTTAAACTGCATGTAATCTTTGTTGAATATTATGATCCATTATCAAAATAAATGTGATTATAAATGGTTTTGATTATGTAAAGATGAATTATGCACAAATCCCGCATTTGATATGCACACAAGATACAGATTAAATTAAGGTATAGATTATACATTTGTTATGCACGAATTGTGCATAAATGGTTAAACAAGATATATACTATGTGGTTAAAGGAAATTGTAAAAGAAAGATTAGAAGATTAAAAGAATATATAAAGAGTCCAAATTGTCTGTTAGTTATTAGTTAAGTTTTGTATAAGTTTAATATAGAGTTTGTTATAGAAAAATGAGTACAATATCTGGTACGATCTCTAACCTACAACAATCTTTAGAACTCTACAATTAGTGTTGGAGGTTAGAGATCAATCCTACTAATGACGACATTTTCTAGCACATAATGAAGCATATATACGATCTATTTGTGAACATTATTTACTACTGGATAATAATATAGACTGAAATATGCCTAGTAAAAAATATACTTAGCCAAGTTGCAGAGGCTAGATATCGGATTTATATAGGTGTTCATTCACAATTGAGCTTACACTAGATAGACATTATTCAATTCCTGCAAAATAAATAGAGGTAAGATAGAAAATATGCACTCCTTGCGTATTTATTTATCCAGTTTTCTTTTGCTATCCTAATTCAAAATCTCTTAAATTTATCACTTGGTCTTTCTATAATTTACGTTTTTTTCTTTAAGCGCATCAATTCCATAAGAGTAGACTTATAATAGACCAAAAATATCTTTTCTCTGTATTCTATTTGTTGTACAATATTTCTATAATTATAACAGACTACATTTGGTATTTGTTTCTTTTTCAACTTCTTTCTGAATTGTTTTATTAATAATCCCACCATTAATGAGCATTTTCTACGTAAGGATGCTTCAGTTTCAGCACAAAGATAAAGTGAGACAAGATCATAAGACAATATGAGTTTATTATATATTTTATCTCTATTTCTGATCACTAGTTTCTCATAGCAAGGTTCTATTTAGATCCAACATGTAGTAGCACTTGCAAAGCTTAATATCTACATATTCAATATAAAGTCTTTTTAGATCAGTTGTCAAATTCTAATAATATGCAATATAGGTTTCCAGCATAAACTTAGCCTTTGCAGTCACAAGGGTATTCATAAGTTTAGCTTCAATTCGGCAAAAATCAGCAAAAAGTATCAAGAACTTCCCATTAATTGTGCTGACTATGATAGAGCAAAAAGTAGTCATTTAAATGACATTTGAATAATCTTTCAAAATTTTGCCTGCATTGCATGTTTTTATTGAATAAATCAAATTAGACACAGTCGAAGATCAAGTCATCAAACCACCGAAACTGACAAATGTTTTGGAACCATCATCAAGATCGAGAAGGGAAGTAAAATATACACTAAATTTTTTGTTTCTGTACTAGGTATAAAGTTAAAGTCGTGGAAGTGGTGTAACTATGAAGTATTATTATATATGATCAATGAAGGTAATGAAGGTGTAAATATAAGGTTGAAACGAATAATCTTGTACTAATACTACTGAGAGAAAAATCTACTTCACCATCTGATCAACAATTAGATATGACGACATATTCCATTTTATGATCACAGCACATGTTTAGTTTTCTTGACATTCAAGCATAACACACTGGATGAAGAGCTGCGTGGTTAGCACCTTTACATTAAGCTATAATATATAGAGTTTTTTATTAGATTGATTAGTATTTGAGAACAAAATTCAAACTATTCACCAACCGTCTTAATCACTTAAAGCTAGTGCCTCAAAGCTTTCTAACAATATAATGGTGTTCTATTAATATATCCGCCTGAAGTTCTTTGGAATGTCGATGTATAGGCAAATTCGAAGATTTACAGTATTCTGTTGAATGTTATGATCCGATATCAAATAAAGAGATCAAATTGTCTACTAGTTATATAGTTAAGTTTTGTATAAGTTCAATATAGAATCTGTCAAAGAAAAATGTCTGTCTTAGGTATGATCGCTAACCTCCAACATATTGATGGAATTTTGAGAACATCTTTGGGACAAATTTGTTATATTATAAAGAACAAAGGCTTTTCATTTATAATTTTCAGTTCAGTATTAGTTCAGTGGATTATGATCCGAAGTGTTCGGTTGAATTAGTAGATCAATTGTACTTTCTATGATTTTCGAAGCACAATAAGGCTACTTCGATTATGTTTTCCAAACTAACTTTGTCGCACACCACAACACACTTTTGAATTCGATTAACAATATAATACGAGGAAGAATTAATTACACGAAGCTGTGAAAATTCGATTCTATCTGAGAATATAAATCTTAGCAATGTTAGCTTCAGCTTTCTTATGGTTAACTAACTGCATGTTATTAGCTCCCAGTCGTTTCTGAGTCTATCAGGCACAACCTTCCCCTAGCAGTATACCCTGTTTAAAAGGCTCTAGGTTCTCTGGAAATCAGTTGGCAAGCGTATTTCATGAGTCGTTGAACTTGTGACGAAGTAAATATATTTAATTAATTTCTACCACTGGCCCTATATTTCATCTCCCAAGGTATCTTGCTATGGAGTTTCAGATAAAGCGCCCACAAGCTTTGTAGTACTTTTTACTTTATTCTAATTTCAACATAACTTCAATTATGATCACACGTATAATATTGAAAATACATTTGTTCTTAAAGAAAACTTTTCATTCAAGTCTTTATGATATATTATGTTATATAGGTAATAATTTGGTATACATTTTACAGTCCCTTATAATCATATATACCTTTATTACGTACAAGGATATTATAGTAATATAGCTACTCCCTTTATCTATTAAATACAGAATAATTCTTTTGAACAGAAAGCTCAGTTAGTGTAGCATAAGGAAATCATAACTCTGAAAGTAATGCTGAATATATATATATATTCTTGGTGAGCAGAGGAACTTTCATCATTGAACCATTTGATGTCAGCGGAGAAGTTGCTAAAAGGCTAAAATATTACCACGAGATGATTAGTCTCAATCAAAACAACAGCCAAAGGTGAGATATTCAGATCAAGGGTGGCCGTTAGGGGTTTCAAGAGCAGAATGAAAGAGAACTATACTCTCTTTAGTTGCTTCCATAAGAACCGTGTTACTATTTCCTGTAAAAGACAGATGGTCCATGCGTCAATTTGATTGTAAGACCGCTTTTTTATAATGAGAAATACCAACATAGGTTCTCCAGCACGTTCAAGGTGATAGAAAGCGTAACCACTCAAACACCTGTTAAGATCAGAATCTGTTCAATTTAGGTTTAATTATTATTTGTAAAGTACTTTTACGTCCATGTCTTACGTAGTTGATTTATTGTCTTTCAAATCTAAAAAGATCGATTACATACAAGGGTCTTATACTGCTCTATCTGGACAACCTTAATTATAACAAAGAATAGTTTATAACAATAGCACTGTCCATCAAAACCTCAAAGCTTTTAACCAATAGAAGTGGATCTTATATAATTCAAGTATATTAGCTTTGATGTCGCTATTGATCGCTATTGTATTTAGTTTTTAGTTATAAATCGATCACCTAGTGTGTCTAAGCAATAAATATCTACCTCAAAGCTCCTTCTTTCGTTAACTCTCGCGATTGACCCCAAGTGTCCACTAAACTGGAGTAATACACCGAGTTAACATGAACCAAATTGACCACCCAATCATTCATAAATTAGTCACATCTATATATTAAGCTCAATAGATCAACTGAAGTGCAAAGTATTTTCTTGAAACTTCGACCATATTTCTTGATTTTCCAAGAAGCCAGGCGTTTAATTCAAGGTCAAATATTTAACCAACCAGCCTTAAGTATTTTTTCATTGCAAATCAGTGACATTACCAGCGAGCTTTAAATTAATGCGATATTGTGACTTTAAATAATCTTTGAACAGTATATATATTTAAATTTGACCAACAATCTTGTAATATAGTAACAGTGGGTAATCAAAATCAAGCTAGCATAATTTTTTGCCTTCAATAAAAGCTTTTCCAATACGTTTACATAATGGACTTGGAAATGTAAAGAGCCAAAAGTACCATAAATCAAATAGTTATTGAAAAATAGCCACAAATGGATTGAATAACTATGTTAAGCCTTAAAAGGGGACTTCTAGCATCAGAAAATGGACCTGACTGAAAATTTAGCCAAAAAGAGCTTGTATAAAAATTAGTAAAATATCAAGTTACCCAAAAATATCGGATCAGTGTATGGTTTGGTACCCTTGAAGGATTGGCTAATATAGCAATTGGATAGAATTTAGTTAAAGAAACCACATCATATGAGCAATGTTGATGTATCACAATGGAATAAATTCAGTAAGCAGCAGTGTGTATATGAATGAACATGCAATGGGAATCCCAATGTAGAATAACAACTAAATTAATGATTTTGAATTGATCATAGACCTTTCATCACGGTAACTTGCAATGTGAATAATTAGAACAATCACGAGCTTATTTATGATTTATGTGCCAAATAATTATGAAGCACAAAAAAGTTTGGAAATTTGCGATATAGTATATATATATATCACATCGAATTTTTCACAAAGATATCTTGGGGCGCCTGTTCTTATAAATATTTTCGCGCTGAAAACGACTGTCTGAAAATTGATTAAGCTTTAAATCAATATTCTGCATTATCCCATAATAATAGGAGGAAGATACATAATATGTGATCATTGTTAACCGTGGATGTACTGTACAACTTATTATTATATTTTTATGTGGTAATTGTTAAGCTTGCGAAAATTATTTTAACTATAGTAATATTTTAAATGATCTAATTTTCGATTTTGATCGATATGTTTAAATCAGCATCATACAGCTTTGCTGCAACTCCATGGCGCTTAATCCCAGGGTTCAGACTCCAAAAATTAATCAAAATATAATTGAAATGAGAGCCTGTTTAGCTCTTAAATTGGAGGACACACAAGTTCAGGATCATCTCACATTAGATATACACACTTTTTAAATCGGTTTATGGAACCCGCAACTAGAAGATGTAAGCATTTTGTGCAAAAGTGAAGTTTGTACTTGTGTCAAATTGAGTAGACATTCTTCGAGATATAATCTTCCCGTACTAGTTGTGTATTCAGCTGATCACTAAAGTTATGAATCAATATTAAAATTTTTGAAACAAGGTCCAATATTGAATACCGTGTGATAACAATTTACTAATAAACGCCTCTCACAGTGGATAATAGATAATGACATAGAAGTATCTACACAGTTCGTGGCTGGGAGGTTGGAACCATCAATATCAAAAGTTTTATACTGTATTTTTGCTATTTATATTCCTGGCATGTTCCATGGATATCATTGTTATGCTACCATTAAATATCAACACGACGAAGAATCAATTCATATAGCGCAATATTGTTGGTGTAGTCGATCAACCTGCTATATCCAATGACTGCTGACGAGTAACTGGTTTTTAATGTATTTTGGAACTAGAGTGAAAATAAGTGTGATGCTTATGCTTGAAATACTGATTTCAAGAGACATTAGCTCTAGTAATTTGAGGCCAATAAGGCCTTTGATGAAAGTTGAGATATGGCGCCTCATTTTCCTTTAGTTCTGTATCATTCCCAAATTTTGAATTTATAGCATGGAAATTCCGAGCAGAATCCATTAGTATTTCCACGGTTCTATCTTCTAAGGTTAGCTCCCAGTCCTGGATCAAAATGCTTACTAGTAAAATACTCACTATGTGTTGAAGTTGTTATCAGCTTTTCTTGGTGTTTCTTTAGCTCATTGGAAAACAGCGGAGCTGAAGTATCAATCTCGTCATCTAATGCTCTTTTTCTTCCTATGTATGAGTTCATCTGCCTAATAACTAGTTTCCTTGAATAAATTCACTACCACAATGATGCTATAAAGAAACAAGACGCGTTTGATTGAGTCTATAATTTTAAAATGATTCCCGCGTTTGCTAAATGTACGGTGTGCGAACCACTACGATTATTCAGAATAAATCCAGTTTCAATCTGGGGATAATAACAATAGATTGTACAAGACCCTTCAATTCAAATAGCATTATACAAGAATAGGATTGTCAGAACTATCATGAAATCAAATGAAGAGGCCACAAAACTCATTCCTGATGTTAATGGAGAAGCTGGTAATGATTCCAATAGTTCAGTAGACGCTAGTCGCCATGAAAATAACAGCACTGATCAAGCCGCTGATACTTCAAGTATGATTAGTTTCAATGAAACTACGAACCTACAAGACTCTATCAACCCAAACAGATCTTTTTTATACATTATTTTATTAACTTTAATCATTGGTGGTCTTCAATTATCATGGTGCACAGAATTTACGGAAGGAACCCCATTTCTTTTGTCATTAGGTATATCTAAACATACCCTAGCTCTTGTTTGGATTGCTGGTCCATTGAGTGGATCTCTAGGTCAACCTATTATTGGGATATTCAGTGATAATTGTCAATATAGATATGGAAGGAGAAAACCATTCATAATCGGTGGCTGCTTAGCTACCTGTCTATCATTGTTGTACTTGAGTAATTCCGTGGATCTAATTAAATTGATTTCACCAGCACTCAATGAAGATGAAGTAAAAAGAAGAACAATTCCTTTTGCTGCTTTAGGTGTTTACTTATTGGATTTCTCAATTAGTGCCATTCAAGCTGCTGCTAGAGCTTTCATAGTTGATAATGTTGCCACTCACCAACAACAAATTGCGAATGCAATGGCTGCTATAATGATCGGTGGATTCAACATATTTGGATACATTTTGGGCTCCCTCAAACTTACTAAGTTTTTGTTTTTCCTTGGAAACACCCAATTCAAAGTTCTAGCAACTTTTGCAAGCTTGGTCTTAATTCTGACCACCACTATTTCTTTGTTGTTCGTTAAAGAAAGGGACCCTACACAAGACCTTGTCATCAAAGCTGAACGTAAAAAAAATAGAAAAAGGCTCCAAGAATTAGGGATTGAAAATCCTCAAACAATATCTGGGACCATTTTGTCGCTTTATAAGCAAACTAGCCATAGTATAACCAGACTTCCTCCTCAGGTGAAAATAGTCTGTTTGGCTGAATTTTTTGCTTGGATTGGATATTTTCCAATGTTATTTTACACAACAACTTACGTTGGTGAACTTTACAAGTTTGAGTTTTACAAGAATAGAGAACCAGGTTTGCCTCCGTTGACACCTCATGAACAGCAGGAACTACTGGATGAAAGCACTAGAAAAGGTGCACTGGCCCTTCTCTTACATTCCATTACATCTTTCGGTATTGACCTTCTTCTTCCGTTACTAGCCAGACCGAAAAACTCAACGGATGTTAACTTCAATAATGACCTAATGCCAACCGGTTATAATGGTGTTTCAAGATTTATCGAAGGTTTTAGAACTCGATATTGCAGCTGGTTAACTGTTAGAAGATCGTGGTATATTTCCCATATTATTTTCATAATGTGTACTATATCCACTTTTGTCGTAAGGTCTTCAAATGCTGCCATATTTTTATTTGCAATACTTGGTATTACTTGGGGGAACGCATTATGGGCACCTTTCGTTTTAATCTCAGAAGAAATTTCAAGAATAAAGGAAATTAAAACGAAGCTACATCAACACAAAATCAATCAATCACAGAGTGATGGTATTTCAGCTTCTGGTATAAACAAATCAGTTTCTCGCGAATACGAAGACTTGGAGCATGAGGCTGGTATAATATTAGGCATCCATAATTTCTTTGTTGCTGCACCCCAGGTTATCAGCTCGTTGTTCAGTAGTATATTATTCAAGCTCTTGTCTTCCAATGATTCAGCAAATCATGCTGTTTATGATGATAGCTTGGGTTGGGTTTTCAGATTTGGCGGATTAGCTACGGTCGGTGCCTTAATTTTCAGTATCAAAGTTAGAACAGATGAACAGCTTCACGAGGAAGAATCAAGAATATTTACAGAAGACGCATAATTTTACTGGTTTGAAGCTCTTCCCCCTAATATTAGTCTTACTAATAACTAATAACCTAATTGACCAAATGTCCACAAGGAATAACTATAGCTCTCATAATTTCACGAATGTTCAACATTAATCTTTTGGTATATGTTAGTTATGTAGTTTTGTAGATAACAACAGGTCCTTGGGAAATTATTTCCGAAAACTAATCGCTTGACTTTTCCCACGCTAGTACAATACATGTTAGAGGAAGCACGGTAATAATAAACGAATCAATGTCCGTCCTCAACTTTGGACCCCAATAAGATATTTAAAGACTCTAAAAGTTGGATTCTTCAAAAAGACTCACAAGCTTTCAAAAATCATCAAGAATCACTGAAGATGAGTACAAATACATTGCTACATGTTCGTGCAAGCTTGAACAGATGTGCATTTGTAGCACCTAGATATGGAGCTCAAAACAGATCTATCAGAAGATCTGTTGCTCAATTAGCTGGTGTTAAGGTTCCACCAATTAAAAATGAAGCTGTTAAACCATTTGGTAAGACCGACACTGTGGATTGGGATTTGTTGAGAGCTTCAATTTTAAAATTCACTGATAATGGATCCTTGGATATTCCACTAGTTATTAATGGTGAAAGAATTTATGGTAAAGGTACCCAAAGAGCCGTTGTTCCACAAATCAACCCTGCAAAAACATCTCAAGAACTAGCAAATATCACACAAGCTTCTAAAGAAGATATTGAAGCTGCTATCTCTGCTGCCAAAAGTGCCAAACAAAAGTGGCTTTCAACCCCATTTGTCGACAGAGCAGCTATCTTTTTAAAAGCAGCTGATCTTATTAGCACTAAATACCGTTATGACATGTTAGCTGCAACTATTTTGGGCCAAGGAAAAAATGTTTATCAAGCTGAAATCGACGCTGTTGCGGAATTGATTGATTTCTTCAAGTTCAATGTCAAATATGCTCAAGAACTATACGAAACACAACCTGCTGAAACTAGTGCTGGTATTTGGAATAGGGCAGAATATAGACCTTTGGAAGGTTTTGTCTATGCTGTCACTCCATTCAACTTTACTGCAATTGCCGCTAATCTTGTCGGTGCACCTGCTCTTGTAGGTAACACTGTTGTTTGGAAACCATCAAAGACTGCTGCTTTATCAAATTATTTACTATTGACAATCTTAGAAGAAGCTGGTTTACCTAAAGGTGTTGTTAATTTTGTTCCAGGTGAACCAAATTTAGTTACTGATGTTGTTTTAAATGATTCTGAATTTTCTGCATTGCATTTCACTGGTTCAACTAGAGTTTTCAAGGACTTATATAAGAAAATCTCTGATAACGTTGCTCTTGATAAATATAAAGATTTCCCAAGAATTGTTGGTGAAACTGGTGGTAAAAATTTTCATTTGGTCCATCCTTCTGCATCAGTTACACATTCAGCTTTATCCACATTACGTGGTGCTTTTGAATATCAAGGTCAAAAGTGTTCTGCCACTTCTAGATTATATGTCGCAAGCTCTGTTTGGGAAGATTTCAAAACCGTGTTAACTGAACATTTAAAAGAAATCCAACCTCTTAACACATCATCGTACGAAGGCTTAAGTGGATTCTATGGTCCTGTCATTCATGAACAAAGTTTTGACAAAGTTTCCTCAGCTATCGAATCTGCTAAAACTGATCCAGAATTGAAGATTGTTGCTGGTGGTAGATATGATAAATCTAAAGGTTTCTTTATTGAACCTACAGTTGTTGAAACCACAAACCCAAATCATCCTTTCTTAAAAAATGAATTTTTTGGTCCACTTTTAACCACTTATGTTTACAAAGATGCTGAATATGAATCAATAATCGAAAAAATTGATACAACTACTACTTATGGTTTAACTGGTTCAGTTTTTGCTAAAGACAGAGATGCTGTTAGATTAGCTGAAGAAAAATTGAGATATTCTGCTGGTAACTTTTACATTAACGATAAATCAACAGGTGCAGTTGTTGGGCAACAATGGTTCGGTGGGGCTAGAGCTAGTGGTACCAATGATAAAGCAGGTTCTGGTAATATTCTTTCAAGATTCGTTTCAATTAGAAATGTGAAAGAAAACTTTTACGAAATTTCAGATTATAAATATCCAAGTAACTATAATTAGTAAATAAGATTTTAATGAATGATTAATTGATGTTCAAACAAAACTTCGAGACTACTGTAGGTTTATTATACACAAGAACACAACTGCTGTCCCAGTCACCTCTCGACTCTCTGATTATTTGATCTATATTAACCGCGATGTATATCTACATATTGTTATGTAATCACGAAGCAGTCGTGGACGCCCAGCGGCGCGCCTGCTAAATTAACGAAACTGAAAACATCATGAAAATAACCACCATATAAAGAATCACAGAGAAAAACTGGTGATATTGATGGAAGTCTGCTAAACTAATATATTCTCATTGCCCTTTTCAGCTCTATAACAATGTCTGAATCAATCACCAGAATCACCTCAATGCTTGAATCAGCTAGGGATCTTACACTTGAAGCTGCTGCTGCTGCCTCTGCTAAACTTGCTGAAACACCAGACAGTGTAAGACCAAAGGAAGTCAGTGCATTGTTAAACTCTCGATATGATAGAGATGTGCTTAAAGGGTTGAAATATGTCATATCCTTGATATCTAGTGGTGAAGATGCTTCTAAGTACTTTACAGATGTCGTGAAGAACGTGACTTCAACAAACCTTAAAACTAGAAAACTGGTTTATACATACTTATTGAGATATGCTGACAAAGAGAATGATGTGGCACTCCTCTCAATAAACGCCATTCAAAAGTCATTGGGTGATACGAACGATCAAGTGAGAGCTTTAGCTATTAGAGTGATGTCGGAGATCAAAATCTCATCAATATATCCTATTGTTCAATTAGGAATCAAGAAATGTATTAATGATATCTCACCAAACGTCAGAAAAGCTGCCGCTTTATCATTAGCTAAAGTATATTATAATCACGGTGAAAGCTCGGTTGATGAGCTCACGGATCATTTAAAGAAATTGTTAAAGGACAAAGACTCAAAAGTATTGAGTTCGGCTATATTGGCCTTCAGAACCATTACTCCTGACAAATTCGAGCTTTTACATGGTCACTTCAGAAGGTTTTGCTCCATTTTTGGGAACTTGGATGAATGGGCACAAGTTTATTTGATTGAAATTTTCACAGATTATTGCAGACTGTACATTCCAAAACCAAAGATATACAATGGTGCCACCAACGAAAAAGAATTCATTGATCTCCCAGATAACTACAATGAAATTCCTTATCCAGTATATGATGTTGAATATGACTCTGACTTGAAATTATTCTTAGATTCTATAAAGTATCTTGTATACAGCTCCAATGAGGCTGTAATATTAGCTGTTGGTAGAGCATACTTTCACCTAACTCCACCAAAAACTTTCAAAGAGTCACAAATATCAGCTGCCTTTGTCAGGGCTCTACAAACAAGTACAAGTGAAATTCAAGTTTTTATACTTCAGAGCATATTATATATGGCTGCACATGATCCAACACTATTTGTCCAGTATGAAAAAAGATTTTATTTATTTCCTGGAGATCATTTCCTGACAGCACAGTTCAAGTTAAAAGTTTTATCAATTATTTGCAATGAAAACAATATAAGACAAATTACGAATGAGCTACAATATTATGTCTTAAATACAACAGATCCAAAAATTGCTGTTGAATCTGTGAAATCATTGGGCGCGTGCTCACATGTTAGTGACTATTGGAGTTCAAAGGCGTTGAAATGGCTGTTATCCCAAGTTCCTGTTCCTGGATATGAAAAATCTGTAACAGCTGAATTTTTGACGGTCATTAGATACCTTGTTCAGCAAAATCCTGAAAACAACGTCAAAGTGGTCATTAAACTAGCAAATTTTCTGGATGATATATCTCTTTTGGATTCAAACGCTAAGGAAAGTATCATTTGGCTTGTCGGTGAATTTGCTGGAATTGAGTCAAGAATTGGACCAGACGTTTTGAGAAAACTTGCAAAAACATTCGCTTTTGAACAAAAGCCAGTTAGACAACAGATTTTGCTACTATCAGCTAAATTATACTCGTATGATGTTGAAACTTACAAACTAGAGACTGGAGATCATGGTCTAGAAAACTATAGAAATGAAAATCGCATTGTTTGTAAACTTTTCAATCATATAATTAATTTGGCCAAATACGATGACGATTATGATGTGAGAGATAGATCAAGATTATTGAATTCTCTTTTGAGCTCCAGAGAAACACAGCTTGCAACTTTAATACTTCAAGCACCAAAACCTGTTCCAGTCGTTGCTCTCAGAAATACGAATGATAAAAATAATACTGCTGGATTCACTGATGATGATTGGGGTTATTTAGGGATCGAGGAAATGATTAAAAATTTCAATACTCTTCCAGAATGGTCTGCTGAAGGTGAAATACCTGAGAAATCTATCAGAGATGAAATAGATGTCAGCGTTGCACCAAAAAGCTTCTCGCAGCAAAGTGTCTCAAGCCGTCAAAACTTTATAAACTCAAAAAACGATATCACAAAACCGGCCAATAGAAAATTCAAGCTTCAAAGTTTGGATGATTTTTTTGCTGAAGATGATTTAAGGCTCGAGAATTTTCCAAGAAAAACAGTGATTGTGGAGGAAAGTGATACTAGTGATGAGGAAGAAGATGATGATGATGATGAAGAAGAAGAAGAAGATGATGATGATGACGGTGAAGATGAAGATGACGACGATGAAGGAAAAAAAGACGAAGATGAATTTGGTGAAGGCAGCTTTGAAGGTGAATCTGGAGAAAGTGAAGATGGTTCTAGTGATAGTACAGGCCAGTATGAAGAGGGTGACTACTTAAAAAAACCATTAATTTAATTATTTTGCATATCGAACATATATAAATTTATAGCACATACTCAAATATATCAATCTTGTAGTCTTCTTGTTCTATAAGTGGGTAGTAAGGAACCAATGAATCCAAGTTTTGAACATAAGCACTGTTATATATTTTCCAATAAGGCTTTCTCACTTTCCTTGCTGGGTGAAATAATCCATTCCAAGTGTAATTTAAAACAAGACCAGGACCAACAGCATTTCGTACACCTTCTATCCCGTCCAATATTCTGTTTATGACGTGAGGAGAGGTTTCAAAGATGTTGGGAATCAACAAATTTAAGAAATGAATGAATGCATCCTCTCTACCTAGACCGATACATCCAAGTGCGATATGTCTAACAACGCTTGCAGCTGTCTGTCTATGAACCTGATCCCTATCTGTTAAAGCATCTTCTAGCAGGGGAGTTATAGAGTAAATGTAATCATTAGAAATACTCCCAATGTATTCAAACATGAAAGTCATTGCTTTCAATACACCATTTTGAACATTAACTTCTGGTGTTCGGTATTCGTTCATTAGTGCTGGTAAAACAGTAAAGGGTGAGCATGTTTCAGCAACTATACCAATAGCAACAGCTGTACATACCCTAAGTTGACGCTCTTGAACTCTCAAATTATTCAACAATGTCACAAGAACCTCCTGTGGGCCAACAGCTTTAGCTATATACCCGAATGTATTATTGGCAGCCCTTCTTATTCCTTTTTTAGTGCTTTTCAACATATCTAATAGCTCAAAACAAATTCTCATCCATTCTTTCGGAGAAACATAATCGGCACCTCTATCAGCAATCCTACCGACCAAATCTATAGCATTTTCTTGGACCTTTTCGTGTCTGTTTCTTAAAATTGGAGTTAGCGACGGAAGTATTTGATTAACAGGTGGTTGCATTGATGATATACCCACAACTGTTGCAATGTTTTTTAAGGCACCCAACAGTGATCCCAAAACCTCAGGGTAAACCTCACCTAGAGATTCAAATAAGATCACAGATAATTTATTCAAAATGTCCTCTTCTCCACATGTCATGATAACAGGTGCTATTTGTGCAATAAAATCAGATGCCTGTTGACGTATCTCTGCAGATTTGTTTTTAAGCCTATGGAGTATTGTTGTAACTATGGGACCTATGAAAGGTTGACATCTCAATCCCAAAGAATTAACAACGGTGGAAAATCCTATTAATATCATGGAATCATTACCACTTTGTTCCTGAAATGCCACCAGTAAACCATCTATCAATAAAGACTCAGTTCTCTCCGAAAAACCTATTGATCCTAGGTTCAAAACAATTTTGTATATAGTTTCCACTGCCATTTTTCTGAAAGGTTCAGATTCGTCTTTCAATGCTACCAAAAGCCTTTCGACGATTTCACTGGCCCCCACCTTTTCAGAAAGAACAGCAGAAGTTTCAACAACAAGTCTGTATGATTGGCGATCCAGTGCCATCCTTCTAACCCAAAAATTATCGAAAAATGATGGTAACACACTTCTCTTCAAATAATTTGGCTGAACACCGTCTGTGGATGCGCATTGTTGAATAACTTTCAATACCACTTTTCTCATTTCGTCATCTGGAGACTTGAACTCACGTATTAAAATAAACATTATTTCCTTAGTGTAATAACTAGCATACTCAGGATCCATCAGAGGAATTATAAATCCAATACATTTTAGAAAAGCTGATAAGCTTCTTCCTCTGTGTCTTTTGATACCGTTCCATAAAGGCTCTAATATTGTCTCGAAGGATTCAATACCATAAGTAGCTGAAGCTTGGGCCAAAGCAGATAGAGCATTAGCAGAAGTTGTTCTAACCGAAAGCTGTTCGTCACTCAACCCTTTGGAAACACATTGTACTAGACCATTCAAGTGCGGAAGAACACCACATCCTGATATATTAGCTATTTGTTGGATTGTTCTCATACCAGTATGCCTTGCTTGCCATGATTTTTTTGAATGACAAACTGCTTTCAAAAAGGGAATCATAGCTGGTATTCCTAAAGCTCCAGCAACAACGGCCAACGACCTTGAAGTTATGTTTCTAATGTACTCATCACTATGATCAATATCAGGTCGCATAGTTGATATCATGTGGGAAAGTCCAGCTGCTTTTGAAAGGTTCGAAATTATCTCTTTACCTTCAGTCCTTGTAATGTATTCTTCATCAATAAGTAAAGGAGAAATCACCATCAATATTTTATGCGTATATGGACGAATCATATCATCAAGTTTGTAAAGTATTCTATCAACGACTTTTACAAGCAAGTGTCTCTCTTGATCATCTAAAGTTTTTTCTAGTAAAAGTGGTAATATTTGGTTGAAAAGGGCTTTAGCACCAAACGACCTTGCATTATCAGTTATCTGTCTTAATGCTACCTTTCGTACTGGTGGTGTTCCATTTTTCACTTTTAATAGAAGCCTCATAATTTTTCGTTCTTTCAACTCATCAAGAGAAAGCTCCGTTTCTGTTTTACCATCTAATAACTTACCAAAATAAACTTCATCCTGCTCCTTAAAGAATTGTAAATCTTTGACACCCGGTACTTCAGTAATTAGAGATTTGTTCATTGCCCTTACTGACACCTTATTCTCTTTAGGAATTTCATACACCTTAGAAGACTCTTGATTAATTTCCACAATTTTAGTAGAATCCGAGCTATCTATTGTTTGATTCCATCTCGATTTCTTCATTTGATCCTTTGACTCATTTGCTTCAGAATCACCAACATCCCACCTTCTTTTTTTTTGCTTGTACGAGGAGGTGTTTTGCTTCCATCATCCTCATGTGTGTCTTCATTTTGTTTCAAGACTATTGAATTTGTTTGTTCATTTCTTTCTTGTTCTCTTATCTTTAATAACTCTTCATCATTGATGTTTGGATCACGTTCTGGTGATAACTCTCTTTGATATCTTTGTTTATGATAAGAGCTCTCCCGCTCAAACTTAGAAAGTCTCTGTTGTTTATCTTTAAGTGGATCAATCTCTTCAATTTCTAAACCATCTTTTATTTCTTTGGGTACTGAATATTGACCAGCAAGATTATAAGATTGATCTTGTTGATCAGAAGACTTTCTAAAAACAAGTCTATTATCTCCTAAAAGTTTTCCTATTAGTTTATGTCCGGTAAGTCAAAATACAAATCTACTCACTAGACATTGTTGAAAGTAATTTGCTTTTGCTAAGTTATTCCTTGGAAAGTATCGCTTTAAAAAGGCAAATTCTATGCACATTATATAACATATAATTATTTTAATTTCTTCATGGTTTAAAATTATATAATATCCGAGGGCAGTTCCGAGGCTAAATAAATCTAACTCGCGATCGAGATGTTTATAATATTAACATTAATAACATCATTATTTATACGTTATTACGGGAACTGTGATAAATCAATCAATTCAACTATACTGAACTTTAACTGCTGAAATGAAAATTCAGCTGGAGGCATTACTAGGACTTCTAGCTCTTTCGCATTCGGTAGTCGCAGATGGTCCTGCAAGCAATCATTCACATTCAATCAACGAAGACGTGTTTGAAAATGCCACTGCTTATCCATATGAGGAAACCCTTGACATAACCCCATTACCTAGGAACAATTTGTTAATTTCATTCAACTTCAATATAGCCTCTGAATATATCAATGTCAGTGAGTCAAAATCACACCATCAATATAGAGCATTTCCAAGATCACTCGCCCCAATATTGGAAAGCACAGATACCAGAGAGTTACATCTTCGATTTGGACAAGGTTGGTGGGATTCTGAAGAATGGGGTCAGCTTCCCTATTCTGGTGAACATTCTGGGGGTGTTGGTGTTGAAGTCTGGTCCGTTATTGAAGCAGCAGGTCGTGAACAAAGCTTCGAAAAATGGACATCGTTGGTGAATTCGTTATCTGGATTATTTTGTGCTTCATTGAACTTCATTGATAGTTCCAAAACTACTTATCCTGTTCGTTCCTTCAAACCCGAGAACAATATAACTTTATTTGATGATAGAAATGAATTACACTTAATACGTGCAGCCCTAGCTTCAGAACCTGTTTGTACTGAAAACTTGACCCCCTTCGTTAAGTTTCTGCCAGGAAGAGGTAAGTCAGGTTTGTCATCATTACTAGATGGCCATAGAGTTTTTGAATCTGAGTGGCACAAAATGTCCATTGATATCGAAACACGATGTGATGGTGAGCTTTGTCGCTATGTTATGTCTCAGAAAATTGATGCTGTTATTGATATACCAAGAGCAATTAGAACCAAAAAGAACCCTATACCTAAGCCTGTTTCAGGAAATGAGCTTAATTGTGATCTTGATAAACCAAATGACGCTTTTGAATGCTTTCCATTAGGTGACTCAAACAAGTTGGATTTTACGTTGTCTGACTTATTGCATCGCTCTATTTTGGGTGGAAGCAAGTTTTCTGAAAAGCCTGCAAAAGTGTGTGCACATGTAACAGATAACTGGGACACTTATTTAAAGGTAGATGGAAATTACTTTGGAACACCTTCCAACTGTTTTGATGTTACTGGTGATGATGTTTATGACTTATATTTTCAGACAGGGGATAGTACTAATGTGCAATCCATCAAAGATGTGCCAATCTTTGTTTCAAGGTCATTGACTGGCTATGGTCAAGATAAAGGTGGCTCACGTACTGTCTTCAACAATCCACTCAATGAACCAGTTAGGCTTTTGTATTTTGAGTCACTACCATGGTTTATGAGGGTTTATTTACACACAGTGTCAGTATCAGGTGGTGGAGCAAATGAGTTAGTCAAATCTGTTTACTACTCTCCAGAGGTTGATCGTGAGAGACCTACACATATTGAATTTGAATTGATTATACCTGCTAACTCTACTATTGCGCTATCATATTCTTTTGACAAATCATTATTACTTTACTCTGAGTATCCCCCAGATGCCAATCATGGTTTTTCGGTGGAGCCTGGTGTTGTCAATGTTCTAGAACCTGTGAAATATTCACTGAGAACTTCATCGGCACTTTTGACTTTACCAACGCCTGATTTCAGTATGCCTTATAATGTGATCATTTTATCATCCACTATCATGGCACTGGCATTTGGTACTTTATTCAATTTGTTGGTTAAGCGTCTAGTTACAGAAGAGGAAGCAGATTTGGTTATTGAAGTTTCGGGTCCTAAAGCTGCTATTCAAAAACTTAAATCAAAGATATCTGTACTAAAAAAATCAAGCCCTTTGACATCTAAGGATTCTAATTAAATTTTATAGAATATACACGATGCTACTATATATGAATTAAAAGATACATGTAATATTTTATTTTTATTAGTTTAGCCCTGTTTCTATGTCTCTTATAATCCCAGATAGTATTGATCCATGTGCTTCTAGCCATCTTTCCAGAACTAGTCGCTGGTCTCTTAGTTTTTGTGTTATAGGAAAGTCTCCATGACTCCTCGAATTTATCAATAAATCAAACAATGGACTCCATAACTCATGATTCCAATATCTTTTGAAAGGAGATGCCAATTTGTATTTTCCATCTTTCTGTATGGTCTCTATAAAAGTACCAAAAAGCATTGTGTGAAGAATTCCTGCTATTCCAAAGTAATCTACCTCAAATGACCAAGACTCATCGTTTCTCATTTCTGGGCAATCCTGATTATCTGTTTTAATATTTGTTTTAAAGCGTGAATTAGGTGGAAACATAGTCATATCTATCGACCTTCCAAAATCAATGAGCTTAATCCCCTTTTTCGACCATCCATTTGACCCATTTTTATCATATTCACCGGTGCTTCCAGGATCTAATCGCAACATACAATTATCAGGTTTCAAATCACCGTGTAGAATTCCAACTTCGTGCATCTCTTCAATTAATTTCAATATTTCAACCGTGAGAAATATAACAAGAGCTTCATCGACATTTCTACCAGTCGCCTTGTATAAATTCACAACATCAAGAATAGTCCCTTGTTTCTCATATTCCATAATCAAGTAGCTCTCATCTTTAAACAAATGCACTTCATCGATTACAATTATTGAGTTGAGTACTTTGTGTCCAGCTAGTCTTTGTTCAAGTTGTTTGATAATATAAAACTCCCAAGCACTTGCTGGTTGTTGACCCTTTATAGCTTTGAATTCCCCATCCATACTTTCTGCTAAGTAAACTGAAGCAAAACCACCATGCCCTAATAACGAAACCATGTTATAATTACTTTTTGTGAAGTCTAAAAACAAATTTTTAAACTGTTTGTTGTTTGATGATAACTTTTTTAATGTATTACACATTTTCATATCTTTTTCATGATAATGGAAGCCCTTGTAGGATGATACATGAGGGTTCATTTCGAGGAGCCATTTTTCCTTGAATTCCTCATTGACAGGATCAAACATACCAATATCTTCATTGTGATTTACCCCGTAATAGTCTTCTTTATTACTTTGAGTCATGTTTTCTTCAATTTTCATATGAGGCACCTTTTCTGTCAAATCATTCAAATTGGGACGAGTCAATTGTTCAGTAAAATCGTCATAAACCAGCTGATGATCATTCTCCATTACACTTGTATCAGTCTCCACTGGTTTTTGATTGAACATTGAATACACTTCATCTTTTGCCTCTCTTGTGAACATAGTCATTGTTGGTGATGATGGTCTTATAACTGTATCCATTTTGTTATTCAAATGTATTGTAGCATCATTGCTTTTATCAAGAGTTTTGGGCTTCGTGTCCAACAACGAGACAGCTTGATCATCATAATTTCCATTGCTTTCTTTCAATGACTTCTTTGAACTTCCAATCTTTTTTGAGTATGTTCTCAATTGGAATAAAACTTCTTGTATGCTGCACTCTTCACTTTCCCTGTAAAGAAGATCGAAGTTCAGATCAACCTTTTCCGTCTTTCTTCCAGGATTTTCAATGAATTTAAACACTTTGCCAGCAGAATCATCACCACCACCATCCTGAAAGACGCTTATTTTATTCAAATGTTGTCTTTTTCTATTTGTTTGTTCTAAAGTTTCACCAACCCATGGTGTGGCTTCCAATTTATTTTCCTTGTTTCTAAAAGCAGCAGTCCCTAGTGTATCCCATCCTTTGGTTCTTGGTGCATCAACCTCTCCATTATTACCATGATCATTATCTCCATCATTGAATATCTCCAGTTTTCTCTTTTGAAGACGAGGGCCATCTTGAACTGAAAACAAAGATCCACCACTTTTCAGAGATAAGGCTGATCTAACTGGGAAGACTGGCGAATGTGGTTCATTATCCTGTAATGATACGCTATCGGTCCTCATTTTGAACTCATTATACCTTCTTTCAAGTCTAGCCAAAGGTCTAGCTTTGAAACGAACACCTTCCTCGTAAACTTTTCCCGCTTGAAATATTCTTTTATTTAATTCAAGATAATTTGCATATTCTTCATAATATAACGCCAAGTTTGTACCTATTTCCTTTCTAGCTAGATAAATGAAGATATCTCTGGGGTTTTCTGAATACTTAGCATAAGTCAGCCATACGTTCAAATACCTTGCATCATTTTTATAGAAGTCAAAATCTCTAAATTGTGAAGTACATCTCTCTAATACCTGAACTAGACCACTTTCAACCGAAGCACCTGAAGGATAATTTGTTCGTATCCAATGTATATAATCTAAGAATGGTTGTATAGGATCATCTAGTTCATCTATAGATTCTAGTTCTTTTTCAATTTTGAGTCTCTCTTCAAGTTGTTGTTTTTTCAGTTGATTATGAGGTATAGAAAATATTCCTTTCAATGATGATGCGGAGCGCCCCTCTTTAACTGGCTCTATATTCTCCTTTTGTTCCTCTATAGCATCAAAATTGATCACCTCCATAACAAAAATGTATCTTTACTGGACGATTATAATTGTCTAGTCTTCTTTAGACTTAGAATTGTATTATACTTTCCGATCTAGATAATTATTTATTTAATTGTGATCAGTACGCGATTTTTTGTTTACCTTTTTAATTTTGCTGGATTTACCGAAATTGGTTGCCCCAGTGATTACATTATACAATACACAAAACATTATAGACGTTATAATATGGTACATATATTTAAATTACAATTAGTTTAAATGATATAAATTGTATATATTTATATTTATATATTAAATTTATAATATATTACGTCCATGCAATATATAATTGTAAACTTAAATTATATATATTATATAGCATATAATAGCATTAATTTAAATTATTAATTATTTTATATTATTATAAATAATTTTAATCAACTTAAATATATAGTAATTTTAATAATTTATATATTCGACAATATATTTATGATTTATAATTGCTACGTACTTAATATTACTATCCCTTATATTATCGAAATTCGTAAATTATTATATGCTTTGAGATTTTTTTATACTAGTTTAATAAGACGTTAAGTAATGTATATAATCTATAAAATTATAATTTATAATCCGAGATTTTTTTGGTACATATCAAATCAGACTACTGAAAAATAGATCAAAACAATGTTTTTATGTATTGACAGTTCGTATATAAATGTAAATTTCATTTACAAGAATTTTTCAAATGGGTCATTATTACAACTTAGATAGTTAATTTTTGAAATTGTTTGATGATAACCATTTGTTAACATCTTCACTGTCTCTTGTAATCCATTGACTTTTAGATCTGATGGTATCAATAGATTGAGCTAAACCTTGATTGAAACCTTTAGTATCTTTATTTTCAAAGAATTTTTGAATTTCTTGAATTTTAGCTTCAGAGGTGAATGAAACAGTAGAAATTTGAACAATTGTACCCAACATTGATAACCCAGGTGGTAATTTAACAACCAAAGTGTCCCAATTTTCTTGAGCCCATTTCCATAATGCATTAATACCATTTTGATGAGCACGTAGACCTTGCATTGGAATGTAAAGATCTTGTGATTTAACAACGTGTTCGTCTAAAACAATTGATAATGTTCTTTGAATTAAAGCTTCATCTTCAAATCTACCTAAAGTTCTTAAAGCTGTAATTTTTTCGTCAACGGAAACAGGATTTTGATAAATGTTAAAAATTTGATCATATTCCTTTTCACCACCAGTACGTGCAACTGTACCAAAAACAGAAGCTCTGATGTTTGGATGAATAGCTTTTTTATCACCTTCAACATATTTTTGGAAAGATTCTAAAGCTGAAGCAACAACTTTTTCATCTTTAGCACCTGCAGCGGCAGCAAATAGAACAGATTTTAAGCTTTGATCTTCAAAAGAATCAGATTCATTGAATTCCCAACCTAATGAATGAACTTTTGTTTCAACAAGAGATCTAATAAATGCTTCTAATGCTTCAACAGTAGCTTTATCTTCGAAAATCCATGCATTTTTGATAGCAGTGACTCTTGCTAAGATTTCACCCCAAACAACATAATTATTTTCTTCTTTCCATCCATGAACTAAGTTCAACAAGTTTGAAGTAGATTGATAACCAGAAGTAGCTAATGCACCAGCATCAGCAACAAGACCAGTTCTATCTTCAACTGATAATAAACCTTCAACACCAGCTTTACCTAATTTGATCCAACGTTCTGGTGAATAAGATGTACGATAAATACCAAATTGATCAGCATTTAATTTATAGAAATCTAAACCTTCTTCAATTTTATATTGATCTTCTCTTTTATCTAATCTTAATGATTCATCAACATTATTTTTAGTTTTCAAACCAAGGAAAACTGGGAAAATAGTTTCATCTTCTTCAGGTTTAACATCACCAGTTGTTAAATAACGGTTTTGTTTGACAGAAATGGTGTTTGATGAAGCATCTTCAGTTACAGTAAGGACTGGATAACCAACTTTTTGGGTCCATACACTCATAACCTTAACAACATCTTCACCAGAAGCTTCTGATAAAGCTTCCCATAAATCTGAAGTTTTAGTGTTACCATATTGATGTTTTTTCAAATAATTGGAAACACCTCTAATAAAAGTTTCTTCACCTAACCAACCAGAAATCATTTTTAATAAAGATGAACCTTTTGAATAAGAAATGGCATCGAAAATTTGATTAATTTCTTCAGCTTTTTGAACTGGAACTTCAATTGGATGTGATGATCTTAAAGCATCTAATTGTAAAGCACCTTGTAAAGTATCAGAAATATATGATTGCCAAACTTTCCAATCTGGGTAAAATTCATTACATGAATACCATGACATCCAAGTGGCAAAACCTTCATTTAACCATAAACCTTCCCACCATTCCATGGTGACCAAGTTACCAAACCATTGATGTGCCAATTCATGTTGAACAACTTCAGCAACTCTTTGTTTTGTAGCTAAATTTGAATTTTCTTCATCAAATAAAACATCAACTTCTCTTGAGAAAACAGCACCCCAATTTTCCATAGCACCAGCAGAGAAATCTGGGATTGCAACATAATCTAATTTAGGGAATGGATAATCAATACCAAATGATTTTTCAAAAAAAGCTAAAGTTTTAGAAATTAATTCTGCAGAAAATTTACCTTGAGATTCTTGACCTCTTGTAGCCCAAACTTTAATTGGGACTCTAAAATCATGATTTTCAACATATTTTAATTCACCAACAATAAAAGCAATTAAATAAGTTGAGATTAAAGGAGTTGAATTGAAAGAAGTGGCTTTTCTACCATCATCTAAGATTTTTTCTTCTTTAATATCCATATTTGAAATTGCGGTTAAATGTTTATCAGAGATTAATGTGATATCAAAAATAGCTTTCAAAGCAGGTTCATCAAAAGATGGGAAAGCACGACGAGCATCAGTTGGTTCCATTTGAGTTGTAGCCAAGTATTTAACGACACCATCTTCTTTATAAGAAGATTTGTAAAAACCAGCCATATTATCATTCAAGATACCAATGAAATCTAAATCAAGAGTAATTGAAGAGCCTTTAGTGAAATTTTCTGGAAATTTAAAAGTTGCAGTTTGAGTAGATTCATTATAAGAAATATCAGTAGCTTTTAAATCACCAACTTTAGCAGAATTAACTTCAATTTCAAAAGTATTTAAAGTGACATAATTTGATTCTTCTTGAACTTCAAGATCAATTTTAACATTACCATTAAATTTAAAAGTTTCAAAATTTGGATCTAAAGTTAAATCATATTTGATTGGTTTGACATTAGTTGGTAATAATTCACGACCAGATGGGACACTGATTATATAGTTAGTAATTGAATTATGATCAATTTTTGATAACCATCGGACTTTTAATTAGACAAGGGGGTATCAAATCAAACTTTTCTGTGAAACATAATTGTATAAATAAAGTAACCCATAGTATCAATTGTATAAACCTAAATCTGATTAATACCATTGCAATTGTTGAAAACACAATTTTTTATTTGTTTTTAAAAGTCAAAGGTATCATATATATAAATACTCACTTTGTGGAAACACCTCCACCTAAACAAGCTTTACACATTTTGGAATGATAATGAATTGAGCGGACGTTTAATGAATTGAAAGATGAATAAGTTTTTGAATTGGAAAAATATTTGTCCTTTTTAAATAAATCCGCTTTGATTGATTTTCTGTTTAATGAGCTCAATTGTCTTGAAGGAGATGATGTTGATGATTTCAGAGGCAAATAATACTTTTGTGAACTGAAAATATTGACAGAATTTTTCACGCTTTGCAGTCTGATAGGCGTACTGATTCTAGAAATCAGCATGGTTTATTGTCCAATGAGAATATGAAATCAAATGGTTTAGTGTATCAGATAGTGCCGTTGCTTATTCTCCAAACAGAAGGGATACAAATGAGTGGTTATTTGAGTACTATTCTTTAAGCCCTAGTTGGAAACTTTGAATATACGCTCTCTATTTTTTTTTGAGTTGAATATTTGCGTCGCCCCGTACAATAAATAATATGGTATCTGTTTCGCGATGGTGTTATATAAATGTAAACGTGAGAAAGTTATGATTCATTTGAATATAAGGCACAAGTGTATATGGATTTCATTCATTCATATATTAAATATTTAAAGAACTCAATTTAATAATGAATCAATTGTAGTTTATTTAAAACATAAAATATTAAAAAAATCACAAAATATCTGCCAATTTAAAGCGTGTCTACACAATGTTTTGAATTTAAATCTTGCCATCAAGTAATTCAACACATAACAAGGATAAAAGATACACTATAATATAAGTGAGATATATTATTTCATCACATAACACACATATATATATATATATATACCACGATTAAAATTACAAAAAAATGGTAAGTAGATTTTTTTCAATTGCCAATTGATTATAATAAGATGCTAATTCCCTCTTTATAGGTTGCCACAGGATTACCAGAAGGTTGGACTCTAAGAAAATCACGTACTCATAATAAAGATTATTATTTTAAAGATTCAACAAAAGAATCAGTTTGGGAACCACCAGCAGGTACAGATTTAGATCAATTACAAAAATATTTAAATCAACCAAAAAAAGTTAAAGCAAGTCATTTATTAATTAAACATAAAGATTCAAGAAGACCAGCATCATGGAAATCTGAAAATATTACAAGAACTAAAGAAGAAGCTATTGAAATTTTGAAAAAACATCAAGAAAGAATTAAAAATGGTGAAGCTACATTAGGTGAAATTGCTAAAACAGAAAGTGATTGTTCTTCAGCTAAAAGAAATGGTGATTTAGGACCATTTGAAAGAGGTCAAATGCAACCACCATTTGAAAATGCTACATTTGATTTAGAAATTGGTCAAATAAGTGATATTGTTGAAACAGATAGTGGTGTTCATTTAATTGAAAGAACAGGTTAAATAGGAAAGTAGTTAATGAATGTGACAGTATTGATATCTAAGTATCTATAATTCTACCTAATTCTAAAAATGAGGTTAAATACGTAAAGGGAATTAACCATTATACGTTATACGTCTAGTTGACCTCGGTTAGGTTCCGGCTGTCCTTCCAAGTTGTCTGCCTATGATTCTGCCTAAGATACTTTTGCCTAATTGTTCCTGAATCCTTCCTAGATGTACCTCGGCTCAAAGTCCTTCTCTGCCTAAAATTTGCAATTTGGCTTTGTGGAAACACCGATTTCTTGTAATAAAAAGCATCTTTTCTATCGTGATTGGCTTGTATTATAACGTCTTTTAAAGTCTTTCAGATAAGATCAGCGATCCATCAAATCAATTGTATTTAAATTATTTAAAACATTTCAAAATTCATCAACACTTTTCCCAATTTCCAACCATCCAAAGGGAGTGACGAAGTGACCAAACCAAGTGACCTGCCTAAAGTTACTTGGAGATTCTCATAAGCTCAACCGCTTAATTTAGTTTACTTCTCCACCAAAGTTTTTCACTTTACTGTTTATTTAAAAAGCAAAACATCACCAATATTATAATTATTTCAGTTTTCATTATTTGAGTATGTCATTTATAACATTATCAAAAGTCATGCCAGAGTTCACATATAGATCAAATATTGAAAAATCATTAGCATTGGTTAAAATCAAACCAGATGTCTTCATCAATAAAGAACGTGCTTATGTTCCTCCAGGCGCTAGAGGTGTCTTTGGTGGTACTTTAATCGCACAATCTTTATGGGCTGCAATAAAGACTGTTCCTGAAGGTTTTGTTCCAAGTTCATTACATTCTTATTTCTTGAGCGGTCCAGATGATAAAAGCCCTATCTATTATCATGTTCATAGACTACGTGATGGTAATAAATTCATTTCAAGAGAAGTTAAAGCATATCAAAAAGATGTTTTAATGTTTACTCAATCTTTATCATTTACTTTAGCAGATTTAGGTAATTCAAAACCAAAAAAACAATTAACACTTTCAAAATCAGTTCCAAAAGATTTAAAACCATTTGATCAATTCTTATCAAGTGAAGATTCTTTTAGACAAGTTATTAAAGATAATATTGCAAGTTTTAAACCTACAGCATCTGCAATAATTCATAATTTTTTAAAACGTTTTAAACAAGGTGCTTTAGATTATAGATTAACTACTGATTTCTGGAAAAGTGGTCGTGAAGCTGGTCATCCAGATGAACATAAAGATGCTGATGATATTCATGTTGATATGTATGTTAAAGTTAAAGAACAAATTCAAGATCCAATGTTCCACTACGTTGCAGAAGCTTACTATAGTGATTCATATCTTTTAGTTACAACTATGAAATTTCATAAAAGACCTCTTTATAGTGCATTTATGAGTGTTAGTTTAGATCATACTCTTTATTTCCATAAACCAATTGAAGCTAATGATTATAATTTATTTACTGTGGAACATGAAAAATCTGGTGATAATAGAACTTTATTAAAAGGTAATCTTTTCAATAGAAATGGTGAATTATTAACTACAATTATACAAGAAGGTTTAATTGTATTGAAAGATGATATTGTTAAACCAAAATTATAAAGAAAATTTAAAAGCTTTTTTTCTTTCAGTTCATTTGCATAAGTATAATAATTACATAGATTATAGATATTATTAATTTTTTTCTTTATTCATTACTTCTTTTTATTAAATTTTTATTTGTAGTATACACATTAAGTTGTTATATTCTCTAGTCATATCTCATAAACTTAGAATAAACCTTCAATTTCACCATCATCATTAACTTCAACATTCATAAAACCACAATGAGTTGGTAAACCAGGAATGGTTTGAATTTCAGCAGCTAAAGCATATAAGTAACCAGCACCAATACTTGCTCTAATATCTCTAATTGGGAATTTAAAACCAGTTGGAACACCTTTTAAAGCAGCATCATGTGATAAAGAATATTGAGTTTTAGCAATACAAATTGGTAAATTATTAAAACCTTGTTTTGTATATAATTCAATTTTTTTAGCAGCTTCTGGTAAATATTCAACTTCACCAGCTCCATACATTTTTTTAGCAATACTTTCAACTTTATTTTCAATTGAACCTTCTAATTCATATAAAAATTTAAAATCTTTTGGTTCATTTGCAGCTTTAACAACACCTTCTGCTAAATCAACTGCACCTTTACCACCTTCTTCCCAATGATTAGAAACAATAGCATCAACTGCACCAGCTGCTAATGATTGTTTTCTAATAATTTCATGTTCAGCTTTAGTATCTGAACTCATTGCATTAATTGCAACAAGAACTGGTAAACCATATTGTTTAGCATTTGAAATATGTTTTTGTAAATTTTCTGTACCTTTTTCTAATAATTCTAAATTTTCTGTTAAATATTCTGATGGTAATGGAGCACCAGCTTTAACTTCTGCACCACCACCATGAACTTTCAAAGCACGAACAGTTGCAACAATAACAATAACATCTGGAATTAAACCTGATGAACGTGCTTTAATATTAATAAATCTTTCACCACCCATTGTAAAATCGAAACCTGCTTCAGTAACAACATAACCTTCTTGAGCTTTGGAACCTTCATCAGTACCAGCTAATTTTAATGCCATTTTATCAGCAAGAACAGAATTAGCACCAATTGAAATGTTTGCAAATGGACCAGCATGAATGAAAACTGGAGTACCTTCTAATGTTTGCATAATATTTGGTTTAATAGCATCTTTTAATAAAGCAGTTAAAGCACCAGCAGCACCAATATCTTCACAAGTAACTGGAACACCTGCTTTGGAAGCACCAATAACAATACGACCTAATCTTTCTCTCATATCTTGTAAAGAATTAGATAAAGCTAAAACAGCCATACATTCTGAAGCAACAGAGATATCAAATCCTGTTTCTCTTGTGAAACCACGTTCAGTTGGTGCTTGACCCACGGTAATACCTCTTAAGAAACGATCATTCATATCAACAACACGACGCCATGTAATAGTTTCAGGATCAATATCTAATCTAACAAATTTAGAAATTTCTTCTTGAGTTAAATCATCAGGATTTGTTTTATCAATACCTAATTTTTCTAATCTTCTAAGCATACCTTTTGTAAATTTACGTTCACCTTTTTTAGAAGGAACTAATCTTTTATATAAAGGACCATCTTTTTGAGTATTTTCATGAAACATTCTAGTATCAATAGCAGCAGCTAAAAGATTATTAGCCATTGAAATAGCATGAATATCACCAGTGACATGCATGTTAAATTCATCCATTGGAATAACTTGAGAATAACCACCACCGGCAGCACCACCTTTAATACCAAAAGTTGGACCCATTGATGGTTGTCTAACATTAGCAAAAGCTCTTTTGTTTAAATGAGCACCTAAAGCTTGAGCTAAACCAACAGTAGTTGTTGATTTACCTTCACCTAAAGGAGTTGGAGTAATACCAGTGACTAAAACATATTTACCATTTTTTTTATTTTGTAAACGATCTAATAAATCTAAAGTAACTTTAGCTTTATATGAACCATAAGGTTCCAATTCTTGTGGTAAAATACCAGATTCATTAGCAATTTCAGTAATATGTTTTGGAGTTTGTTCTCTTGAAATTTCATAATCTGATGGAACAGGTTTTTTTAAATTTAAAGTTAATGGATTATTAAAAAAATTATCACCTTTATTTGATATTTCATAAAATCTTTTAGCACTAATGATAACATTATCTAATAACATAGCAACAGTCATTGGACCAACACCACCTGGAACTGGAGTAATTTTAGAAACAATTGGTAAAGCACTTTGGAAATCAACATCACCAACTAATCTTGAACCTGATTTTTTAGTTGAATCATCAATATAATTAGTACCAACATCAATAACAACAGAACCTTTTTTCAAAATTTCACCTTTAACAAAATTTGGTTTACCAATTGCACTAATGATAATATCAGCATTTGATAAATAAAATTCAATATTTGAAGATTTTGAATGTAAAGTTGTAACAGTAGCATTTTCATTTTTTAATAAATTTGCAACTGGAGCACCAACAATTTCAGATCTACCAAGAACAACAGCATTTGAACCTTCGATTTGAACTTTTGATTGATGTAATAATTCAATAATACCTTTTGGAGTACATGGAATAAAATTTGGTTCACCACCTTTTTTATATAATTCACCAACATTAAAAGAACCAAATCCATCAACATCTTTAGCTGGATCGACTCTATTTGTGATTAATGTTTCATCAAGATGTTTTGGAATTGGTAATTGAATTAAAATACCATGAACGGATGAATCATTATTTAAATCATCAATTTGTTTTAATAAAGCAGTTTGAGTAACATCTTCTGGTAATAATTCATGAACACAAGTAATATTAGCTTCAGTAGCAGCTTTTAATTTCATTTTAACATAAGTGGAAGAATCTGGTCTTGAACCAACTTGAATGATGTATAAAGTTGGTTTAAAAGAAGCATCTTTTGATTGAAGTTCAGAGATTTCAGAATGAATTCTTTCTCTAATTTGTTTAGCAATTAGTTTACCATCAATTAATTCAGCAGACATTTTGAAGAAATGATAAATGTTATAATTGATGAATTGATCGAATTGATGATAATTTGATTAGATCTAAGGAGAAGAATGAAAAAATAAAAAATTGGACAAAGCTTCAAAAGAAGTCAAAGATACACGCTTTTCCAAATAATTAGCATATGAAGATTTAAATCAACGAATTTATGTGACTGAGTCAGAGGGAAAAACCCGGGTTTTCATTGACTCTGATTATACTTTGCAGGTTATCAGTACATCTTGACCCAAAGTGGTAATTTTTCACAACGTGATCAGAAACGTGACTATTATTTATTATTGTATTACATAATAGCTGACTAAGACCAGGGATCATAAAAGATGAACGATGAACGAACGTAACAAACAAATTGGATCATGGATTTAGGAACTTAAAATTGCTGGTGTAAATCAATTTTATAGAGCGAAATACAAATACTAAAAGTTGTTTCTATTCAAGCCAGCACAAACTCTTAGATGTCAACAGGTGTAGTTTTTTCAACGGAGATTAACTTTTCAACGTAGCTCAGCCTGTATATATGATTCAAATACTTTGTGTAATTCGTTTAAATTTTACGATCAAGTTACTTAGGTAATAGTTTTGCATCAAAAAGTTTTAAACTATGGCGCTTACATAAGCTACACTAAGAAATTTGAAAATTATTGAATGAAAATATGAAAATTTAAGCTTCCGCTTCCGAAGCTTCAATGTAAATGCGTTAAAACCGTCTAATACAGTAAGACGTTAAGTGATTTGTAAACATTCTTCTTGATCTTCAGATAACTAAACGGAAGGATTAATAAATAGCTTATATATTCATCGGGGTTCAATATATTTAAAGACTATTAATCGTCTAGACGTTCTAGTTTTATACCTATATACTTATATATACCATGCCAATTGATGTATACCCCATTTCATATGACAACTATTGAATCAATTAAGCTGTTATACTCTAGGACCCTAGGACGGTTCGGGAGCTCAATTGATCACTTGGAATACGTTATACAAGTAACAACGTAGCCTCGATATACGTCGTAATTATATGGCGATGACTAAAGTCTAACTGTAACTTTAATTTGATCAAGTTGATCGATCATCGAACTGATTCCGTTCTTTCAAGACATTTAATTATAATGAAAGTGATCCGCATGATGATAATTAATATTAAGTGCTATTCACATTAGGTAAGCGACAAAGTTTTGAGAATGAAAGGATTCTATTCGATAGAACGTATAACATTGAAGTTTCCAGAAGTCATTAATATGTCTATAGCATGAGTCAGGACTCAGAAGTCAGTGAATATATATCTGCTTCTACTATTTGCTCTAGCTATTTACAACAAATTTGCAGTCGACTTAAATTTTACCCAGCTGACATACAAATGAAAAAGTACTTTGCTGACATCGAAACCCACGTACGATCAAATTTAACTATATTGATATTGTTGATCAGTATGAGCTTCCGAGATTGTTTATCTATTCCCTTTCAGAATATGTCAAATTTAGAATTGTTGATAAACCGTTTAAATTTATATTCTATTTTACTGTTTTGTAAGTTATAACCTGATCAGAACGGAGCCTCGGGTGTCTTCTTTAGGCTAGGCGAGATTCCGAGACCCTAGACAGAGATAGACAGGGATAGACAGAGACAGGCAAAAAACTCGAACGATTCAGGCTCAGCCAGCCTCCGTGTATCCTGTCTGGCGTTACTCGGTGCTCGGAACCAAATTAAGTAGCAAAATTACGCCAATCCTTCCGATTTTTTTGTTTTCTAAACATGTTGATTATGCTGGATTATTCCAAAAAACCAAAACAAAGAAATTTTCACTTCAAAAGTATAAAATAATTGCATCACCCACAAATTTTAGTGTTATACTCTTACTATAATTGAAGAAACACTAAGTTAATATTCAAAGTCTTATCAACAATGACTGAGAATATCCATCTGGGTGATCAAGTCTCCAAGACTTCGGCACAAAGTGTGGAAGAATATAAAGGTTTTGATTCAAATGTTGATGACAATATTCAACATTTAGCTAGAAAATTAACAAATGCATCTCAATCTTCATTACCTGCTGCTGCTGGTGAAGATCAACAATATTATCAAAATAATAATGATTTAGAAGCTCAACAATCTCTTTCAAGAGTCTCTACAATTGCACCAGGTGTTGTTGCCATCAACAACCCTGATATTGATCCTAGATTAGACCCTAATTCTGATCAATTCAATTCAAGATTTTGGGTTAAGAATTTTAAAAATTTGATGGATAAGGATCCAGAACATTATAAATCTTATTCTCTTGGTATCGCTTATAAAAACCTTAGAGCTACAGGTGAAGCTGCAGGTGCTGATTATCAAACCACTGTTATGAATGCACCATTAAAATATGCAAATCTTGCTAAAAAGGCATTTTTCACTTCAAAAGCTAAAAAAGAAGCTGGTAGATTTGATATTTTGAAATCTATGGATGCTTTAGTTAGACCTGGTGAAGTTGTTGTTGTCTTAGGTAGACCAGGTTCTGGTTGTTCAACTTTATTGAAAACAATTGCTTCAAATACTCATGGTTTTGCCATTGGTGAAGAAGCTGAAATTAGTTATGAAGGTCTCAGTCCAAAAGATATCAGAAAACATTATAGAGGTGAAGTTGTTTATAATGCTGAATCTGATATCCATTTCCCTCATTTAACTGTTTGGCAAACTTTATCAACTGTTGCCAAATTTAGAACTCCACAAAATAGAATTCCTGGTATTTCAAGAGAAGATTATGCAAATCATTTAACTGAAGTTTATATGGCAACTTATGGGTTATCACATACAAAAAACACAAAAGTTGGTAATGAAAATGTTCGTGGTGTTTCAGGTGGTGAACGTAAAAGAGTTTCAATTGCTGAAGTTTCACTTTCAGGTGCAAGATTACAATGTTGGGATAATGCCACTAGAGGTTTAGATGCAGCTACTGCTTTGGAATTCATTAGAGCTTTAAGAACTCAAGCTGATGTCTTAGATACTACAGCTTTTGTTGCTATTTATCAATGTTCTCAAGATGCATATGATTTATTCGATAAAGTTACTGTTTTATATGAAGGTCATCAAATTTATTTCGGTAGAGGTGATGAAGCAAGAGAATATTTCATTAAAATGGGTTGGTATTGTCCTCAACGTCAAACTACTGCTGATTTCTTAACTTCTGTTACTTCTCCAAGAGAAAGAGTTCCTCAAGAAGGTTTTGAAAATAAAGTTCCAAAAACTCCACAAGAATTTGAAACTTATTGGAAAAATTCACCTGAATATGCTAAATTAATCAAAGATATTGATTCAGAATTTAAACATCAACATGAACAAAATTCAAAAGGTTTAGTTAAAGAAGCTCATAACAAAAAACAAGCTAAACATATTAGACCAACCTCTTCATATACAGTCTCATTTTGGATGCAAACTCGTTATTTATTAACTCGTGATTTCCAAAGAATTTGGAATGATTTTGGATTCAATTCTTTCCAAGTGTTTGCCAATTCATTTATGGCGTTAATTTTATCATCAATTTTCTATAATTTACCTAAAACAACAGACTCATTTTATTATCGTGGTGCAGCTATGTTTTTTGCTGTTCTTTTCAATGGGTTTTCATCATTTTTAGAAATTATGACACTTTTCGAAGCTAGACCAATTATTGAAAAACATAAACAATATTCACTTTATCATCCATCTGCTAATGCATTATCATCTGTTTTATCTCAATTACCTGCCAAAATTTTCACATCAATTGCATTTAATTTAGTTTTCTACTTTATGGTTAATTTTAGAAGAAATCCTGGTCGTTTCTTCTTTTATTATTTAGTTAATTTAACTGCTACATTCTCAATGTCACATCTTTTCAGATTAGTTGGTTCTGCTGCTACTTCATTACCTGAAGCTTTAGTTCCAGCACAAGTTTTGTTGTTAGCTTTAACTATTTTCGTTGGTTTCACTATTCCTGTTAATTATATGCTTGGTTGGTCAAGATGGATTAATTATCTTGATCCTTTAGCTTATGCTTTTGAAGCTTTAATGGCTAATGAATTTGCTGGTGTTACTTATGATTGTTCATCATTTGTTCCTGGTGATCCAAGATCTATCCCAAATATTCCATCAGATGGTTTCATTTGTAATGCTGTTGGTGCTCAAACTGGTGAATTTACTGTTGATGGTACAACATATTTGGAAGTTGCATATAAATACAAGAATTCACATAGATGGAGAAATTGGGGTATTACTTTAGCTTTTGCATTATTCTTTTTAGCTATTTATTTAGTTTTCAGTGAATATAATGAATCTGCTATGCAAAAGGGTGAAGTTTTATTATTCCAAAGATCAACTTTGAGAAAATTGAAAAAAGAAAAAGCTGCATCTCAAAATGAACTTGAATCTGGTAATGAAAAAGGTGTTGTTCCAAACGGTGAAGATGTTGACAAAGATGTTGATGTTATTCATGCTGGTACTCAAACATTCCATTGGAGAGATGTTCATTATACTGTTAAGATTAAAAAGGAAGATCGTGAAATTTTAAGTGGTGTTGATGGTTGGGTTAAACCAGGTACTTTAACTGCTTTAATGGGTGCATCCGGTGCTGGTAAAACCACATTATTGGATGTTTTAGCTAACAGAGTTACTATGGGTGTTGTCACTGGTGATATGTTTGTTAATGGTCATTTAAGAGATAATTCATTCCAAAGATCAACTGGTTATGTTCAACAACAAGATTTACATTTAAGAACAGCAACTGTTCGTGAAGCATTAAAATTCTCAGCTTATTTAAGACAACCAGCTTCAGTTTCAACAGCTGAAAAAGATCAATATGTTGAAGAAGTTATTTCTATTTTAGATATGGAAAAATATGCTGATGCTGTTGTTGGTGTTGCTGGTGAAGGTTTAAATGTTGAACAAAGAAAAAGATTGACTATTGGTGTTGAATTGGCTGCTAAACCTAAATTATTATTATTCTTGGATGAACCAACTTCAGGTTTAGATTCCCAAACTGCTTGGTCTATTTGTCAATTGATGAGAAAATTAGCTAACCATGGTCAAGCTATTTTATGTACTATTCATCAACCTTCAGCTATTTTGATGCAAGAATTTGATAGATTATTATTCTTAGCAAGAGGTGGTAAAACTGTTTATTTTGGTGATTTAGGTAAAAATTGTCAAACTTTGATTGATTATTTTGAAAAATATGGTGCTCCAAAATGTCCACCAGAAGCTAATCCAGCTGAATGGATGTTACACGTTATTGGTGCTGCTCCAGGTTCTCATGCTAATCAAGATTATTATCAAGTTTGGTTAAATTCAACTGAACGTCAAGAAGTTAAACAAGAATTGGATAGAATGGAACGTGAATTATCTCAATTACCTCGTGATGATAGTATTGATCATAATGAATATGCTGCTCCTTTCTGGAAACAATATGGTATTGTTACTCAAAGAGTTTTCCAACAATATTGGAGATCACCAATTTATATCTATTCTAAATTATTTTTGGCCATTTCATCATCTATGTTTATTGGGTTTGCATTTTTCAAAGCTAAAAATACAAGACAAGGTTTACAAAATCAAATGTTTGCACTTTTCATGTTTTTAGTTATTTTCAATGCTTTAATTCAACAAACTTTACCAGAATATGTTCGTCAAAGAGAATTATATGAAGTTAGAGAACGTCCATCTAAAACGTTTTCTTGGAAGGCATTTATCACTGCTCAAATCACTTCAGAAGTTCCATGGAATGCTCTTGTTGGTACAATTGCCTTCTTAGTGTTTTACTACCCTGTTGGTTTCTACAATAATGCAGCACCAAATGGTTCTGCTGAAGTTCATGATAGAGGTGCTTATGCTTGGTTCTTGACTGTTTTATTCTTTGTTTATACAGGTTCATTTGCTCATCTTGTTATTGCACCATTAGAATTGGCTGATGCTGCTGGTAATTTAGCTTCATTGATTTTCACCTTATGTTTAACATTCTGTGGTGTTTTAGTTACATCAGAAGGATTACCAGGTTTCTGGATTTTCATGTATCGTGTTTCACCTTTCACTTATTTCATTGATGGTTTCTTATCTAATGCTGTTGCTCATAATGTTGTTAAATGTTCAGATTCAGAATTGGTTCATTTCTCTCCACCTCAAGGTGCAACATGTGGTGATTATATGAAGGAATATTTAGAAAAAGCTGGTACTGGTTACGTTGAAGATCCATCATCAACAAGTGAATGTGGATTCTGTTCTATTTCTTCAACTGATGCTTTCTTAAAAGTTGTTAAATTAGATTATGGTAGAAGATGGAGAAATGTTGGTATTTTCATTGCTTTTATTGTTATTAATTGGATCTTGGCTGTTTTCTTCTACTGGTTAGCAAGAGTTCCAAAGAAGAATGATAGAGTTAAAAGTGGTGCTGAAGCTGAATCAACAAATAAAACAGTTCAAAAACAAGAAACTGCTTCTATCATTGAAAAAGAAGAATCATCTTCTAATAGCAAAGCTTAAACTTGATGAACTATAATTCCTGGTGTTTTTGGTTTTTCTGGTGTTAATTTTAAATTTGTACATTTGTTTTTTTTATATTTGATTGATTTAATTAATATTCAATCATGATTTTTTTAACTCATATTTATGATACCTTTGAGTTTTCACATATACGTATATATAATAATAACTAATTTAATATATTAGAGATTTGATTTACTTCAATAAATTAAACTGTAGTAAATGTATATTGAATGATACAAATCATTATTAGGACGTGCAGTATTGAAAACCTGGTTTCAGTGCACTTTGTATATATCTTTCTATGAGCATTTAACCAAGAACAGCATATCATATATTAATTGAAATTCAAAATGTCAGTGAGACAACTTGTATCATATGAATCTAAATCAGTAAGATGCTTTTTTTTCATCCCATCTTAATAACCAAATTTCCAAATATCTTTTTGATAACCTTCAGTAACTTCTTGATCTTCACCATATAATTCTTGCCATTTAGTAAAACCACCTTTTAATATCCAAACTGATTTGCCATCTAATTTCCCATCTTCAACAGATCTAAGAAATTTCATTGCAGCAGAAGGACCTCTTTGTTGACTTAAAGCACAATGGAAAACAATATCATCAGAATTTTCAACTTGATTTATAACATCTTGAATTGTATCACTTAGTCTATTTGAAGGGAAATGTAATGAATTTTTAATATGACCCTGATTTAAGTATGGTTAGTGAAAGTTTAATTTGATTTATGAATTTTGATTGTTTTCAACATACACCAATATGATCTGAATCACGAACATCAACAACTGAAAATTTCCCATTTCCAGTTGGTGAACCTTTAGAAAACCAATTTCGTAGAGTTTGTGGTTCAATATATCTTAAGTTTGAGATTGAATATGACATTATTTGTTCGTTAATAAAAGTTGTTGAAATTTTCAATGTTCTAGTTTAAGATTAATATCTTTTAATCAACTTGATGAATTCGTTACGCGAAACATCATACACAAAATCATGGAAGAACGTTATGAATTAATTAACAATATACAAGTATAGACATAAAAAATGATTAAATAAAACTATGTAATTAAGCATAAACAAAGGGAAAACAAAACAATTTCTATAAATTAAATCAAAATTAAGAATCTTGAGAAGTTAAAGTTTTATTATCATCATCAGATTCTTCATCATATTTTGAATTTTTACCTTTATTACTTCTTTTACTTGTTCTAATTTTTTGATTATTATTTGATGATGAAGGTTTATCTATTGATTTATTTGGATTTATATTTTCTTTTGAATTTGAAGTTATAGTTTCTCTATCTGAACTATTATCATTATCATTTTTAGCCATCCATTCTTTAAAATTTTCAATAAATGAAGGAGATCTTTTAATTCTTGATCTTTCATTTTTATCACCTGTATAATTTAAAGCAAATTCAGTTGCAGGACTACCTTCATGTTGATTTGATCTTGAATTATTATTATCATTTTCATTTTGTTTTAATATAGATTTTTTCAATAAATATTCACGAACTTCAAAATAAAGATCTTTTGATGCAATATTTAATGAATCATTTGTTTTTTTCCAATAAGATCTAAATTCATTAATATGTTTTTTAAATTCTAATTCATTTTTTTTCAACCATGAAACATTTAATTCTTGTCTTGTTGCACCTCTTGCAAAATTTCTCATTAAATACTTATCATAATCTCTAATGATTTTAGTAATAATATCAGAAGTTGAAATACCTTCAGTTCTTTGTGTAGCTAAGAATTGACCTCTTTCTTTAATTGGTTTATAAACATCATCAGAATCAGTTGAAGCATAAGGAGCATCATCATGAGCAACATAATCAATTTTATGTTTTTCCAAAAATTCTGGAGTAACAGACCATGGAGAATCTGGAATAACTTCATCAACCCATTTACAATGTTTTATAGTTTCAACACGTTGATAATCAGATAAAACAGTTAAACCTTTTTTTTTATGAGTAACAACATCAGATGGAATACCAACAATTAATTGAGCATTTGGTAAAGCTTTTTTGGATTGTTCTAATTGTCTCATATGACCTAAATGGAAAAGATCAAAAATACCATCAGCAAAAACTCTAACAGGACGATCAGTTGGAGGTAAATTAAATTTATAACCTGTTGGTCTAAATTTACGATATTCTTCAGGTAATTCATCATTATATTGTTTTTCTTGTTCATTAAATTTTTTTTGTGCATCAATTTCAGTTTTACGTCTTTTATGAGCAACTTCTTCATCAATATCAGAACTTTCATTTGTACTTTCTTCATTATTATCATCTGATTCAAATGATCTTTTATTTCTTAATCCGAATAAATTTGAAATTGAAGCTGATCTCAGAAGACCACCAGGGCCATTGTTGTTGTTATTTGGAGAGCCTGCACCTGACATGATATAGGACTTGAAGAATTGACAAAGTATACCTTGTTGTGAATCAACCTGCAACTCAAAACAATGTCTTAATACTTTTAATTTTTGGTATTGCTTAGAACGTTTCGGATGTCACATTTCAAAAAAAAAGGCAGCGAATTTTGAACTTGTGCACTGGTCGGAATTCAGAGTGCGAAAACATGTGATATTCAACCCTCGGAAATAATATAATACACAAATAACCTTGTAATTTTGGCAGATTTTATACAATTTTTCAACTGATTTCTAACAATTTTGGTTTGAATAAGGTCTTTTTATTGTAGTTTGGGGTGCTCTGGGAGTTTATCAGGTGATAGTATTGTGTAGTTACTAGGAATCCACGTTTGATTGAATTGAATTCTAATGATCTGATATTATCTTGAAAGTTATATACAATTACTTCATCAACTAGTTTTGATCATGAATATATTTAATCAGATAGGGCTGAAGCCTGGGATGAATTAAAGAATTGAATACTAATTGGATCTTGAAGTCTACCCCTATGTACGTAATTAATCTATTTTCAAATAATATCTAAGTCAACTCTCTCTACTAGTTGTAGATTGTAACTTGTCAATAACTGAACAATTAACATCAGCTGTTACGAACGTGAGACCACAATCTTAATAAAGTACAACCAGCCTGGTCCAGCAATCAGTAAACCGTGATCCAAATATTATCATATCTGATATATCAAATCATAGAGTTGAACTACTAAACGAAAGAGTCACAGGATGTTTATACTAAGAAGACGTTTCAAGACTGCTTCACAATTGGTGACCTTTTAAATTTTGTGGCAGGTACTTTAATTTAATCCATGTACTAAAACCAATAAACCCCAGAAGTTATGATCCAGTACTCCATTGGTGAAGAACCCCGTGTATATAGCTAGATTTCCAGGTGAATTCGAACCTGTTTGTAATACATCACACTTATCACTTATCGATAAGTTCCATTATTAAAATTTACATTGAATGCATTAAGTAACAAGGTTTGAAATTTGGGTGAATATATCAAACAAAAGGGAACAAATCAAGTCAAGGATGTGTTTTAAATTGAACGATGGGCTTCTCTGTATGTACAGTCTATATTTACTTACAAATTGATTGTTTATATCTGGGTGCAAAGACCAGTGAGATTTCCAAAATTAGTGGTTCTCTGCCCTAATCGGGAAAGTTTGCTACGCGTCTTTTACACGCCGAGAACGCGTCAGTCACATGATTTTGCGACGCGTGATTCTCCATTAAATTAAGTGTATAAACACCAAAATTAAAGGTAAAAACTTAGGAAAACTTAGTATAATATGTTATATTTGACTGATAATTCTATATATCTCATTAAAACCATTGAAATCTAATTATTAAACCCATTAAAACTCGTTTAAAAGTGTAGTTTACCCGATGATTGCTGTTCATTTTTCGTGTCTTTTCCAGAAAAGCCCACTTTTAAAAGAAAAATTTTCTTATAAAAAAACACGCGTTTCAAAAAAATTTAACACATAAAACACGAAAACACGGTTTAAAGTTAAGATTTACCATATAAACTTGATTCATTTGGATAAAAGTAAACAAGATCCGGATCTTGACACACGCTTTATTGCATTAAAAACAATTTCATCATTTGGATCTATTCGAACGCGTTCTTTTATATATAAAGAGGTCCAAAGACGTATTTTTTATCCATTTTCAAAACTTTTATTTAATCATCATCAAAGAAGAATATCAATCCATCTCTTTGAAGAATCTTTTTGAATAACAACCTAGTCGTTCATTAATTACACACATACCACACAATGTCTACACAAGAAACACCATCAAAAGTTACCGCCAACGTTTTATCCAATTTGGATCTTGGTGCTAATTCTCAAAAAGATTTAAGAGCTGAATTAACTGCTGCTGCTGCAAGAAAAGAAGCTTCTTCTAAAAATTCTTCAACTGTTCCAAAAGAAGTTGTTGGTAAAGATCAAGAATATGATGATGCTGAAATTGAAAAAAGATTAAAAGCTTCTGAAGAAAGACATCAACAATTTTTATCAAAACATAGATCTCATCGTCATGAATTAAAAGAACAAGAAAAAGATGAACCATTATTAGTTGAAAATAAACGTCGTTTTGTTTTATTCCCAATTAAATATCATGAAATCTGGCAAGCATATAAAAAAGCTGAAGCTTCATTTTGGACTGCTGAAGAAATTGATTTATCAAAAGATATTCATGATTGGAATGAAAGATTAAATGATAATGAACGTTTCTTTATTTCAAGAGTTTTAGCTTTCTTTGCTGCTTCAGATGGTATTGTTAATGAAAATTTAGTTGAAAATTTCTCTGCTGAAGTTCAAATTCCAGAAGCTAAATGTTTTTATGGTTTCCAAATTATGATGGAAAATATTCATTCAGAAACTTATTCATTATTAATTGATACTTATATTAAAGATCCAAAACAAGCTGAATATTTATTCAATGCTATTGAAACCATTCCATGTATTAAAGAAAAAGCTGATTGGGCTTTAAGATGGATTGCTGATGAAGAAGCTTTATTCGGTGAAAGATTAGTTGCTTTTGCTGCTGTTGAAGGTATTTTCTTTTCTGGTTCATTTGCTTCAATTTTTTGGTTGAAAAAAAGAGGTTTAATGCCTGGTTTAACTTTTTCAAATGAATTAATTTGTCGTGATGAAGGTTTACATACTGATTTTGCTTGTTTATTATTTGCTCATTTAAAAAATAAACCATCTGAAGAAATTGTTGAAAAAATTATTACTGAAGCTGTTTCAATTGAATCTGAATATTTCACTGATGCTTTACCAGCTTCTTTATTAGGTATGAATGCTAAATTAATGTGTCAATATGTTGAGTTCTGTGCTGATCGTTTATTAGTTGCTTTAGGTAATAAAAAATTCTATAATGTTACAAATCCATTTGATTTTATGGAAAACATTTCATTAGCTGGTAAAACTAATTTCTTTGAAAAAAGAGTTTCAGATTATCAAAAAGCTGGTGTTATGGCTGGTACTGAAAAGACTGAATCTAAAGATGCTTTCGCTTTTGATGAAGATTTCTAATCTTTGCCCAATTATGCATATTTGGCTTTTTAATGAATTTTTATGACTTTTAATATTTTTCCTTTTGGTGTTTTTTTTTTAAAAGATTGTTTTACCCATTAATGTTTTATCAGGTTATAAAGGTATAAAGGGGGTTTAAAACTAGTGTATAATATTTCGAAAGAATTTAATTTTTGATATGATTTAAAACAAAATGTAGAGTCTCTTAATTCGCCTTACCCTAAGCACTTAAAAATATGGTTTTCTCTTGTGTCGAATAAGTTTATAAATTCCATGGTTTCTTTTTTGGTTCGTTCTCACTTAAATCCTACAATCGTGAATAATATTCAAACTACTACATCAACAAAATGAAATATCAACAAATTTAAAAATATTATATACAAATATTAAAAATTAAACATTATAAAGGAAAGTAACTCGAAGAATTGAAATTATATAAATCATAACCAAACGATGAGTACTAAACTCATGGGAAATGACCTTTTGTTGGACCAAAATAACCAGCAGCTAAAGAAGTTGGATCTAATAATGCTTGTTGACCTTCACCACCATCAACACCACTTGAAACCACTGTATTACCTCACCACACGACATCTTTAGCATGATATTGAACTGCAAAGAAAATAATCACAGCACCAAATGCAACACCTGCATTTAAAGCTGAAGATAATACATAGTTATATTTTTCAAACCAAGCTAAATATCTTCTCTTGATATAATACATGAAAATGAAACCAAAATATAATGGTGGTAAACCATATGATAAATTATATGGACAAACATTCAAAATACCATTAATAACAACTTGTGGTTCAAAACTTTGTGGGAAATATTTTGGGAAAAAATGAATAATTCCAATGAATAATAAAGCTAATAAAAATCCAATCAAGAATGCATACTTCATAGTTGGATAAAGACCATCGAAAACTTTTTTAGGACCAATAACACCCCAAAGCACACTTGCTGAATAAAAAATACGATCTTCAACACAAGTAAATTTTTGAGCTTGATGTGGTGAACAAAAATCTTTAATATTTGATAAAGACCAATTAACAACACCCAAAGCAGTAAAAGTTTGGAAAAAAATTGCAATAATTTGACCTCTAAATAAAGCTCTTGTTGGGATTCTTGCATAATGAGCCATTTTTTGACATGAAATAAAATTATCAGCTTGTCCATCAATATTATAACCTAAAGCTTTAATAGTCATTAAAGCAACACCATTACCAGGAAGGGCATAACCAACAATTAATTCAACTAAAACATTTAAACCAATTTGAACACCTGTAACTGCATAAAGTAAAGCTAATGGAATTAAAAATACAAAATTTATACCAATTGCAAAAAAAATACCCCATACTGGAGTTTCAGTTTTTGGATATAATTTAACAGTTAAGATACCAAAGATTAATGAAATTAATAAAATTGCCCAATAATAACTATCTGGAACTTCTTTATATTTAGATAAAGCTCTTGAATGAGGATCATTATATCTTTCAATAGCAGCTGGACGTTTTTCTCTGGTATTTTTGGAAAAGATTGATTTAAAATTTTTCAAATTATGAAATAATTCAAAAACATCTTTTTTAATAAATTTTAAAGCAAACCCAACGGTATCCCATTCTTTATAAGTATTAAATAAGAATCCAAATGGATAAAATAAAAAAAAAACAGAATAAACAACTATATTACCAGCAGTATAAAAAGGTGGTGAATAATCTTGATATTTAACAGGATCTAATAAACCATTTGTAATAATTTCAGAAACATCAAATTCTTCACCTTGATTTGTAAAAATTGAAACACTATTTGGTGGTAAATAAGCTGACCATTTAACATTTGAATAATAAACTCCCAAGATGGCAAAAGTACCAATAAACATACCAATAACCATATTTGCAGTTGCATAAAATGGAACGGCTAATGGGTTTACAAGATTAATAACATTAGACCAATCAAAAGTTGAGATTGGATTAATACCTAACCCAGATTGGAACCCTGTTACAACAGCTAAATTAAAATTATCAGGTTTAATCCAAGTCATCCAACTGAAAATTGATAATGCAGTAAATAAATAATTTGGTAACCAAAAATAAACAAACATTGCACCGAAAACAACCCAAAAAAATTTATATTTTGAAATTTTCCAACCATTAATAACTTCTCTTCTTTCAGGTTTTAATAAAGCACGATTTAAAGCTAATGAAGGTAAAATAGTTGGCCATACAGCTCTTTGTGGATAAATAACAAATTTTCTTAAGACACCAGCAAATGAAATACCCATAAATTGAGTTGATAAAGCTAATAAAACTTGATAACCAAATGAAACCCAATCATGACCATAAAATTTTTTTTGAACAATAATATTTGAAGTAACATAAACACCCATATATGAAACATTTGTTATAGTTGATGCAAACATTTGTTCCTTGTATGAATAAGGACCTGGATTTAATGGAATTTTTTTACCAAAGAAATTTATATGCCAATTTGGTATGATAAATTCCCATGCTTTACCACATGGATACATTAAAATTGATAAAACTGCAGGTGGTAAAGAAATTTTTGGTTGTCTATGATAAAAAAATTCATAAACACCTGAACCAATAATTAACCAAATCATTGCAATGGTATAAGATCTTATAGTTTCAACAGGTTCATCAGGATTATTGAAAATATCAGTGACAGATCTAACTTCTGGATATGGAGAATGATAATGGAATAAGACAGCTAATAATTTAGTTTTGAATTGGTCATATGGTGATTCATTAATATTAATATTATGATTTAAGACATCTTGAACATAATCCCAATCTAATTTGGGGAAATTTGCATCTCTTTGATGATTTTTCGATGTAGTTTGGAAAATATCTAAAGCTTCTGTATCAGAAATACTAATAATTTTTGTCAAGATGAATTTTAAATCATCAGTTAAATCATCTTTATCATCATTATTTAAATCTGAACCATGACCAGTTTGATGTAAAAATAATTCAATTTGTTCATCACTTAGAGTTTCAAAAAATTCTTTAATTTTTTCATCATCAAATTTTGGAATTCCATAAGTTTCATCAGCAGCATTTAAATTTGGATCATGTTCTTCAATAGAGATTGTATCATGAGAAGCATGCTTGGTAAGGACTGTTTCCTTGTTGTTTGGATCGTAATCATAATTTTTCTCTTGATCAGAACCCGACGAAGATAATTCTTTAATGTCGGACATAATTAAAATGTTTTGATGGACAAACAACAAACAACTACAGAGTACATAGAATCCAAAGGGTATATTGTTTCATTTATATACAATATGATCATCGGATACATGGTTTATTCTGTGTGTACTTAATCGGATAATGATGTGATGGTACAAGTTCTGCGATAGGCAGCCTTGCAGAGAAATATATGGCTTCTTGCGCGTGATTGTTGCATTGATAAGAAAACAAGTTTACCGAATCCCGATACAGGGAAAGTAGAACCATGGCTTGAAACACAATTATAAACTTGAGATTATTATATTCAAAGCCAAGCTAAAAAGTGTCAAGTGTGTTGTCTTGGAAGATGAAGTCTTGATATAATATACTCAACTTATCCATAGTATCAGTGTATAGCTATTAGCGTACCATTTGATATATTCGTTTCATATCTTTGATAACAATTTCAATTTCCCATAAAAGCAGCCAAAGGTCAAAATTGAAACCTTCGGGGAAATTTTCGATATCGAATCAGTACAAGTGATATTGATTGGATTCAAGAAGCCGTTTATAATTCCTGATAATGCTCTTGTTTGTGAATCAGTGGTGACTCGTAATTGTAAAGAAGTTCTATTGGATAATCAATGATTCAAATTAAGTTGCCCGAAGATTCATGGTAGACTCAAACAACTATATACACCCAGTTTGAGATATAAATATAAGTTTGTCGGTGATTTAAGGTACTTTGTTTGACCTTGATTAGCGGCCATTTTCAATTTGATCAGCAACCATTAAAACTAGTGTTAATTACGGGAATATATGTTTCAACTGACGTCTAAGTTCCTGGATCTCTATTGTATATACCTCTTAATTACTAGTACAGCTTCAATAAACTTTCGATTTAAACTGATAAACATGATTCATGACTCATGATATGACTGTACAACTTCAACGTTAAAATATTCCTTAAACCTTGATTACTTGATTAACCTTAAAAGAAGTATATGCACAAAGTCTAAAAACAGTATAAAATCCTATTTAATCAACCAATTATTTCAAATTAAAATGTCATACACAATAAAGGAGTATCTTAGTATCTTTATTGTATAATCAATCAAATTGAACATAAGCGATTAATAAAGTAGAATAAAGTAGAAATCAAATTATTCACCTATCTATTCAATCAGTACTATTAGTTGATTGGTATTACTACAAAGGGTAAACTACCATTATCGGGTATTTACTCGTTTTAAAAAATGTCATGAAAAACTCCAGTATTAATTCAAATAGTGGTTCACCATATTCTTCATTCATTATATCAACAAATGAGTGTCAAATCTTTGAAAATAATCAAGTCATTGGATAAATTACCTTCATATTTCAAACAAGCAAATGCATCTTTCCTTAGGTTTAAAGAATATCATTCAAAAGATCCATTAATCTCGTATTTTGGTATGTTTATCATTGTATACCCTTTGTAATTAATACTAACTGGGATGATATAGCTGGGTTATTCACTGTTCAGATACTTATAGACTTAGTTACTTCCAAAAATTCAATCACTGGTGAACCATTAGTCCAAGATGAAAAAGATATAACAACTCATTTAATAAATATATTAGAAAATGAACGTTTAAAACTTGAAAAAAATCAAGATTTCAAAGAAATTTTACAATCTCATCAAATTTCAAGAGAATATATCTTGAATTTTATTAATGAACCTTTTGAAAATGTTACAACTTTAATAGAAACTGGTCAAGCATCTGGGTGAGTTTGAACTTATATATTCATTAAGAAAATAGTGTCTAACCATAATGATAGGAAAACAGTAACAGATTTATTAGATTGTGCAGTTATTTATGAAATTGTTAGAGGTTTGTTCCCATTTGAAGAAATCATTGGTTCAAATATATCAATTAAAAGTCAACCAGAAGAAGAAGAAGAAGTTGAATTAAATTTACCTAAAGTCCCCAAAAATGATGATATTAAAGATATTGATGAGACAAAAGAGCTTAATTTACTAAATGTTCCAACTGATTTCAAAAAAAATGTTTCAGAAACTGATAAAACTGATGAAATTAAAGAAGATCAAAGTAATGAAAGTCAAGTTGAAAGAGTGGAATCTAATGAAAGTGAGTCCCAAAAGGAAGAAACCAAAGAAGATAAGTCTAGTGAAGATAAACCAGCAGAGAACTCTAATGAATCAAGCCAGCTTGACGAGAAACAAAAACCTGATGAACAAGACGATGACCTTACAGGAAGCTTAGCCAAACTAGTACAATCAGTAACAGATGATACCAATATAGAAGATCATATATCTCAAAGTATAAAACATTTATCCCCAATTGATTATCAAGACCAAGTATCTAAAGAAGATGAAATAATTAATAAAATAATTAATACAGATCTCAATAGAATTACAGATGATGAAATTAATGAAAGAATTCAATATTGTAAAAAAAATTCCAAAAGAATAATAACATCAATTAAAAAAGGTGAAAATCCTCAAATAAATCCTTTCCATGGTGATAATATTGATAATAAACCTATTTCAAATGAAGATATTGAAAAAGTTTTAAAATTTGCACTTAATGAACCTGATGAAGATGATGAAAAGGAGATTAAATTCCCAGAATTACCAACATCTATTCCAAATGATCAAATAGAGAATGAGGATGAAAAGGAAGAGGAAGAGGAGGAGCTTGAAAAACGTGAAGAAGATATTGAAGATGAAGAACAATCTTTATCAGATTCCAAACCAATACATAAACAATTGGAAAAAGAAGATATTGAACAATTCTTACAAGATGGTGAACTTTTAAATAATGCCTCGAAAAATGCTAAATTTGCAATCTCAGCTATTAATTATGAAGATGTTGATACTGCTATAGGTCAATTGAACAAATCTCTCCATCTATTACAACAATATAAAGATAGAAATTAGAAATAAAATGATAAATAAATTGAAATTTATGTATACCTCTGTGTCCCTTAACTACTTCGCGAAATTGATTACATAATTTATTTGATAATAATTTTTTTCGCGCTTGAATTTTTTTTTCGTTGATGGCCAAATGAATGAAAAAAAATAGCATAATGGTATAATAGAAATTGAATTTAGATAGTTTAGAATCTTTTATCTTTAGAGTTGATCATAGATACTTATAGACGAAGGTATGTTCTTGTTGGGAGAATTATGTTACATATGAGATCAAAAATGGGGGTGTTTCATACGCTTTGAGTTTTGATGGTTTTGTGGTAATTACCCTTTCTGTTAAATGATTCATTTTAATAAGAAAAGTCTTGAAGAATAAATTAATACTAACATTTGGATCAATATAGTTTTACAAGATGAGTACTTCAAGCTGCAGATTCTACGAAAACAAATACCCTGAAATTGACGATGTTGTCATGGTCAATGTTCAACAAATTGCTGAAATGGGTGCTTATGTTAAATTATTAGAATATGATAATATTGAAGGTATGGTTTTACTTAGTGAATTGTCAAGAAGACGTATTAGATCTATTCAAAAATTAATCCGTGTTGGTAAAAATGAAGTTGTTGTTGTTTTACGTGTTGATAAAGAAAAAGGTTATATTGATTTATCAAAACGTCGTGTTTCTGCTGAAGATGTTATAAAATGTGAAGAAAGATATACTAAATCAAAAGCTGCTCATTCAATTTTACGTCACTGTGCTGAAAAATTCGGTATCCCATTAGAATCTCTGTATCAAACTATTGGTTGGCCATTAAGTCGAAAATATGGTCATGCTTATGATGCTTTTAAAATTTCAATTACTGATGAAACTGTTTTCGATGATGTTGAAATTCCAAATCCTGATGTTTTACAAGAATTAAGATCTTATATTTCACGTCGTTTAACTCCACAAGCTATTAAAATCCGTTCTGATATTGAAGTTTCATGTTTTAGTTACGAAGGTATTGATGCTATTAAAAATGCTTTAAGAGCTGCTGAAGATTTATCAACTGAACATTTACAAGTTAAAGTTAAATTAGTTGCTGCTCCTCTGTATGTTGTTACAACTCAAGCTTTAGAAAAACAACAAGGTATTGATATCTTAACTAAAGCCTTAGAAGTTATTGAAGAAAAAATTACAGCTTCTGGTGGTACTGCAACTGTTACAATGGCTCCAAAAGCTGTTACTGCTACTGAAGATGCTGAATTACAAGCTTTATTAGAACGTAAAGAATTAGAAGCTCAAGAATCTGATGAAGATTCTGAAGAAGAAGACGAATAGATTTTAATGGGTATTTTCTAGATAGGAGAAGAGAAATAAAAACATTGCATTACTATTATTAATAATTTTCTTTATTTAAAACAAAATTTATATATTTTGTTTATTTGTATATTGTGTCAAAATTTTATGATTTTATTTAATTAAATATGAACATGTAAATATATATATCATTGATTAATTACGAGTCACCACAGATTGAATAATCTGTTTCATCTTTATGCCATTACTATCATTTACTTCAGATGATAGTCTAACTTCTTCATCATCAGTATCAACATCATCATAAACAACATCTCTTGGAATCATTAAACCTTTATCATAACAATCAACTTTTATACGAATACAAATATTATTTTTCAATTTAGAAGTTTGTTTCATCATTTTTCTTTTGAATTTATTAACAATTTCATATTCATATCTTTTCCGATACATCATATTTGGTAAACATCTTGCAAATATTGTAAAATTTTGTAAATAATTAAAATCTAAAATATCAAAAATTGATACATTGCTTTGAGAAATTTTTAAAAGATCAGTTAATATGGTTAATGTACTTGAATGATGATTATCAAATGCCATTCTTTTAACATATGGATTTGATGAAAATGTATTTTCAACTTGATTAACAATACTAAAATCAGTTGTAGATTCTCTAATCTGGAATGATTTTAATTTTAATTTCCCAGGTCCAAATTCACCAACTTTATATCTAACAACATGTTTAAAAATACAATATAAAAATTGTCTAAATAAAATTCTATTATAACCATTATGTGTAATAATTTGTAAATTTTTTAAATTTTTAAAAATTTTTGTAATCTTGGAACTATGGAAAAATTGTTCATATAATTCAAATTTCCTATTCATTTGTTCATTATTTAAATTTCTTGAACTTGAACAAACACTATCACGACATGTATATGCACAATTTAAATGATCTAAAGTTAAAGTTCTAAGTATATCTGAATTACATAATTCCAATATTTTTTTAGCATTAAATGGATCAGCAAATGATAATCTTAATGTGGTTAAATGTAAAAATGTAAATTTTAATCCAGATCCAATTTTTTTCAAATCAAGTAAAAATTCACCTTCACGCCATTGTCTATAATAAGTACTTATATTTGAATCAATACCACGAACAACTTTTTTCCTTTTGATAAAATCATAACATTGAGTATTATGATATAATTTTGTATAAATTGAAGAAGGATAAGAAATATCTTGACAAAATGATAAATTTGAAGTTAATTTTAATAAATTTATAACAATTATATTTGGAATTGAATTTAATTTCCTATTTGATTCATGAGAATATTCATAACAATCAATAAATGTATCTTCAAAATTTTCTAATGAAATGAAAGTATCATTTGAATTTAAATCAATAAATTTATGATTCTTGGGAACCATGGAAAAATAAACATGAAATAATTTAATTAAAAGTGAAAATTTTATACGTTTATTATAATCCAAAATGTTTTTATTAACAGTTTTGAAAAATTTCTTTAATGCTAATCTGCTTGAAATTATTGAAACATCATTAGAATAAACAAATGGAACTTTAGTTTGTTGTGATATATTCTTACCATTATAACTAATAACAATTATGATACTTTCATAAAGTTTAGGAATAATTTGCCTATAAATTAAAGTACTGCACTTGGCCAAGTTTAGCTTATCCTTTTGATTGAGTTGAGAGCTTATGAATTTGAGATTTTCTTCACCAATATGTGTGAAGAAGTTTTTATTGGGATCATTTAATGCAAATATTGAAGGCATGATGAGTATAGCTTTATTCTTTTTGTCTGCTGATCTATGATGGTATCAAGATATGAAATGAACAGAGGAAAACTGGGAATTCCCAGTATTTAAGCACCAGAATCATTTTCCACTCATTAATTCACTCCATCATATAATTTTACTTCTCATTTTTAAATCTGAGTTGAATTTTGAGTTAACAAATTTTCTGTTTTGAGCGAAATTTGAGATCTTTTTAATTATACGTGGTCGGAATTGGGAAAACTGGGACTTATTTTGAATTCCGGGACGGGATAAACTGCTTTTTTTCAATTAATCAGTAAAGTTTTATGAAGTTTTACAAGTTTTGACACATTTTAAAGAGACAAAAGTGGTTGATAATAGGTATTGTGGGTTTAAAAAGGTATAATCATGAGCTTATTAGTGTCAAATGCTCGTTCTTTGCTTTCAAATTGCTTGAAACCACAAAAAATAACAAATAATCCAATATTAATACCCACAATTAAAAGATATTTTGGTAATACAAATCATTTCAAAGTTGATCAAAGTAAAAATAGTTTGAAAAGTTATGAATACACTTCAGTACTGCTAGAAAAGAATTTAGTTCATAGAAATCATTTAAATCCAACAGAAGCCACTGTTTTAAGATGTACGGTGTTTGATGCTGAAGGTAAATTAGAAGCATTATCAACAGATGTTAAAAGAGCTGATTTAATATCAAACCATGGATTATTTCCAAGAGATTTGAGGAAAATTGAAAAAATTGGATATAATACTGAGATTGCACCATCAATATCTGTTAGAAAAGATTCTATTGTTATTACATTATTACATATTAGAGCTTTAATTAAAGCAGATACAGTTATTATATTTGATGATTTAGGTTCAAGAAATTCACATGCTCAAACTCAATTCATTAATGATTTGGAAAATAAATTAAAAGCTAAGAATGTTGGATTACCTTATGAAATTAGAGCTTTAGAAGCTGTTATGGTATCTGCAATGACAAATCTTGATGCAGAAATGAAAGTTCAAACTACTGTAACAAAGGGAATATTAAATGAATTAGAAGATGATATTACAAGAGAAAAACTTCGATATTTATTAATTCAAAATAAAAAAATTTCAACATTTTCACAAAGAGCTACATTAGTAAGAGATGTTATTGATGAAATTTTAGATAATGATGATGATCTTGCTGGTATGTATTTAACTGAAAAATTAAAAGGTACACCAAGAAATGTTGATGATCATGCTGAAGTGGAAATGTTATTAGAATCTTATTATATGCATTGTGATGAAATTGTTCAAACAATAAATAGTACAATATCAAATGTTCGAACAACTGAGGAAATTATAAATATTATTTTAGATTCTAATAGAAATCAACTTATGTTATTAGGACTTCGATTTTCTATTGGATTATTAAGTATGGGTGCTGGATTATTTGTCGCAGCTGCATATGGTATGAATTTAGAAAATTTCATAGAAGAAGATGATTATGGATTTGGATTAATTGTGGGAATTTCCATGGTTTCCATTGTGATATTATTTGCATATAGTCTTAAGAATCTAAATAAATTACAAAAAATCACAATTGGAGACCATTATAGGCAGAAGATTAAAGATCAGTTATTTTAAGAATCCTATTTAAATAGAATAAAATTGAACGACGTTTATGACTTTAAAATTGAAAAGCTTTGTAAAATATTAGTATTTTAGCGCATTTATGGCCTGATCTGGTAAAAGTGTATATACGCTCGGCCGCTCTTATGTAAGCCCCCAAGAATAAAGGGTGTTTTATCTTTTCAATCAAGAACGGTTTCTTTATTAAAGCAGTTGAGAATCCACAATCTGAGCAAATAAAAACAGGGTCCATTGGTAAACAATCAGATTGAAAAAGGTATAATTACTAGCTGTTTAATATGGTGGACTTTGAAGACATTTTCTCCTTTGAGATCTTCTTCATCATCCTTAGAGAATCTTTGGAAATTATCATTATTGTCTCAATCTTATTAGCATTCTTGAAACAATCATTGATTTTACATCATTCAAGAGATAGTGTTGCATCTAGCTCTGATGAATTGAATAACGAAGAAGTGGATTTACTTCTAGATCAACAAGATGGTGCAGGTGCAGGTGCTACTACTAGATACCCAGATGATAATGTTGAAGGACTTACAGAGACTGGTGAAAAATTATATAAACAATTTAGACTACAGATTTGGTCTGGTAGTTTATTAGGATTATTCGTATCATTAATCATTGGTGGTATCTTCATTACTGTTTTCTATTTAATTGGTACTGATTTATGGTCTTTAAGTGAACATTATTATGAAGGTTCTTTAAGTTTACTTGCATCTGTTGTTATTTCAATTATGGGTTTATTCTTCCTAAGATTATCAAAATTAAAAGAAAAATTTAGAGTTAAATTAGCAAATATATTAATAAATAAAACTCCTGAACAAATTGCAAGTGACAAAAGATCAAAATTCAAGATATATGCTGAAAAATATGCGTTATTTATTTTACCATTCATTACATGTTTAAGAGAATCTTTAGAAGCTTTTGTCTTTATTGGAGGTGTTGGTGTTGGTCAACCATTAAGTACATTACCATTATCATCAATCTTAGGTATTGCAGTAAGTGCAATTGTTGGTGTTTCTTTATATAAAAGAACTGAATCTTTTTCATTAAAAGTTTTTTTAATTTCAACAACATGTTTACTTTATTTAATTGCAGCTGGTCTTTTCTCAAAAGGTATATGGCAATTTGAATTACAAAGATATATCAATTTATGTCATGGTCAAGATATGTCAGAAGTTGGTTCTGGTCCTGGTTCATATGATGTAACAAATTCAGTATGGCATGTTAATTGTTGTAATGGTGAAATGGATGGATTATGGATGCTTTTCACTGCAATCTTTGGTTGGACAAATAGTGCAACTTATGGTTCAGTAATAAGTTATATTGTTTATTGGAGTATTATAATTTTCACATTAAAAAATTTACAATTTGAAGAAACAAATGGTTATTTCCCATGGGTACCAATTAAATTTCAGAAAAAAAGATTATTGAAAAAATATAATTTCTTAAAAGATCGTCAAAAAATTTCAAATAAAAATACTTATATTTCAAGTCATTTATTATCAAATAATCAATAATGGTTATTACATATAACATTGTATCATTGACTCCATTGACATCAATATTTTGTGAATCACTTTTTAAATTCTCACAAATTTTAATGAATATTTATACCATATAACACAAATGACACAAATGTAGGTACCATATATAATCCAAATTCTAGATTAATCCTTATATTGTCAAACTTACTATATTTGGAAGTCTAACCAATCTTTTAAAATTAAAGTTTCAATTGCTATACTGATTAGGAAAACAAGGAGACCAAATTTTATATATAAATACTTGGAAGTATCCTTTAAAACTCTCTGATTCAAGTATGAAGTCGAAGAAATTAAAGAAGACTTATGCCATTATGGATGAACAACAACTGAAAAGATTTATCAAAGATTGTTTAAAGATAATGTCGGGTCGGCTTTAATTTATTAATCCTTTTAGTGACTTTGGGTACTACTTATACTATTTATAACAATGTTCATTAATAAAAACCAAAAAAATACATCAAAATAATCTTCAACAAAAAACAAACTATAAAGAATTTATACTAGAAAGATGATATTCTATGTTTATCTGGCATTTTGAAGCAAAAATCATTGAAATAAAAAGGAAAATCGCCCGGAAATTTGGCAAAAAAGAAAAGCTTGCTTTCACTCAGAGTCGAACTGAGGATCGCTACATTACTAGTGTAGCGCCTTACCAACTTGGCCATAAAAGCTTTGCTTGTTGACTTATAAAATTGGTGTTTACTAGGATCTGTAATTTTAAAATCGAAAAATTGGCTTAAAAAAAACTTAAAGCCGCTGACTGAATTTTGATGTTTTGAATATATTAGATGAATATTTGAAATTTTAGGAGTATAATTATTTGTTTTTTACGTCTTAATGTCTTGTTTTTTGCTGTTCGGAATTCCGTTTTTATTTAAAATATTAAATTTTAAAGTAAAATTAAAAAATTGTTGGTTATAAAAAATATAAATATATTATATTATATTATTTAAATATTATATATTATATATATATAATATTATAATGATATTAGCCCAATTGAATAATTAAATTATTATATAGCATAAGCTGATCGATCTTTGATAATTAATATTGTCATGCGCCTGTACATAAATCACAATATAGATCATATTAACACCTACATTAATCTAGTTTTCTAGAATTAAATTGATATACAGTTGAAGGCTCGTGTATCAAAGCATTTAAAGATGTATAAATTCTCGATATATATTATAAGTTGGGGGACGTATGAGGTATGTGGCTGATAAAGCCGAATTACATTGTCAAGCTATCGTAATTTTAATGAAATATAACTACAATCACCCAACTAGAACTTTTTCAATGTTCGAACTTGTATTGTTTAAAAATATTTAATAATCGAATTGAACTAATTGTTAATTTAAGAAAAAGATATACAATAAATTACATCATAAATTTTCTTCAAATGTAAAAAACATTTGGGAAAAAAATCTATGAATAATCTTGCCAGTTGGAAGGCTTTTCCAATTTGTTAACAGTATGGAATTTTTGACCACATGAATAACCTCTGAAAGTGAAATCATCTTTTGGATTACACATACATTTATGTTCCAATCTAAATTTATCATCAATAGGACAGTTATGGAAAGGAACATGATAATAACCAACATCTGGGAAATAGTGGACTTGGTCTCTTGGTAAGAATAAAGCAGCAGCGATGGAATGAACTGGAGCATCACCCCATCTTTCATAAAAGAACCCACCTGCTTTATCTAAATGTTCGAAATAGTCTGAATAAGCTTTACCTCTCCAGAAGTTCAAATTACCAATTTCAAAATTGGACCAGAAATGACACAAGTTATAAGAGAAACCACCATCATCAGAAACGAAATCCATCATGTTATCAGCTGGTAAATATTCTGGATGTTCTTTGATGAAAGTTCTAGTTTCTTGCCATAAAGTTTCGATAGTAGCAGCATATTCATGTAAAGAAATAGTAAAACCATATTGTTTGTTGTTATCTTTCATCCATTGGAAAATATCATAATCAATATCACAATAAATTTTAACATCAGGTTCAACTCTCCAGTAATATTCATAATCTTGTAATAATTCATGTCTATAAAAGAAACCAGATTCATAACGACACATATGTCTATAAGAAATAGAATCACCATAAATGATCTTGTTTTTCTTCATTTCTTCTCTTGTAGCAGCAGCTTTTTCTAAATCAATCCATTCTGGGAATGACCAATGTTCTTTTGGAATCAAACCATATTTAGTATTACCTGAAACTAAAGCACTAGTAACTCTTTTAAATTCTTCAGTAAACGGTTCATCATTTAAGAAAACCCAATCATGTTTGAATTGTCTGTTGAAACGATCTTCAACTGATCTAATTGAACCGATTAAAGACCATAAATCTTGATTTCTAGCTAATGAAACAAATGTAGCTGCAACTTTACCACCAGAACCCACAGCAGGAGTTTTAGCTTTAGTTTTTTCTTCAGATTTTTCTTGTTTTTCCTTTTGAGCAGCAGCTAAAGCAGGATCAACTGGAGCAGCATTTGAACTTTGTTGATTGTTATTATTTGATGTTGATGGGACATAAGTAGTCGTTGAACCTTTTGATAAGATGAATATGGTTAAAAGGACAGCAGCAGCTACGGCAGCAAACCTAATCAAACGAGCATCTGAACGAGCCATGATAGATACAACTTCTCACTTCCTAAAGGTGTTGATGACTTGACAGGATGAGAAATGTTTCTTTCTGCTAGATTAAATGAATCAGACGATGTAACAAATTTTGATCAACAACGAAGTTTTTCCAATAAATTGTAGTATTTTTAAACTGGACGTGTCTTTTTTTAATCCCTGTTTATAATGGAAAACGCGATCGCGATCGCGACTTTAATAAGCTGGGCTAGACGCCAAAGAGTTTAAGAAGTAGGCATCTTCAGGAAGTTTGTGAGCCTATTATTGGTAACTGAACTGCTGTCTTTTACTTTTATGACACTCTGGAAATTTTAATCAATTTCCATTTCATAGTTCAAGTTGTGTTCTAAATTTGGAGCACTTCACCGTTTTCTATTGTTGATGATTTCACGATAAGCGAGACCTTTTTCCCAAATTAGTTAATTAGCTGATAATATATATAAACAAACCAGCAAATTGACACAATAACATAGTGGAAAAAGCAAAAACTATCTTGAAGATCATCTATTATAATCACCAAAGAAAGAAATTCAATGATACCTGTTTAGTACATATGTGACTATTTGGATTATAATGAGGCAGCTGTTTTTGGTATAAGCTCTTCATGACAAAAAAAATATCGTAATTGACCCTGCTTTAAATTATTCTTTGCATATTTTGAGAGAATGATCAGTTCCCAGGGTCCACTCAGCATGATAAAATCCAGAAACCAACAATCCACCTGAAGCTCTTGACATTCGAGAGTTGATAAATATAATAGAAATTTAAGAAAAAGTTCGATCTAGTTTTTTTCGAAGAGTTTACGTTAGATTTGTAGAATCACGGTCAATTAATTAAATGTCGAAGTAATTACAATACTAAAGAGTTATAAATTGAGTCAAAAGTCAAGACCAAATAAAATACATTACAAATTCAAAGACTATTGATCAACAAATCTTAGACTCAAAGCTGGATGAATTTTAGTTAATGTTGGAATGTCGTAATACTGTATTTTAAACTTTTGAGTTTAATCGGTTTTTTTTCTTCTGAATAAAAATTTTCAAAAGAAAGTAGCAATAGTAAAAGAAATGAACATCAGTCGAATCCAGGCATTATTCTTATTTAAAACTTTTCAGTTTAATTAATCGCATGATATCTGTCTACTTTTCAGATATAATCAAGACACAATCTTTTGAAGTTGTCTATAGTTTTTGACGTGTGAGCGTGTGAGCTTTCAGGTCTTTTCATCTTCAGAAAATTTTACAGCTTTTGAATGTATCTAGTCTAAAAAAATATCACATTTTCAAAACCCGCGAAATTATAGTCTAAAATCTGCCAGCTTTCTGTGTTAAGTTTTAACTTTCATTTCTTTTGCCGTACCTGATTTGAATTTTGGGGCTAAATTTTCAAGTTGGGTCTAAACTTTGAATATTTGAATTTCGAGTCTCAAACTTATAAGCAGCAGTTCCAGTATATAAAATTACAAAGATTACATTTGGTAGTGCAAAACTAGAGTTGGTTAAGTTCTGAGCTTTGAAGGACGTTTACTAGAAGCTTCAAACGTATGCTTAATGATCTATAGCTTATAGGTAGTCTGTATATACTAGGTACTCTATTTTGACGTCATTATAATTAATGTCAATTTCTTGATTGCTCTCATTTTGGACTCAAGATTCAGCCTTAGCCTTCTCCAGATTTCATTTAATCAACTAGTAATTGTTAGAAGTTGATACGTATATATTCAATCATAGTATATACTTAAATTTTATTACGCGTAAATTATAAATCAACGTTAATTTTTCTTTGTTTTTCTATAGGCTTTGGTTGAACTTGGTTGGCATTTCAATTTGAACATCTTTGATTAACATCATTCATATATCACTTACATATTGCTTATGTTGGGTCTTGACTCTTGAGCTTTCACTAGTTGAAGATAACATTTATATAAATTCCCCACAGACTTTGAGAATACGTTGTGCCTTCAATAATGGCTGCTCTGTTTGATATGGGTAGGTAGTAGTAGGTACCTAGGTAGCTCAAGTTCATGCTTCATGCTTTTGACAAATCACAAAATATCAATTTTTATGTTTAGCGAGCGCGTATCAAAAATCTACAAATTAATAAATACCCTCGGAATACAACTTTGTATGATTAACAGTGAATATCAGTCTCATTTCAAAGTAAATTTAGCACTAAACGGGCCTCTATTTTCCTCCTGGTCAGTGGTTCCTGAAGATTTTGTAATTTGATAAAGTAAAGAGAAATTTTGAAGATTACAAGTCTTGAAATTGAGGCCTAGAGTTGTTAATTTAGAGTCATACACCCCACAAAATCGATTCATAAGTTTTGACCTTTTAGTTGATAAACCCATATCTTAATAGAATCTAGAAGGTTTAAGCAGCTAAACATTAGCAGCACGACAGCTTAATTTAAAACATGACTGTATTAAAAATAGTAAACAAAAACAAATTGAAAGTACCATGGTACTACCCAGAAATGTACGTTCCACAGATTTGTATGAATCGGTGATCGGTGGAATCCTTTTTTTTTGCCACCAAGCTGTAATATTTTTGAAGAAGGTTTGAAATGTAAGTATCCGGGGCAGAAATATGTAAGTACATAAACACCTACAGTATTTGTTGACTTTAAAAAGGCCCGAATTAGGCTGGTAGTGATTGTTGAATTATGTATACAACAACCAATTAAGAGAGCATTTCATCGGAGTCGATGTTAATTGGCAAAAGAAGGTTCAATTAATTGTTTTGTAGACGGAAAAGCTAGGCAGCCCTGCGAAGAATTCTTGATTCTTGGAACTAACTGGGGAGCGCCGCTTCAGCTTTTTCTAGACAAAACCAATTGTTTCGTATGTTAATGCTATGCCTATGCCATGCTTGAAAACTCTATTAAGCATACTAAGCCCTCTAGGCTCATATTCAAGAGTACTCAAGAGTTAAGAGTCAAGACTACCTGGTACCAAGTGCCTATTAGTTAGCCAATGTAATGCCTAGATACATGATCAAGAGTACCTTACTTAGAAGTTACTAAATAATAATTTTCAATTTACGCGTTCACAAGAACTTCCAATGAAACTTTATCAATTCTCCGGTAGCTTAAATTTACTTGAATACCTGCCTATTCTGCCTAATTATTTTCTACAAGGATATTAAGATAGCCTTCTTTAAAAAGGTTAATTGAACTTTAAAATAGGCGCTAAGCTGTAAAAGTATAACCATTATGGAGAAATTTAAAGTTTAAAGAAACACGCTACTTATTTTGCCGATATTATAAAGCTCCTAACGTAAACTTTAATAGGCTAGTTGACAAATGAAAGCTGGAAGTTTGAAGTTAGAAGTTAGAAGTTAGCAGCTAGCTCGAAAATCGGGATCCTTTCCCTGTCGTGATCCAATCCCCGGGTTAATCAATCACAATTACCCCATACTTTCTTTGAAGGGATTTGTGATTTGTTTTATCTTCAAACAAATAAGTGACTGCACGTAGAATTACTAAACTTTCGTATAAGGAACTATCAGTCATCGATAATCATACTATCTATTTGATGGAGATATATA